CATATCTTCGAGAAAATCGTGTTTGAAGCTCTGGGTGGCGTCGTACAAAGGTTGATACCCAGTTCTTGCCAACAGTATCAGTACCCCGAGCTGCAAGCAATAAATTGGCCATTTCTTGCACCATTGTAGGCCGAGGGGCTGCTCCACGCAGATCCATTGAGAATATCCATTTAACAAGCGATTCCTCTTCAACCTCTGTGAGTTTATGGTTGTTGGCGCGTTTTTCAATGCGAAATTGGTGGCCATTAAGGCGATCAGAAAAAGTGGAACGCGGTATGTTAAATCGACGTGCTGTTTCACGGATTGAGCTGATTTCTCCTTTTTTAAAAGCTTCTATAGCTAATAAGATGCGTCCCTCTTGTTCCTGCGAGTTTCGGTTCGATCGAGAGCGATTTGGTGGCATGGTGGGTGGTTAAAGATGGGAGAATGCATAGAGACGCCAAAAAATGAATGGGTGGCCGGGTGGCTCGGGAATTACGGTTACTATTCATGGGGATCTCGATCGAGATCAAGGTCATACAGAAGCATAAGAGATACTAATGTTCAGTTTATAAACATTTATGTTCTTAGAATGACATCTAGGCGGGTACCGATTAAAGATACGGGGATTCTCATCAGTGTAATGAGCAGAAGAATGTAAGGGTGGCAACATATATACCAATTTCACAATCCTCTTATTAAAATTATAAAAAATCTTAATTTGCTTCTAAGAATGGACCTGCATTGTTGATATAGAAAATCAAGAAAGAATTCCCTTTCTCAGTAAAGCTATAATTTATAATATAATTCAAAGGTTAAGAAATTAAGGGTTAAACTAAGACTGTAGTTTATTAGAGATTAAACTTAATGAACTGATGGTTTCTGCAGCATTATATATTTCTATATGTTTTATTAGTAGACAAATTAGGAAAAAAAAAGCATTATATCAATGATTATAAGTCTCATTTCAAACAAGACGGCAAATGAACTGAGAATCTTCATTGATTGCTATTGGAAAAATCGAGATTGCTGCCATTGATATTTAATTTCATGTTGTTATACTGTCATCAGAGTTAACTAGAACCTTGCTCTTTATTGTTATTAACTGTGGATATAGATAAAAACCCTGAGCTTTATTTAACTGGACTCTCCGGCGCCGGCTTACTGGCTGGTATAAGTCGACATGAATTTCGCACCAATAATCATAAATTGGCACAATAGAAAAGGGATCACTTCAAAATTGGATACTCTCAATAGATTCTCCTGAAGCAGCCTCCTAGCCTGCTACTGTACGAGAAATGGCCAATCTTCTAATTATGTTCCGTTGAACTACCCTAGTTCAAACAGTCGGCGAGAATAGGGTCCAAAAACTATGTGAAAAGGCACCCAGAATTTACAACCCGATTCTCAAGACGCTATAATTATGAGCGTGCAAAATGCGAAGACCCAAAAATCCATCCATGAATGGTTTGATTGCGTGCAACGTATGATACTTCAATACAATAAGCAAGTATTTATACCAGAAGTATGGATTTTTAAATAGCCTGGCTTCTTGAAAAGGAAAAATGAGAATAATAGATAATTATAGAATCCAATTTCATAATCCATTAAATTGAAAAAAAAAAAAAAAAAAAAAAAAAAAAAATAACAATGAGCCATCGTTTATCATTTAGGGATTTTATAGCCATTCTATATAGAGAATTTTAGTTGTTTTATGAGTATGCACTGTAACCACTCGGTACTGCTTGAAGTCTATTAAGCTCCTGGTATTAGAATTAATAAGATATACCCTAACCCTTGAGGTAGTACTTATTTAGAGCAATTTATACGTAGCAATTTTTTTTAGCAAGGTGTACTATTAGTGATATGGTGTGTGGTAAGATCGTGATTCTATAATGCATGTATTGGGTTTTCACATAAAATTTGAAATTCTGGACAGAAGAGATGATATGTATTTGATAAAAAATCAATAATCAAAGGACAAAAGGGATATTCAGCCGAAGAATATTTTCAATGGATTATTAACGAGCGAAAATTTGATTTCATATTATTTTTTCATGGGAATCTGGGATAATTTGTATAGCTATTGGCCTGCCCAGGATGGCAGTTAATGGCTGTTCTGAGCAGAGATAATGTTGATTCCATTTCAATAGACATGACCACAATATATTGTAGAGGCATGCGTCACTTTCAACGTTTCGTTTTTCCTCTCAAAATCCTTATTATTTGTATACATCTGTATAAACCAACGAAGGCAAGCTTTCCGGTATTAATGTATTATTATTATAATGCTTCCATATAATCTGTAAATGACAAAATCATGCAAAAAACCTCAATAGCGACAGCACCTTTACCCCCTGCTAAGCCACCAATGACTTAACCATGAATTATTCCGCTTTTTTCGTTACCCCAGCCTTGTTTTCCCTTCGCCGCTTGAGAGCATCAGGGGAATATTCAGTGTCGAGTAGGTAGTCCCACCACCGGAAGCTGCTTGAATAATTGCCAATGAATTTCTCGTGGTGAAGGTCGTGATGGTCAGCACCAGCCCAGAATGGGAGAAAATGGTGAAGACTCCAAGGAAACTCGTAACCGCTGTGTGCATCAATGGCCTGAAACAGGCGCAACACAATCCAAACGTACATGGTGAAGATGTGCAAGTCCCCAGTTACCGCACACCAGAGAATTGGACAGCCGACGGTGCCGAACCCAAGAATCATGACTTCAATCGGAGATGCATATTCGGCCGCCATACCGAAAGGCGCAGAATACTGATGGTGAATCTTATGGATGGCCTTGTATAACGGGCCCCAGTGAAGAGCGCGATGAGAGAAATAGTGCCACGTGTCCTCCAAGATGAAGAATATCGCGATCTGATAGGCCATAGTCCACACAGAAGGGAAAGGAACTGAAGTCGAAAGTCCAAAAAATTGAGCCATTGGGTGGAATAGCCTTGGGAAGATGTTAGTCGCTTTTTCGCGGGCAGGAGCAGAAGGCTGTACTCACCAAATCTGAGGCAATTCAACAGTGAAGTGGCTAAGAAGCACGAATCTGGCACAATTCCATTGCTCCTGTAATGAGGGTATTTTGTTCTGCGAGCGAGTCAGAATGATGCCTGTATTATGTGAATAACTTGCTTACATCTTGAATTTTGTAGTTTTTGAGCAACCCCAAACTGTCAATGAAAATCCAAGGCAAAGAGCGCCCGAAATAGACGATTTCGTGCATCAAAAATGACATAATGCCTGTAGCGAGCACATCATTCTGCATCCACGCATACCATGTTGTCCATAGTCTCTCGATCAGATTCAGATGGGTGTTGTATTTCGAGATCTCCTCGAATTGGCCCCAATAAGTGTCAGGGGGGGCTGCAAGTAGCGTCGAATTCCTTTGATGATGTTAAATGGAAAGCACAAGTCGAGTTGTGAATGGAAGAGAGCTCACATTGTGTTTATCCTGCCTAAAGCAGATTTATAGTGTAGCACCGAAGACAGACAATTGCTACGACTAGCTGCAATTGGAGGATTGAGATAGTAATAAGATGAGACTCGGATGTGTAAAGAGGAATGAAATGCTGGGGAGGGCGGATGCTATGTATTTCAGGGACAAGCCGCTGGCCAAGGCAGTGGGATCAGGACATCTGTTCCCGAAGTGGCGAGACCTTACTTTTTTTTCGGTCACTTTTCTGGTCTCTCCCTGGCACCACTGCCTAGCCGATTAGGACCGATATTATGCTCCACTATGCACTAGAACCAGCCTATAATTTTCCAACACCACTGCCGCCTTTTAAGGGGTACATGAATAGTACCCACATGAATCCTAAATCACCTTGGTTGAATTACTAACCAATACTCTACGTAAATACTCCGTACTCCCATACCCCTATATACTCCGTACACGGCGTTGTAAAATCGGTTTGTCTACACAATACAGGGGTACATCATGAGGCGTATTAATACACGAAAGTAAGCAGTAGTCTCACTTACACACACAAATTACAAGTATGTACGGAGTACAGAGTAGTATAATTGGTATTCCGTGCTCTTATCTTTTAGCCTTAGTCATAAGGCATAAACTCCGTGAGGCAAGAATGATTATCAGCATTCCAGAACAAAATACTAATATACTAGCACTAAAAAGGGAAAAAAAAAAAAAAAAAGAAACGGTCGCATTCTTCACCTCAGTGCAATAGATGTACTGGAGTACTCTGTACATATTATGGCCATTTGATGTTCGTGTGGTCTTCATTAAATACCTGGGAGTACTTGTATTCTGATATAAGGAAAAATCGATCTGATTTTCATCAATATATACTTCACTTTCTAACTTGATTTTTTTTATTTTCTTTTTTATATATAACTATAGAGTGCGTCAAGCACGAAGGAAGAGAGTTTTCTGAGCAAATCTTCGTTGTTGCCGAATGACGACACATTAGTGCCCAATTAATGTACTATTTATTATGAAACCTCAAAAACCCCCCAAAAGAAAACGAAAAACGTAGAGAAAATCTCAGATACCGTTCCTTCAGCATTGAGGATGATCATTATCAAAGAGTAAGTCTTTAGCCCATGTCAACTTGTGTGTGTTTATGAAGATTGACGCTGAAACACAATCAAATAGAAATACTTGTCGACTGGACACCCAGCTTGACAAGTTCCAGCAGCAAGTCATCGACAAGATACACAACGACGTATCGACACTGGACTCTTTAGGAAATGCTGACCAATATCAGTCTCGGTCACAGCAATTAGTCGCTTTACAAAGTGCTGTTCAATCACTTTCTATAACATCTACGACTCACAATTTGCTAAAAGCCGACAAACTTGTGAATCTTATCTCTGATGTCTCTCGCCGGCTTCCCAAACAGCATGAAGGCCCGCTTGATGAATTTACCGCACATGAATCGGATCTTTTTTGGCTAGTGACTGCGAAGGCTGCCGTACAGACTCTGGGATTACTGCTGAACAGTCTTGTGGAGCAAACGCATATTTTCAGTGACGAGATTCTCTACTGGGATGATATCTTGGCTTCTTCCTGGTCTACTTGGTTACATTTTGCGCGGACATCTCCTCTTCGGATATGGGACGGTGCAAGAGATTTGTATTTCTATGCAGCAAACAGAGTAACCCAGGACCCACACTCCCCTTCGATGTCGGCTAGATGGGCACAGTTCTATGACTTGCTTAGACGGTCTGTCCGTGTACATCGTACGTACTCCATGCGAAGCAGAATTTCATCACACCTTGCGACGTGCAGGTCGGACGTCCGACGGAAACAAAAATCCTTGAGGGCGATGAGAGATCTACATGCCAGCAGCATCGGGCTCCTCATGGAAGAATGTTTATCATTCAACGTTGGAAGCAACCACAAAATTTCTGGAAACCAGTGGCGGGATACGTTACTTAGAAGCATCATCCTAATGGAGACTATTCTATGTAATACAACGGATGATATTGGTATCACCGATTTTGAGCACAAAGTGTTTACAATGACCAATGCGGAAGAAAACTTCCTTGTGGATCAACTTAACGAAAGTCTGGTCTCTGGATACCCCGGAATACTCATTGATCGGCTTGTCAATATCCTCCAAGATCTCCTACCTACATATCAATTATCTTCAAAGGCAGTTTCTCGGAAATATGGCCATCCGTCACGCCTTGTACGCTATTGGTTGCCATTATCTTTATTGCTTTTTTCAGCAAGCACTTCTCTGAAAATCCTAGCGGACAAGCGCACCGAGATCATCCAGTGGATTCTGGAAATTGGATCAACGGCAGTCGATTTCTGGAGTAACTGGGTGATTGAACCAGTTCAACGACTTATCGGGACAATCAGGCATGACAGGGCAAGCGAGATTGCCATAATGAGCAAAAACAGCTTGGAGGCAGACCGGGCAAGTTTGGAAAGGATGGTGATTGATTTCGTTCAGGACCATACGTTGACCCAAGGAGATCCTGCAACAACAGATACACTTACTATAACGAACAGCGTCAGAGAAGGTGATTTGACGCCAGTATTAAAAGCATACGAAAGAGATTTGCGAAGTCCTTTCATTGGGACTGTAAGAGGCGATTTGATTCGCGCTCTTCTGATCCAAATTCAAAAAACCAAGGTTGATGTGGAGATAGCAATGAGCGGCATCGATTCTCTTCTCAAGAGCCAGGAACTTGTCTTTGGGTATGTACAACCTTTCGGCACTCGTGTATGGAAATTAACGCCATGCAGATTCGTTAGCATCACCCCAGGAATACTGGTTTCATATTCTGTTTTCCAATGGGTCTGCAGCCTTTTTGGTAGCAGAAAAGGCCTGCGAAGGAACGAGGAGCATCATCAGCTGAGACATGCTTTACGGTACTCTTCAAGCCAATGTGAATTAAGGGCAACACTAACTTACGCATAGGAACGTAGACCGGACTCTGGCGGCATCGTCACTTACCACAAATGGCATTCTCAATTTCAAAGACCATGGGCTCTTGATATGCGACGCAGAATATCTGCTGCAAAGGGCAAGGGCTGTCCTAAAAGGTGCCGACCTTCGGAAATTTAATGAGGATGTCAGCGACCTAATCGACATTCAACGTGGTGCTGACAGACAACTGCAAGTCGTCAGGCGGATAGGATACACGTACTCTAGGTGGTTCCAGTGATGGCTGTTGATGAATCCTTCCCTTTCCCCCCGTTCTTTGTCGGCGCTCCCTTCAACTTACATTCCCCAGGGTAGAATTATTAGCCATGTTATCTATGTCTCATAATATTTCTTGGGTATTTCCAATCTTGTTTTGTCGCCTGAGTACTTGTCATCTGGTGCTGAATGAATCAGTACGGATCTGGTTATTATAAACTTGGTGCAAGTAAGATAATAAAGTATTTTTATATTTCATATATGTATTTATAGAAGCAACTACTCCGTACATATAGTAACCAAGAAAAAAAACATAAAATTGTATGATTCTTACTGAGTACGTACCAAGTACAGACAGAGTACGGAGTACTGCGTTTGGGGTTGGGTCAGGTGGGTTGGCACTAGTCCATACAGAGTAAGTATTATTACAATGGAGAGTACGGAGTACATCCCTAGCTTATCCTGCAGAGTACGGTCACCACCTCCACTTGGACAAACATCAGGCACCTCTCTACACACCGTTGTCATTCTTCTATGACAAGACACTATTTTCTTAACAGTGAACTACATACTTAATTTCCCTGTTTCTATTCTTCAGCAGACAGTTATCAAAACCGTGAAACCGTGAACAGTGAGGCGATTCCAGTCAAGTCCCCTGACCACCTCGCCCCCGCCCGCTCCTTAATAGGTGCTCCAGGAAGGCCAGAATAACTGCCACCGTTCGGTGGCTGCAGCTACCCTGCAGGCGACGCTACCGAAGGGAAGAGGGGGGGATAAAAGAAAAGGAGGAATAGAAACAGAGTTCCAACGGCCGCTAATACACATAAGCATCGAACTAAGGGACCGTCACTTTGTTCGGATTTTGCATCTTATAGCTTCCTAGGTAACCGGATTCATAGCATCATGGCAGGCACAAGGAATTACGATTTCCTGGTGAGTCTTGATCCTCGTCTGTTTCTCTCAGTTACTAAGTGCTGTCACCAATGTCATAGATCAAATTGCTGCTGATTGGTGATTCTGGAGTTGGAAAATCTTGTTGTCTTCTGCGATTCAGCGAGGACTCTTTCACTCCATCTTTCATCACCACCATTGGCATCGACTTCAAAATTCGGACAATTGAGCTGGACGGTAAGAGGGTAAAACTCCAGATATGGGATACAGCTGGTCAGGAGCGCTTCAGAACGATTACGACGGCATATTACAGAGGAGCGATGGGTATACTCCTTGTCTATGATGTCACTGATGAACGCTCATTTCACAGTAAGGATCCCTCGTGCTTTGGTAGCGTGAGAATTTCTCGCCATACTAACTTTCTTATCCAGACATTCGAACTTGGTTCTCAAATGTTGAACAACATGCAAGCGAAGGCGTGCACAAAATACTTATTGGAAACAAATGTGATTGGGAGGAGAAACGAACCGTCTCCACCGAACAAGGCCAGCGACTTGCTGATGAGCTTGGCATACCATTCCTCGAAGTTTCCGCTAAAAACAACATCAACATCGAAAATGCGTTCTTCAGCCTTGCTTCCGATATCAAGAAGGGCATGGACATGTCCAAGTCAGAGCAAGCCGGATCGCAAGGTGTCAATATAGACCAACAAGGTTCTGGCTTGAGTGGCAGTAGTGGGGGAAAGTGTTGTTAAGCTTTCCGCCCATGGTCTATATCTACTACAACTTTACAGCCTTGTTTATTACCATTCTAAGTGCCATGCCTTGATACTTGGAGGCTTTACGATTTACTCGGACTTACTTTTCGAAGTATGGCACTGTAACGACACGTGTGTTCATAATTATGGCCATTGGAACTGGTGGTTCCTCTATGGTTTTCTTCTCGGAGCTTGTTAACTGGCGTTAATGATTGCCTATTTCGTCTTCGTCGTCTTCTTCTCTTTTTTGTTTCTCTTCCTCGTCTCTTGCAATGATGCCTGTCACAGTGTATGTGTAATTGGATGTAAACAATATGTTTTCATTATATAGAAGTATTATCATCCTATGAAGCTCTTGACGGGGCTTGGTAACCGAGACCCTTATAATGTTCCAGTGCTTCATATTTCTGTAATTGGTTACTAATGCTCTTCACTCGGGGAGGGAAGGAAATGAAAAAAAAAAAAAAAAAAAAAAAAAAAAAAAAAAAAAAAAACCAGCTCCGTGATGTTCCAGTTTCCCAAAATATATGACCTGAACCAAAGTATGCCAGGCTGTTAATCTTAAGTGAATGCTAAGATTATTGAGCACAAGCATCTATTATGTAGCCGCAATGCGAGTATCGATTGGCCATTCAGCCAACACAGCAGCCAAATTCTCGCATGTCGAATGCTCTGTCATGACACCGATTAGATGACAATTTTACTTTTATGTACGCACCTCAAATAAGACTTGAGAGGCCAGAGCTATTACGCACTATATGGATCATAAATCAGACGTTCCTGGGCAATGTGCATTGGTGCTCAAACATGTTAGGAGGGCAAGTTAATTTCAGTCGATCTTGACCCACCTCCGATTTTCTCGCAGGAGCCCTATTTTCTCTGCCCCTCTTTTTTTAAAAATATTTTTTTAATACCCTAACCCTTTCTTCCCCCCTTCCTTTCTCAGAGGCATTCTGCCATTTGGATTGACCAGAGTTTGCCGCCGTTGTTCTTCTTCCTCTCTTGATTCTTTATTTGCCCGTGAAAAGCTACATCACTTTCTTGAAATGGCAGTGTTTGTACAGGTAGAGTACACTACCAAAGGTTAAACTGTTTTACGTGTAATCTTGATTCGACTCTATATACCAGAAGCTGTGATACCCAATTGTGGAAACTGGTAATTAAAATCGCACCTGCAGATTTGAAGTAACGATCGTGTTTCTCCAAAAGAAGAGATTGACGATATGTCGGAAGCTCGCCTTTTCACCATTCGACCACTGTCAAAACAACCGAGGAATGACTACAAAGATGCTTTTCGTGTCAATCTATCGTCTTCATCATTAGCTGCTCTCAAACTTCGGGCTGGAGATGTTTGTAACCTGAAACCGGCTGAGGGACCCCCAAAAACTGCCATAGCTTGGACCGCCACAGAGAACCTACAAAATACCGTCGTACAAACCTCGAGAGCTTTGCAAGACTGCTACGGGATCAAAATTGGAGAGAAAGTTTCTATCTATAAGGCGGATAGCGACCTAGAGTCAATCGAATCACTCTCTTTACAGGATTGCTCCGATCCTGATAGGCTTTCCAAATATGGTCAGCTTTCTCATGCCGATAAGCCTCATTGGACTTGGTGTCTAGAGCTTCCTCTATCAAGATGTGAACTTCTCGCTGTTGGTTTAATCTTTGAGTTGGAACTTAAAGGCCAGCGTAGGAGTTTCAAAGCGGCAGATATAAGACCTCAGGACCGAAGTTCTGCTTGTACTTTATTTCGGTTCACTGAAAACACCGAGATCACAATCGGTGAGGGATTCAGTGAAACTGTAACCAATGCAATTTCTGATCTCCAAGTACAGCCATCAGGCTTGGGCGGAATGTCCCGCCAGATTGACTTGGTCAATGAGAGTCTAGCAGATTTTAATCCGAGAGAGTGGCGGCCTGCGATGCCGTCTTTTTACGAAAATAGCCGAGGCATTCTCCTGTACGGCCCCAAAGGAACAGGTAAAACTGCACTTTTGCGCCAGATACAGACAGCAGGCTGGAGAAAAACGGTCACCATTGGTTCATCTACTTTTGGCAGGAATGCAGGCGACAGTGAAGCCAAGATTCGCAACGCGTTTCAGGAAGCAATTCGCTGCCAGCCAAGTGCTGTAATCATTGATCAGTTGGAATATGTTGCCCCCAAGCGAACTTCCCTGGATTCGCAGTCCCTGGCATCGGTGCTTTGTGAATGTTTAGATATGGCCAAGGGGGCTCTGGTCCTGGTTGCAGCAGCTACTCGCCACCCGAATGATGTCGACGATGCGTTAAGGACACCCCATCGACTAGCGACTGAAGTTGAGCTCCAAGTCCCCACGTCTCAAGATCGCTCGGAAATCCTACGCGCTATTCGCGGGCATTCTACCGCCGCGCTAAGCAACGAACTCATTGAAATGATCGCGGAGAGAACTCACGGCTATGTAGGTGCTGACCTGTTTGCTCTACTACAACTCGTATGCCGTAAAGCACGACAGCGGCAATTACCCCCCAAAAAGGGACCTTTTTTCGACCAAGTCCGTGCGAATGAGAGCGAAGGGCAGGATGTCAAGGAAGTCATTGTGCCTTTGGAGATCCAGGAACTCGATGTCGTTTCCGCATTACAAGAGACTCGCCCCACCGCCATGCGAGAAGTCTTTTTGGAGACGCCGAAAGTGCGATGGTCAGATATCGGTGGGCAGCACGACATCAAGAAACGTCTTCAAAAAGCCGTTCAAAGACCACTCAGGGTAAGCCTTCACCATGAAATCGGTTAGAAAATAAACAATCCGCTGACAATAATAGTTTCCGGAACAAATGAAGAGACTCAATGTCAATAGCAAGAAAGGAATCCTTCTATATGGCCCCCCCGGCTGCTCTAAAACACTCACCGTGAAAGCACTGGCTACTGAAGCAGGATTGAACTTTTTGGCGGTGAAAGGAGCTGAAGTTCTAAGCATGTACGTGGGAGAATCTGAACGAGCCTTGCGAGAAATATTTCGGAAAGCTCGGTCTGCTCGTCCTAGTATTATTTTCTTTGACGAGATCGATGCGATTGCATCTAAGCGCAGCAGTACGTCGCAGGGAGGCGTCAATGTGCTCACAACGTTACTAAATGAAATGGATGGAATTGAGGAATTGAGGAATGTCTTAGTGGTCGCGGCGACGAATAAACCCGATGTTATCGATCCGGCTTTAATGCGCCCTGGCCGCTTAGATAACATACTCTACATTGGTTTGCCTGATTTTGAAGCACGGAAAGAGATTTTGAACATCTGGGTCAGCAAGTCAGCAGTCCATCCGGAAGTAGATCTGCTGGATCTAGCATCCAAAACTCAGGGTTATTCGGGAGCTGAGATTGTTAGTATCTGCGAGACAGCTGGAGATGTAGCATTGGATGAAGAAGAAGAGACTGGCCAGGAAGGAAACGTCAGATGGCGACACTTTGAGCATGCCCTTGAACAGGTGCCAAGGCAAATCACAAGCGAGGTTATTGAAGAGTATGAGCAATGGAGGGATGCTCGTGAACTTTAATTCCTTAGCCAATCGATTGTGTGCTCCAATATATACATGTGTGTGTTGCTATGTTCTATGTATGTATTTTTTTTTTTTTTTTTGTCTTTCTTGTAGAGAGAATGAAGGGGGAAAGAAACATACTAGTACGTACGGAGTACTAATTGAATGACTTAGATATTATTTATCTCCGGTGGATACCCCATAGTAAACTAAAACGGCTAATTAGTGGGAACTTCAAAGTTCATACTTATTTTGGAAGCTTCCATTCTAACTACAATGCTCATTTGAACACACTACTGACATCTGATTACATCCCGTCCATCTTAATATCAGCTTCAGGATTTGAGGGCAGTTGGCATTTCAACCCGAATATCCAATGGCTCCAAGAGGACGTTCGCCCATTGTTTCGCCGCGATCAGATTTATCGCGGCATTCTGCAAAAGTTACGACTCGGAGCCCGTCATTCGAACATGACAGTTCTCACTACAACGGCAATCGTTCAAAAAGCAGATCTCGATCTCTATCACGACCACGCGCGCTTTCCAGAAGTCGAAGTCGAGGTAGATCTCGAAGTTGGCATAGGAGCCGATCGTTCAGTCGAACCCCAAGTTCTTCTAACAACAATACGCCTCCAAGAAGTTCAAAGGTCTGCGCTCGTCCTTTTTCCTTCCTTCCTCCATTTCTTCATCTTCTCTCCCTCTCCCTTTCCATTTCTCTTTCTTTCTTTACTTTAACTAGCTATCTTGGTCCTGCTTGCTGACACCGACCTCAGATTGTGATTGAAAAGTTAACCAAAAATGTCACTGCGGCTCATCTACGGGAAATATTTGGTAGCTTCGGAGATATTCAATATGTTGACCTGCCCATGAACAGAGCTTGTAAGAGATTTTCCTGCATTGTGATCATGGTGTACTCAATGCTAATGTATTATAGTCATGACAAACAGAGGAACAGCGTATATCTTGTATTATGACCCTGCAGATGCCGAAGCGGCAATTGCTCATATGCACGAAGCTCAGCTTGATGGCGCTACATTGAATGTATCTATAGTTCTCCCCAGGCGGGCATTTTCACGTTCACCGCGGCCCTCCCATACAGGCTTTGGTCGCAAAAAATACGACCGGCGCGAACCTTCAAACAGTCATCCCTCCCGCCGTTCTCCATACTCTCACAGGTCCCCAAGGCGATATGGTCGTGCTCGGCACTCGGAAAGACATGATTTGTATCGCCCACGCTCACTATCCAGATCACGATCTCCTCGCCGCCCTCGTTCATCTTCTCCTCATTCCCCATCGGTATCACCACCAAGGAGGGGTAACCTGCCTGCAGAAAGTCCACGACGTCGTAGGCGTCGAAGTCCTAGTTATAGCAGCTATGGGTACAGCAGTCATAATGACAGAAGCCGGAGCAGAAGTAGAAGCAGAAGCAGAAGTCGCAATTAGTGGAATGGAGGAGAGTCGTTCATTTTGTGGAAGAGCAGTTATCTCGTTTCATGTCATACATTTACCTTTACAGATTGAAGAAAAGGAAGCGTAAGAAGCGAGAAGCTCTTCATAAACTACATTGTAATTATTAGATGCGAGTGACCAAGTAATAGAAAGAAAAAGATATAAAACATTTTTAAAAATTGTGCGTGGAATGTCTGATTCAAAAAAACGGGCACCATCCAATATACATCGCTGCGAGATTCCTATGATCTGTTGCCTGCATAATAAGTTCGTCCACATGACCGTCCACCGAGAGTGGGACAGACTCCCCAGGAAGAAGACCTCGGAGTTTGTTGCGCACGTTTTCCAAAACACTAGCAGGCGTCTCAGGTACACTCGCATGAGTGCGGCGCTAGATATAGTACATGTTTCAGTACATGTTTCAGTATTCATGAGAAATCCGGTCAACTGGGAGTCTTACCTTTCTGGGGATAAAATCGGTCGTTGGATCATGCAGGAAGGTTTCCAATACAGTCATCAAAGCATCTTCGTTCTGGCGCAAAAGACCGAGGCTGATTTCGCATGTTCTCCGAAAGGGGCCTAGCCATCGAGAACATTTTAGTGAAAGTTCGCACCTTCTACAGTCAAGAGTCGTACCATTATACCCATAAGCACCAAATGCATCAGTCATGTTCTGGGTAAGACGGAATGGGACCAGTTCGGGTTTATCGAATGTTAATCCCTAGAGGAATCAGTACTGATTATATCTGGCGGATAGCGCAACCATACCTTATCAAATAAACAGTTGAAATCAACATGTAAAACCCCGCCTGTTCCCTCTTCGAACAAAATATTCTCTCCATGCCGGTCACCCAACCTATAATGAGGTCAGTTGGGGCTGTCCTTCTATACAAACGTGCTGATTCAACATACCCTAGAACATATCCAACCATTGACATGACAGCGCAGGACCGAGTGTACCTCAGTCTTGCAACAAACCATGCTCCTGTCTCCGGAAACATTTCAACAAACCATTCGTGCAACACAGGAGGTAACCTATATCTTTTAGCATTCCTCAGTGTAAGCACTGTCGTGGATACTAACTTTGCCAAAACTTTAGTTGTAAATAAAGGGAGTTTTGAAATGTCCGAGCATGCTTCGGCTAGGTAGTGTGCAACTTCCTTGTACTATGATAGAATGAGCACTTCCAGGCTCTATAATGGCTGACAGTAGACTGGGTTTCATACATTTGGTACAATGCCCCTCTCTCTCAACAATCTGATGATAGGGTTTCTCAATGGTTGCAGGTTATCAACCCACTCAATGAGCCCACATTCCTCATTTAGAGGCGTCACAGCATAAGTTTTGATATCTACCATGTATCAGCCAGTGTATGCATATAAAAGAGAAGGTTGAGAGGGAGAGGGGTCTCTGGCCAGAGCTTACACATGCGCCGTTTGCTTGATTCAACATCTCGTTTCAAAAACCTGTTGATCATATTGTTGAATTCCATGAGGCGCTGATCTTTGCGAAGGTCATCTTTAGGTTTACAAAGAATGTTGTAATTCTTCCCATCAGAGCCTCTAATGCTGATCTTTCGTGGTTTTTGAAGTGACTTTAAGACCAGGGCATCGTCTCGAACAGCTATGAAAGTTAGACGTGAGTTGCAGAAGCTTTGGGCAACGTACCATCTATGGTAGTGGGATCTCTTGGGAAAGCGTTAAATCCCTTTAAGTACTCCGATTCATGGCTGGCAGGGAGGCTTGGGGTTAACATGTTTTGAAATGGGACAACTAATCGACAAGGCGCAACCTTATGGTTGAACCCTAAGTTCCGTGCCAGACTAATTCTGGAAGCTTTATCCTCTATACGCGTCACGCATAATTGCAACATTTCTTCCGAGAACTTCTGTCCCTGATTAATCATGTTGCGCATGTTCGACTTTTTATTCAACTCCTGTTTTGTTTCAGTATATCGTCTAATGAGTATATCGTTTCTTACACATACCATGATTTTGTGCAGGCAGTTGACCCCCCTTGAGGCTCGGTCTTTAGAAGAAGACTTGACAACAGCGAGGACTGTCCATAAGCCCTGTTGAGGAAAAGAATTAATTGCTCTGGTCACAATTCTTGTCAATAGATCATATACTGTCCAGTTTGGATGGCAAATTCGCGCGACCACTTGAGGGAGTATTGTGAACAACTAATATTATTAGTACTTTTCCAGTTTTGACTAGGATTGCATACTTACTAGAACCGCTGGCATCCGGTTCATTGTGTACTTTTTCAGTTGCGTGTGCATGTCATCTAGGCTCTTTTTTCGCTGGTTCAATGTATGCGCTTGGAAATCTCTTGATGCTTTTAACAACCTCTATTCTCAACTGAACATGAACTCGGATGGGGGAGTCTCACTCATTGTCGCCTCTCTTCGGATCAAATGGTTGGTCAACGGTTGAGGCATGTTCCAGCCAAAGTGTTAACACCTTCGGCAATGTTTGAAATACATATTTATTGCCATGTGCCAACGAGCGGAGATAGTTATCGATTACGAGTTTCGAAGCCTCGCCACTCAGACTGGGATATTGTGAGCCTCGCACAAACATACGATTAAAAAAACTCACTATATTTGTGCCTCTTTTCCGAGTGGCTTGTTTTTCTCAGAGTCCAATATCTTATTGTAATGCTTGCCAAGGTAATAATGTGCTTTTTCCCACCTGATGTCGGTTAGTTGGTATTCATTTTCGAAGTGGTATACCTCACCTCGTATGAAGTTTAATCGCTTCACGATATCGTTGGACTATGACATCGGATTGTGTTTGCCCGGCTCTATCAGTCCACTTTGCTAGCAAGAGATGAGCCTAGGTGAATTAGCACGCAAGCTTCGCAGAATATGCATCCCCAATACAATTGGATCATACCCTGGCGGCGAGCATGTTCTGGTGCTGATCTTGGTTCAATTCAGCATCGCCTGACAATGGAAGAGTTGCTGCAAACTCATTGGCAGCTATTGCGCCTTTTAGGGTTTGGATGGCTTTTCGATGGTGACCATCCTTCCACAGAAGTCGTGCGTGTTCGACTGTCGCTGATTTGTCCTTTAATCTAGCAGCATGAAGCATTGAATGGTATGCTTGGTTGATGAAATTGCTTTTCCGCGAGAGGCGGGCGCTGGTTAGCCAAGCAGCAGCTATGTCGGGATCTGTAAAATTGCCTCTTAAGTGCTTGTGAGTAAAAGGAGAAGCGGAAAAAGAAAGGAAAGAAAAGAGAATAATAATATAAATATATATATAAAGAGAGAAAGGGAACCCGCTGAGGACTTACGTGAGCTCCATCATAGCTCTTCTCAAGCCAAGGAGGTATTGCTTATCAGTGATATAACCACCAAGGACATCTAAGCGGCGGTTCAGAGCATCGGTAACATGTGAGTGTGAGATCGCTCCGTCGCTGCCAGAATTAGCTATGCATTCAACTTCCGTTAAGGCATGGAGCTTAAGGATGCTATCATGGCATGATTGCAATGATGAGACGGAATTCGCAGTCAAAGACTTTACGACGCTAAGCCGTAGACCGTTGATTATTTCCCCGAATGACATTTTGTCGCCCTGTCGAAAAGCGTTGAGGGCTGATCCGATACCAATGTTGAAATATCCCGTATTTTGCTCTGAGCGTAACTGGAGATAGTTATGAAGCTTCGTCCATCTCCCTGTAATCCACGAAGCCTCCACAGCGAAAGGAAGGAGTCTGGAGAGTGCAGATTCATTCTCTTTGAGGACTTCAAATCGAGTGAGAATAGCATCTAAAATAAAATGAGTCAAATCTCGAAACACAGATAAATAGTGTATAAAGTTTACCCTGCTGCCCGGATTCTTTAAGACAAGTAAGGAGGTTCCATTGGGCATCGCTATTTCCTGGTTCCTTCTCGAGTTGTAATTCATACCAACTTTGCGCGGTAGCCCACCTCCCGGCTTTTCGGTGCTCGAGAACTTGCTGGTCGACGTTAAGCACATGTAAGTGGGTTGAAATGCCTTCTAAACCGTCTGGTTCGTCAATTTGGCTATAGATGTCTTGTAGACGTTGATAGAGTGGTTCGATGTTGGTCCGCTCCTGTTCAACTGCCTGGTTTTTGCATTGCCTAATGTATTGTTCCCAGTGAAAGAGAGCTCTGGAGAAGGATTTGCACTCAACTGCTCTCTTTGAAATGACTTCTGGTGGAATCGAAGCCAAGAGACTTTCAACAGCCTTGATATGTGAGGAATATGCCCCTGCAAGCGAGTTCCGAGCGACTTCTTTATGTGTTCGACTGAAATGATGGCCATGGCTATTCGTGCTATTGTGTTGCTTTTTCTTTCCCTGCAGCCACCTCGACAGATAATCCAAAACTTCAAAAACACTCTGACGATGATACGTAGGATCAGCTTTTAGGGTTCTGAAATGCAGTGGAAACGGGGATGGGTGATTCTCACTTGGCTACATAATATCATGGCTTCGTTAACATGATTGCTCGCTTCAGGGAGAGGGTGTGATAAAACCGTTGTCAACTCAAACTGCAAATCCAACTTTTCTTCTTCTGAACCACCAACTATGCGATTAAGCACTGCAAAAGGAAGAAGGAAGGACGCTATTGAGATATCTTGGCCCTTGACTATGCGACTGCAAATTTCAAATATGAACTGTGCATTGTCACCACTCCCTTTCTGCAGCAGATCTTGAACAAATGTTCGTAGCCATTCACCATGTGTCATTCCAGCATAGAACAGTGGATACTTGCAGTTTGAGTGGATAGCACCAACGGTGACTGTGTACTTTGATGTGAGAAACGGTGTCAATGTATTGCGTACAGTCTCGGGGAGCTCTAGCCAACGATGGTATTTCTCGTCCGCCTGAACATCGCGGTGGCGCTGGATCACAGCCGAATCTAGCTTGCAAGATCTGAGCAAATTTTGCATCGCATACGCGAGAAATCCCTGGGCTCGAGTGTTGGATGCTGATAGGAATGCTTCAACCAGGATGTGTTGTAAAAAGAAGAGTATGAAATCAAACGTTTCCTCCATGCTGTCAAAATTTGATAAGACGAGAATGTCCTTTTTTTCTTTGACCGAGTCTACTCGATTCGGGTCTAGACAACCTATGAGGCCCAGGCATCGTGCTGAAAGGACCGTAATAGAGTCTGAACTGGTTTTAAACTTCACACAGCAGTCCAAAAGGGATCGCGTTAGTTGTGCAACGACGGGATCTGGCTGCTCACTGAGGACAGAGCTATGGAGGAAGCTCTCATGCTTTGACAAATAGGGTACCAGTTCCGTTAAAGCCTGTTCGACAACGGTGGCGCTTTCGCTTTGACATCGGCGGATGAATGCAAAGAACTGACTCCGTACATCCATTTGCACTTTGAGCCCGTTTAGCCAAATCTCAAATTCAGCCATCGCTGGTATTGAGGCCAATGAGGGCATTGTACTGAACGATCCCTGTATTAAATCGTCATGATCCCTCATGATGTGCTCGATAACCTCGTAAGAAAGCCTTTTACTCGCTTCAGTGAATCTTACCCAGTATTTGATTACAATGGATAGGGTTTGGTCAATCAAGGGCTCAACTTCATCCCGCTCCAGCGATTTAATGAGTACTCCCCAAGCTCCAAAAGCATGATCGCAGAGCCCCGGGATATCAAGGGCCGATTTCAGACAAGCACAAATCTGGATTCATCAGCGTCCACGAAGCAGAAAGGCGGTACATATAAGAATAAACTAACCTGAGGCAATGCACTGCTAACATGACCTCGAGCGATCTTTATCATTTCCCCGATTGCCAATATATATCTCTTCTTTTCAGGCAGCGGTTGTCTGACTTGGAAGTCATTGATGGCGTGCGCAAATTGTGTTATGATGCCTAGAACATGTTCTTCCACGAAATGGCCTAGCAAGTCCATTTTTTTCGATGCACTTCCGTGGGCCGATTTACGTGGAACAAGAGCCGCCAGGAGATCAAGTGCTCGATGGAACTTTTTTTTTTTTAATCTCAGTATCGAAAGCTAGGTCTGATTTCTGGATAACTCACTCTTGATTTCAAGTCGTTTCCTTTAGCTTCTCTCGAATCCGCAAGGCCTTTTAACAGGTCGCAGGCAATAAGGATCGGTTCGGTTCTGACCAGCTCTGCTAGTGTACGGCCTCTGAAGGTAGTGTCCACATCCGCTAGAACTGACATTGCCATTGCTTCCGGATTGGGCGAGGGTTGACTCAAGAGAAAAGCAAGAATCGCGGCAAGATTATTCTTCTCAGAACAAATGTCGAAGGGTGACTTGATCTCCTTGTATGTTGCCCCAACTTTGGCGATAAGGCCCCGTTTTCGTGTGAGCACTAAATAGGGCAAAATGTAGAGTTCGGTCAATCGAAGAAAATCATCTACTGTCATTCCAAGCAAGTCACAGAGTTGCTCTGCCATATATGGGCAAGACTGAAAGTTTTTCACAACGGTCACAGAAATGGTCCTCCAGAAGGGTCGGAACAAACCAGCAGGTGTCAAAGAAAGATGCTGCGCAAGTTTGGAGAGCTATTATTTGCTGTTAACCAAGAGCAAACATACGCATTATTGGACAAGTAGTAGAAATGAAAACGTAAAAATAGAGTAAAAACAATAAGTACGTACTTCTGCATATGCCACTGCGCAAACAAATGGATTCGAATGGCCGAGATACTCTACTAGATGAAGGAGGATTATATTCATCTCTTCATCATCCGAAAGTCTGTAGCGCGTCAGATTCACCCTAGTATCAAATACCCAATATCACCACATACCTTGCAAGTCTACACAGAGTCAATATACAGGTTTCATGAAACGATGTCTCATGCTTCTCGGAGAGATTCCTAAGCCATTCTAAAATCACGACAAAGTTACTGCGACGAATCTCTGGATCCAAATTCTTCCTGATGAATGCTGTCACCGAGTGCCTGTGGACTAGTCAATCTCCTTGAGTGGTTCTAAATAAAAGCAGAAGAAGAAGGGAGGGGGGAAGAGGTATACCCAGTGATAACCCGCAGCTCTCTCATCGAACTTCGGAGAGAATGCAAGCAGAATTCACCGAACACCGAGGAGACGAGCTGCATCTGACTAGAGCTCGGAGCATGTACCAAAGCTCTTCTCAAAGCAATCATCGCTGTTGTTCTGAGACCTGGAGCACGCGTGAGATTGGGTAAGATATAGGCATATATATGCCATAACTCGTCGAAATCGGAATATCGCCATTGTGGCACAGAATCATCCTTAAAATCTTCACTGTCGCAAGCCTGACACAGTGGTATGTCTTTGGTTATGGCACCAACGGGTCTTGTAAAGGGATTTCCAGCCATAGAACACGCCGTACCCCCCAGTAAATTTAAGACCTCACATTTTTCTTGCTCGGTAAGCACTACAAATGACTTGCTTTCGTATCCGTTAGTACTCCATTATATATAATTGGTCATGTTGTATAACTTACGAAATGGCTTGTCTCAAGTCTTGGAGGCTCTCGCAGGGCCCACAGTGAAGCAATGTAGATAATTTCGCTATGAGTTGCTGGAGAGTGTTTTGGATTTCAAGTCCAACATGAGGACGTGATAGGCATAGGCGCTTTGAGGAGGGGGAATCTTCATCATGCGACTTGTATTGATCTGCAACCGCTCTTAGCGTGTCTTTATTGAGATCAGAGGCCCCTGCAGTATGCGTCTCAGTTTCATTCGATTTAACTTGCGTGTGTCTTCCGAGTAGGCCTTGTACTGCCCCCTGAAAAGAATTAGTTAGCTCCGTCACCCTTCCGGCGAACATCATTTGCGCTAGGTACCTGAAGGCCCGGATCAAATGTCAGGAACATGGACTTCTTTCTGATATCGATTAGCACGGGCAGAAGTGTGTAACTCATGCACTCAGCAAGCATGTTCGGGCCTTTAGTGGCTTCAATGAGGCGACAAAGAAACGAACTCAAGCCTAGCTGAAGAGCAGGCATTTGGCCGAAACCATCCAAGCTGAATGCCTCACTCAGACATTGGAGCCACGTCTGCGATAATTCTATATCTGATTGCAAAGGACCTGAGCGAAAGGACTCCTGCTCGCCTTTAGGTTCCAGTGATGTCAGAAATTGCAGAACGATCCACGATGTACTGTCTAAAGCAGCAGACCCGGTGTTCTGGTGTAAGCTAACAGTGACTTTCCACAGGCGTTGATACCCGTTCAGGATCCAAGCCAGGTTCTGGCGAGCCAGGAGGTTTTCGCGCTTCATGCAAGGATTGCAGGTGAAACTCGGGCGACAGGAGTTTAAAAGTTGGAGAGCTAAGATTATTGCCCGTGAGTTAGTCCCTAAAGAGACTCTTCGCTCAAAGAGTGCACGGGGAAGACCGAGCCTGTTTAGTTCTACAAGAAGGTCCCCTCCTGGGGTCGGTATGGAGGGTTCGTTTCTACCAAGACCCCGCGGTATGGAGAGGACCAGATCCTCTAGAGATAACAATATGTCTGGAAAATGATTAGTTGAACACCCTTATGAATGCAACTTAAAACCGAAACAGACCCATGGTGCAAGCTCGCAGAAATGCAAAAACAGGTTGACAGGAAAGCCATGGCCTGAGCTGCGGATACGATATGCTTGAGAGCGTAGAAACGATCTTTGCTTCAATAGCTTCATTATTCCAATTACCCAGCAGATCAATAAGCCGTAGAACTAGCCAAGTGAAGAGTGGTGCATGGATGTCAACACCCAAAAGTCCTGGGTCTGATATCTTGATCAAGACTTGGGGAGCTTTTTCAACTGCCATCTGTATAATTTCAAGACAGTCAATGATTTGTCTCTCAAGGCTGCCGTCGCATGGGCCTTCATCCACAGGGAGGCTAGGCTCCAGACCAGCTTTTAGGACGATGCAAATCAACTTGTTGACATCTGTGACACTATCGTCAAGACGTAGCTGGCTATATATTCCGCCAGCAAGCTCTTGACGAAGCTGTGCAAATGTCTCTCGGGTCAAATGGTGAGTCTGTTCGCCTTCAGATGATAGACGCGGGGCAAGTTGCGCGGCCAGCATTGATGAAGCTGGCTCCACAGACTTCCAACCGCCATTTCCTTGCGCTGCTGGGTATCGAAACCCTCTCAGCTCATCGCCGAGTCCCATATGCGATACTTCGGATCTAAGTCTTTCAAACCTGAAGAGGCACTCACTGTGAGGTTGTGTGCATGTTCACTAGCATTTCTGAGCCTTGAAAACAGGAGGTATGAAGCACGGAGAACGCAGTACCAAATACTGGAGTAGATATTGCCAGACCGCTGTATCTGAAAAAGAAGCCAAGACGTAATGTAACGTAAATACACAAAGCTAACCATTATTAGAAGGAAATGTATTGAAAATTACAGGACAATGGAAAATTTACCATAACTTCATGAAGCCTAGAGTCTACATTAATACAACACTTGTAATATTAAAATTTAATGGGAACCCGTACCCTATTACCATTCCCTAGATCTCCGTAGCCGCAGAGCAATATCAGAATAATATTTTCAGACTAACTTAATACCTTACAGATTAAGAGATCTGGTGAGACCTTAGATATGGACGCAACGCATAACTTTTTAGACGTATCTAGGGAGAGCTCTAAGCATGCGTATTTTATGAAGCAAGCATTGCTCATGGTAAGGACTATCGAGCTCCCTCGTTTGTGCCCCATTCGAATTGAGCAAGCTTACCATTCATTAGGGAGAAAAAGCACTCCAGGCAAATGAAACGCCTGTGGGTTGTGTCCTGGTGTATGACAGTCAAATAGTCGGAACTGGGATGAACGACACAAATAAGTCAATGAATGTAAGTTTTCCAGGATACATTATGAATATGCTCATATATTGGCTCTATTGTCATCGAATTCACACTCATTCTGTATCATCTATGGTTTGAGACATATCACATTGGATCCCTGAGCTAACATTGAACAGGGCACAAGACATGCTGAGTTCATTGCCATTCAAGAGATGCTGCAAAGCCATCCCAGATCACACCTGCATTCAACAGATCTCTATGTGACTGTTGAACCCTGTGTTATGTGTGCATCTGCGTTGAGGCAATACCAAATACGGGCTGTATATTTTGGCTGTGGTAATGAACGATTTGGAGGAACAGGAAGCGTGCTTTCATTGCATTCCGAGTAATTTAAACACAGCCCTATCAATACTCGAGTGCTGACGCGCAACAGCTATGCCATTGATTTGCCGTATCCAGTGCATGGTGGATTGTTTCGCAAAGAAGCAATAATGCTACTTCGACGCTTCTATATACAAGAAAACGAAAAGGGTAAGCACATATACATATGCACAGTTATTTCGTTAAGTAGTTGCTCATGCCTATTAGCACCGAAACCTCGCCCGAAAAAGAATCGTGAACTGAACACAAGTTTTGAAGGAGACGCTGAGAGCTTCGATTATATGTGATAATCAGACAGTTAACTTTATCTCGACCGTGACAAACCCATTGTATAGAAAGCGAGCAGCGTTATTATTGCTAATATTGTGTTCTCAAAGGAAGTAAGCGCCTTTTTCTTTTCTTTTCTTTTTTTTTTTTTAATCTTGCATTATGAACCACAGTAGCGCCAGGAGGAATAAGTATACAGGAGCCCACAACAGGCGGGATTGGCAGTCAAATCTTCCAGCGTTTTCATGCCCTGTAACACTACAGTTTTAGTTAGAGCCGGCCTTCTCAGCTTCAAGTTCCCTCTCAGCTTGTTGATAATACTTGGCGGTGTCAATACCGTGCTGGTTTCACTAGTTAGTTCCATATGCCCATATATCATGGAAAGAATTATAAACAAGGTTCAAGATGACTAACCTGGTCGTGATTGACGGCATTGACCCACGGGATAACATGGATAAACATCTCAGAATATCGCGAGTTCCTCGCCGCCACCCCTTGTAGGTAGGAGGAAAGTTTCGAGGCACCGTACAAAGGCTCACCCCTCTTGACTTTGTCAACCATCTCCCTGTTGTCTATCTCGACCTCTCTCGAATTCTCCGTAAACCCGTAAAAGCGGTCTGCGACGTGATTAGCAAGATAAGGAAAGACGAGGCGTCATGAGAGTAAATCCTGGAATTGGCATACTGCAAGATCGCTGATAAAGGATATGGAGACCTCCTACAAGGCCGAGAGCTGTCGCTAGACGCATAACCGGGGCGAAGCCTCCTTTGCCCACATGGGACGGGCTCACCCGTTCCATCATCCAGAACGAAATTGGGGAGGCAGCAGCCATGCCACCAGCAATGGCATAATCAGAGGGTCTAGCATATCCGAAAACTCGTTTCACGTGTCTAAATTGATGTTAATAACCCTAGACAACGGTACTGTGAGGGGTCAACCGTACGGATCGGAGTCGATGAGCTGCAAGACAAGATATGATTATTAGCAGGGTGGCCTCGTCACTGCTGAGTGAACGGAACAGTCAAGCAAACGTACCGGGTAGTCAGTATTTGCCCGTTTGGGGGGGACAATTGTCTTGTTATCGGATACCATGATGACGATGCTGGGACCGTTTTGAGGGAAATACTGACATCGATTCCGCTGCGACGGAGTTGAGTTCGGAGGAGTGCCAAGAGTGCTGTCTACCAAAAGAGGACTAGCGTGTGCAAGGATAATTGGCCAATCAATGTCCGCGGTAGGTAATACCTACCTCGCTATCGGGCACATTATCACCAACATACTGATTATGAGGCTACTGTATTGAGCTAAGTACAATTAAATACTTATCCAACCTGTAATACTGTACTGGGGGTCTCTATTTAAATTGTATATAGAACAGTCCGAGTGCGTTGGTATTTCACTGGCGGAATATATGCCTAAGGCAGCATGTCGCGTAGCCATTATCTATCCGCGCATGTCTGATCAAAGGACCTACTCCGTATTATAGACATTGGTTACGGGGTAGAATTAGTTGAATATTGCTTTTACTTATATACTTACCGTTAATTCCCAAAGCTCGCAAATATGGAGAACGAAGACCCTAAGGAGTCTCAGATGAGTGACCTTTTCAATTATGATGTCGGCTTAGATGACATTTTACGAGATGTCTCGACAACATCCAATACCAATGCTGCGAAGCAACCCTCAGGGCCTAAAGGCTCAGGATTAGGATTGGGTCTTGATGAAGAAGTCAAAGTGTCCAAGAAGCGCCAGCCTGTTGCTAAACTGGATGAGAGCCGGTGAGGATTGGATTTGGTCGCATTTCTATACCGACACGGCCTTATGCTGATATCTTTTCCAGATTGCTTTCTCAGAACGGAATCCCAAAGCTGCGCCGTGCAGCCAAAGCGAAGTTACGATTCAAGGGAAAGGGTCACGAGGTACGCTACGTCAATGCTTGAGCACGTAAGGACAAGCACTAATGAAATATTTACATAGTTTTCCGATGCGGCGCGCCTACTGAATTTCTATCAATTATGGCTGGATGACCTGTTTCCCCGTGCCAAGTTTGCTGATGGTCTTTCCATCATTGAGAAACTCGGTCATTCCAGGCGCCTACAAACAATGCGCCGGGAATGGATAGATGAAGAAAAGCCGAAATCATCAATGGACACATTCGAAGATAGTCTACCGGAAAAAAGCCAAGGAAATGGACAGCCATTTACTGACGCGCATATTGGCGAACCACGTGCAAATCTCGAGGGTCTTGATGACGATAATACCAATGCTACCGTTCCCCGGGAGGAAAGCAGGTCAGATGAAGGGTTGTCTATGTCCGACGCCGAGGGTGGCCAGCGAAACTTAAATGAACCAGAGCCTGAAGATGACGATCTAGATATTCTTTTAAGGGAGCAAGATCAGGAAAGTCCTGCACCAAACAAGGGTCCAACAATATCTAAACCCTCTCATGAGGATATATACGAAGATGATCTTGAAGTCCTGCGTGAGCTAGAAGCTCCAGGTCCTACATCTACTTGATCAAAGTCAATTTGATGGTGTGCCACGATAGCACAAATACATGTTTAATCAAAATTCTTGATAGTTTGTTCGAATTATCTCTCAAATGTCTTACATTCGAGCAGAATAATCCATAGATATCCTACCGCCTTGTATCCTATCCAAAGATGCCGAGCCGGGTACGTGTCAATGCGCATGAGGAATTTAAAGGAATCAATCTATTTAGCAACCGAAAGCACCACTTATTACATACAATGTCCCCCGGCCACTAACAATGAAATAATATCAGTACAAAACCATCAATTCAGTATATAAAACACCGAACTAAGACAGCGTTTCAACACGGCTTGCAAGTTGAAAGGCCAGCTTAAATTCTTTACCAAGAAAGTTATGGAAAGTACAAACAATCATTGGTTGGCAGATTCAGTCAAAACGGAGAATTGACCGCCAGCACCAGCCCAGTTCAGCTTCTTGCCGCGAACAGCGGTGTTCTCAATCACTGTTGCGATTTCGATATCATCCTGCGTACCCTGTCCGGTTTGGTAAGTCGCAGAAAAGCCCCACGACCACGCACGGCCGTCCAAATCAATAGCAAGCGAATGATCCGATCCGGCTGCAACGACACTGGCATTGATACCCGGAACAGCTGTGGGCTCAATCAAGATTCGAGGGCGATCGCGTTCATCTTTGATCACCACTTCATCCGAGAGATTGTCAATTTTCATACCAGTCTGATAACCGTCAAGTCGGCCCCATACAAGGCAGTGTCCCTCTTTGTTCACAGCCATGGAGTGGTGAGCACCACCAGAAATCTGAGTAGCGCCCTTCTCTGTTAGAGATTTCACAAAGGTAGGATGCACAATAGCGGCTTCCGCATCACCGGCGCCTTCCCGAATTCCGGTTTCGCCAAAACTATTTAGTCCCCAGGCGTACACCTTTCCGGATTCATGGATGGCAAAAGAATGAAAAGCACCGGAGCTGATGTGCACAATGTTCTTGGGAAGACCAAATTCCCGAGGCTGTAGACCATGCAGTCTGTTGCGCTCAATGATACGTCGTCCCAACTGATTTTGCTGGCCAGAGCCCCAAGAGAAGACAGCACCCTTTTCATTCAGTGCAAGAACATGATTGTCTCCACAAACCAAATGCTTGATTTTTTTCAGCGACAGAATAAGGGATGGTGTCGTTTGAACTTTATTCTCGGCATCAAACCCCAAAATACCATCGTTACTCTGGAAAATTTTGGCGTTAGCGTGATGTGGTATAATGTATCAAATGCGTAGAAAGAGGATAAAATGACCGCTTACCCTGAAAGTTCCCCAGCCATATACGAGACCATCGTCGGTTAAGGCAAAACTAGAGCTGTCACCAGCAACCACTTCGACAAACACTGTGCCCTCGGGAAATGATTCCGCTGGAATAGCGGTGGGAGTAGACTCGTAAGGATTCAGGCCAGAGTCATCATCTGAATCATCATCTGAATCACTCTTGCTAGCATCATCAATATCTTTGTAGCCACCCTCCCAAGTGGTGTTCCTTCCGAGCGCGCCTTGATCATTGACGCCCCAAGTCAAGATTTTGTTGTCATGCGTGAGAGCAACACAATGCATACCGCCAACAGCGACTTGGACGACACCAACCTTGTCCGCAGGCAACAGAGGATTTAGGCGCGGCCGCTTCACATCGACGGCATTCTTTGCAGGGCCCAACCCAAGCTCGCCGGAGCTACCTTCTCCGAAGACGTAAACGTTCAAGCGCGTTGAGGGCGCAGTGTTTATGACAACCTTTGGTGGTTTTGGTTTTGAAACAGCAGCACGTTTGGTGACGCGAGCCTTCTTGGGTTGCGGAACGGGCTCTTCGCGATCAATGGATACGGCTTTGCGCTTCTTGGAAGCCGGCGCAGTCGTGACAGCCTCATTGGTAGTCTTCGTCTTGCGCGATTTCGCAGACTCGCTAGCTTTAGCATTGGAAGTAGCGGTGCTCGACTTCTTAGCATTCGTGGTGGTTTTCGTTGTGCGTTCTTTAGTTGCAGCGGCAGCAGCTCTGGTGGTTTTCGGCTTTGCAGCAGCAGCTTTGGACTGTGCATTTGCTGCCCTTTTGGGAGGCATGGTTGTGAATTAGGACGCAAAAAGCGTTTTGCTGCGCGCGAACGTGCCGACGGGTCTGCGCAAGATACTCGGGGTGTCAAGTGTTGTTTATAAGCAGGGGATCCGGTAGATCCGGGAAAGAGAAACCCAATTGAATGATGGAAATCAAAGAAAGAAAGGAAGAGGAAAGAAAAGAGAATCCTGGCTAGTTCAGTGTATGAGTGAAAGGAAAAGAAAAAAAAATTTCCTTTGACGCGATGCGACTGTTGTTTTTGTGTTGTGTTTTGTTCCTCGCCGACAAAGGAAAAACGCGCTAACCTCAAACTAGGATGCTTTGTCAGACTGCCACATTCCGGAGAATGAAAGAGTAGGAATAGAGTTAGATCAAGTCGTGCATTAATAGTGGCAATGATTTGAGTAAATGGAAAAGAGTGGTGTAATTCTTCATCACAGCAAGAATTCAGTCACTATTATTATTCTTTCAAAGGACACAGGTATCATAATCATGAGGGTCATCAATTATCTCTTTCTCTCTCCAGTGAAGATATGCATATATACACCTCTCTTGCCTCCAATTCTATCCATCTTGTTGATTCACTGCAACATTCACTGTACTGCTTGTCACCTCAGGAGGAGGTGAAGTAGGTCGAATCTTGCCGCACATGATCACATTTTGCCCCAAAGGTTTCCATGTTACGTCTCGAGGATTCAGGGCGGCATTCGGTTTGCCCTGCTCATCTCGTTTCGAATCGGGACTGACACCCACGCCGCCGCGGCCAAGGTAGGTAGGAGCAACAGTCACGACAATAGAATCGATAAAGTCGGCGTATTCAGGATTCAGCAATTCGCTTAGAACTGTCCCACCACCTTCAATCATGACGCTTTTGACCCCTTCAGACGCAAGGGCACGGAGAATAACTTCCCAGCGGAGTCGCCAATTCTGATTATATTCCACGATGCGAAGGAAGTCACCCCCATGGCCTTTAAGCATCATCAATTTCTGAGGGTGGATCTGTGCTCCTGGAGACACAACGACCCATGGAGCTTTGCCCTTGCCCTCCACGGCGGTTCGTAACATCCTGCATTCGGGTTGAACAGGCCATCGTCCTGTGGGATCAATGATAACTGGCCGCGGTTGCCACATCCTTCCAAGACCACCGAACCCACCGGCTCCCTCAAGCCTACAATTCAGTCCTGGGTTGTCAGCAAGAACAGTTCCGACTCCGATCAGAATTGCATCGTGACGGGATCTTAAGTAGTGAGTCATCAATTTCGCTTCTGGCCCTGACAGAACAGTCTGCATTCCTGGTTCAAGTGAGATCTTGGAATCCATAGAAGATGCATACGATAGAGTGACGTGGGGGAGTTGGCGCTTTTCATCATGATCGGGCATGTAGGGCTCTAGAAAGTCCAAGATGAATTGGGGAAATTGCAAGGTATCTGGCGGTAAAGGATGATTCGAATTTTCTTGTGGAGGATTCAAATCAGATAGGTTTCCCTTATCATCGCTGGACCCACGGATTCTCACTATCCCATGTCCCTTTTGATATTCGTAGCCATCATGTGGCACGAGTCTCACTTCAGGATTCTGCATCCGCCACTTTGCCGAGACGTTTCGGACATCTGTGACTGTACAAAACTTGCCGCCTGCTTCGTAAAGTTTCTCAGGTTCCTCCTGGAATTTTGTGTAGATCGAGGAGGGCAAATAGCCCTTTATTGCTTCCTTCCGAGCAAATTCCATAAGGCCCGAATTCCGCTTGACTTTGTCGATATAATCGAGATCATGCGAGTGTACTGTACTGCTTCCAGGTGTCCGCGCAATCGTAACTGTCGAATATGCACCTTCAAACTTAACGACTTTGATCTGAAAGTTGCAAATGCCGCCTTCTCGCACTCGTTTCTTTCGAGGACGTTTCCCCTCGGGCAAAGGACGTGTTTCAGACGAACGGTGGGTTGGACGCCGCAGACGACACATGTAGTAGTCCGTTGTGCAATGGCCCTCTTTGCTAGAATTGGATCTCTGTTTTACCCAGACGTTGTCGATAAAAGGCCAATATGTTTCAAACTCGTCGAGACTGATTTCAATTGGGTCTTTACACTCAAACATCACTCGCCGGATTCTCGCAAGATTTGGCGGGTTGTTGAAAAGGCTATAGTTGGCTACCGCGTTCCAGTTCGACGATGAGCGGATGGTGTGACCTGTGTCGTTGCTATCCTCCCCGATGTCATTTTGGGGAGGCTGTTCATTCCCGGCGGATGAATGACCTGTCTCTTGAGGATGTGGCTGATCTTGATGTGCCGAGTCCTGCGGCGTCATGGGTTCGTCGTAGGCCGCCTCCATGTCTCCTCCGTCCGAATGAACTGCTAGCCCGTCTTTTGTTTGCGCCAGAGCTTCATTATGCGGGGATTCCAGGTCGACATCCGACGAAATTGATTTCAGGCTCGAGTTAGATGCATCTGAAAGGTCATGGTCCATGTCGTCGAACGTAGCGTTATGCTGGGGTTGGTCTCGGATTCAGTTAAACATGCATACAGCAAGCAATGCGCACGCACAGCCTTCGCTTTTTAACAAATTCTTCCGGCTCGGCAGGACGATTCTCTATAAATACATGCGGAAAACTTCTCTTCAGTTGATAATTCACAAGCAAAAAAGGGGTTACTGGCCACTGTTCCCCCACGGGCGCACAAGTTGTCGAGTGGGATTCACGCTGTAGGAGATGATGATAGATGGGTTTTTGGCGCCTGAGGCTGCCAGCGGGCCAGGCCCGCATCTACCCGCTTGCAAGTCGAAAGAAAAGCGATAATCATTTGATATCAAAACTACGGAATTAGATCTATGAACCCCAATTGCCCTGCTGACTTCAACCTAACAAAGGCGAACACCGTCTAATATGCACCAATTTCCGCCCCAGCACGAGCAAGAGTCTCGTAGACTCTCGGCGGCAATTTATACTTGACCATGCCCGAAAAGATCATCAGATCTTTCGCCATGACCAACAGCTCGTCAGCCATTCCTTGTCTGATCTCGTTCTCGTATGCTCCGGAGTTCAAACGTCCCCTTTCACGGCCAATACAGGCGATACTCCACATGATGACATGTCCAACATTGCGTGAGATGATCGGAGGGAATGACGAAAATGCCTGGGCTGCGCTTCGAATGTAAGAAACAGAGCTTCTGGCCCGTAGCGGAAGAATATTCAATCCATTAATAGCCTACCATACAAAAATCTGTCAGCACTGCATTGGAGAGGAAGGAAGGCAAAGCAAAGAGAAACGCATGTTGAGAACTCACATCAAGAGCTGGTGTCCATTTGCCTGCCTCGACTTCTGCCCTTGCTTCCATCATCCGAAGCAATAAGCCACAAGTGTCACGGTTTACTTGACGGATACGTTGGTAGTACAGAGCATTGGTGTTATAGAGACCGATCATGTTCTTCGCCAAAACAACCGGATCTTCCACCGCTGTCAAGCTGAGACTACTTCCCGGTTCTACCACTTCCTGCCCATCTTCCAACGGATTCGTCCTTGGAAGAAGAGGCTGCAGCTTCAGGCTTGAACCTCCCAAGTCAACGGCCACTGCGTCAGACAGCGCCCGGTTGATTATGTCAATGACGCGGTCATAGTCCTCAGCGAGATGGTACAGGAGAACAGCATCTGTAACTAAGCCCTTGTCATCGGCAACAGCGGCAGCCTGCATTGTTATGGTTTTTAGGAATTCATCTTGATCAACCAGCTTGATTAAGCCCAGGCGCTGCTCAATGACACCCTTGATCCTGGTTCCGTCAGACCGTATATCCCCGAGCAATTTGGCAAAATCTCTGGTTTCCAAGATAAACTCTCGCAAGGCTTCGTGACACACTGACGCCTGTGATTTGCCAAGCGAGCCAGGAAGATCAGCGTTGAGACAAAGCAGCGAGAAGTAGTCAACAGCCGCTTCAACGAAACCGGTACGGAACTCCCGAGTATACTGCGTAACGAGATATCCAAAGTTGATTTGCGGGTGTTGTTTAACCGTAAACGACACTGTTTTTTTTTTTATCTATAGTTAGAACCACAATCGATCTTCAAAAAAAAAAAAAGGGGGGGGGGTTTGAAATTGGGGTTTTGCTCACAAATCTCTTCACCGGATGTATAGAAGTCAGAAACACGCAGAAGGCCATAGTAGGCAAGCGCAATTGCGAAATGTACGGCACTGACTGGGACATAAGACCCAAGGTACGAGACAGCCTGTTCAAACATTCCACCTAGGATCTGTAGGAGAAAGAAAGTACCGTAGCCACCTGGTCCTTCTTGTCCTTTTCCAAATACTCGTTGTCCAATTTCTGTGATGTCGGTCTGGATATCCTCCAGGCCGAAGACATCGCCTGCAACTTCCTCGGCGCGGTCGTCCTCTCTAGCCAAGGTAAATTGCAGCCATATCCAATCTTCGACACTTTGGTTGATTCCTTCTAAGCGCCTCCGGCTAAGTTCGCAGCGCCCAATGATCTTGTAACATGCCATTCGATAAGGATCAACTGTGTTGTCTGGTGCATTGCGCGAACGCTGTTGATACTCGCCATTGATCTTCTGCTGCATATCTCTCGGAAGCCGTCGATTTTGTGCGTAGGTAGTCATGTATGTCACAAATTTGTGATCCAACGACCGGAAGCCAGGATCTTGGCTCACATATTCCGCTGCTTCGGTGATAAATCCACACCGAAGGAGGTAGAATATTAGGATCCAGCAATAATCTTGACCCACCATCTGCAACTCCGTCCCATCTGGTGCTAGATCTTTTCGGACAGCCCGAAGTCGAATATAGGCGCGAATTTTGTTAATTACACTCGGTATACCACCAAGCTGTGCCTCTCGGGGGTTCTTGGCAATCACATTCTCGACGTCATCATAAAATGACTTCTCAAGGAATGATCTCGAGCCTTCAACTATTCGTTTGCGCAGGTTGATTGCTTTGCGGGAATTCGGTGTTTCGTCAAGGTAATCTTCAGAGAATCGTCGCTCCTGGATGCTACCGGGATCAGACGCGCTCATGACCTTCGGACTCTCGTTAACGATGCATATCAGCGCTTGGTATGCATCAAATAATTGCCGAGGGACCTATTGATGACCAGTTAATGCGAGGCTAAACGCTACAATAAGATTATGACTTACATCACCGCCAGCATGTTGCTCAACGCTGGAGAACTCGTGAAGTACGGGGAAAGTGTGCCCCTGAAGTCGGGCAGAGTTTAATAGCTGGACCCGGTCTGCGTAGTAACCCATCTTTTCTCGCAAAAACCGTAGATCTGGGGCATGGACAGCTGGCCCTTCGCTGCGTTCGGCGGGATCTTCAAAAATCCGAGGCCGAGCAAATCCAGTTCCTGGTGTACCGATGACGGACTTCTCTAGACCAGATCGACCAAAGACACTCCTGCGCGAGCCTGGCGACTGGCCAATAGAACCAGGCTGCTTGAACTGCCTCGTTGAGCGACCACCCAAGCCCTTCGCGGTTGCCCCCATGCTGTCACTGCCCTGCGCGAGCCCAAAATGCTGAAATATCTTCCGGCGTTGTTCTTCCCAGTCCAAATCTACCTTTTCTTCCAGGAATACGTCGAAGTCCCTGTGGGCTCGAGCGAGACTTTCAGCGATCATCACCTGCCGGCCACGCTGTTGCATGTTTCTCAAGAACTTTTGGTTATCCGGATCGAAAGAATCCTGTTCTTTTGAAGGGGCTGATATCGACGCCTGGGGATCCAATGCCTTGAGATCTCGAATTGCGTGCCCTGGAGACACACCTGACGCGGCCAGTAAATAGTGGCTGTATAGAGCCAAGCAAATGTCAATCGCGTTTTCTGAAGCAAATGAGGGAGTCGGAGTTGAAAATTTTCACTTACGCTTTGGAGTTCAGCCCATGCTGAGAATCCTTGGGTCCTCCCGAGCCGAGCTCTCGCGCCTTCCTCCGGATGTCATCAAGTCCTAATTGAAGGCTGGGCAACTCCTCAAAATTGCTGTTCTGACCAACGGCGGACAATGGTCTCTTTTTACCACGTTCCAGCAAGCTGTTGAAGAATGCAGGTTGAGTTGTTTGGCCAGAAGACCGCACTGGCTGCGTTTGGCTCTGCCCAAAGATTGAAGCCTGACTAGGCTGTTGCGAGGCTTGCGGCTGGGAGCCGAAGATGGAGTTGGCTGGAGCAGGTTGAGTTGTAGTGGTATTTCCGAAGATGCTGGACTGATTATTCGGAGAGAATATACTCGCTGGCTGCTGCTGTTGTTGTTGCTGTTGTGCGGCTCCTAACCCACCACTTCCAAACAAACCGAAATTTGAGGAAGCCATTGAGCAGGCCTTGCCAGTAATTACAGTCGCAGTAAGGTAGCGAAGGTAAAAAGAAAAAGTCTTCGGAACAGTTGGGTATGCTGCTGGGGCTTTGAAAAACAAGTCAACAAAATGAATACTGGGCTTAGATGGGACGGGTGAAGCTTAATGAATGGTATAAACCCACAAATTCGAAGCGCAAAGAAAGGCCACCCAAGCAGCCGATTATGAAGGCTCACCTTGCTCGTTTATCGTCCGTTGATTTCGTGTTTATGGAAAAGCTAACTACACTTCCAAATTCATTTAGCTGTATGCCGGATGATTATTTGTTCCGCCGGCAATTTGCAGTTATTTTATGCCTCAGGCTTCAATGGGAACAATTCTTGTTCCGCGTTTGACATAATTCCTCCGTATTATTTGTTTAGTTTAATACGCCTGTTCAGGGCCTTGTTAACTAACAAAACAATGCCTGCCTTCCAAGCCAAAACTTTTCGTCGCACACCGACAGCGTCGTCGCCTCTAGGAGAACGAATTGGTGCGGCATACCGATCCAGATTAAGCAGGCATCCGTTTATGCTCTTTGGTCTTCCCTTCATTACGGTCATCGTCGCCGCATCCTTTGCTTTGACCCCAGCTGCCGCCCTTAGATATGAGCATTATGATCGCAAAGTACAGCAATTGAGTAAAGAGGAAGCAATGGACCTTGGACTCCGAGGGCCGGATGGGGAAGAGGGAATCAAGAGGAACCCGCGAAGAAGAGTTATCGGCGATGAAAGGGAAGAATATTACGTATGTCATCATAATATTCTCCATTAATCACTATATACACTAACAACTCTGAAGAGGCTGATGGCCAAGGATTTGGATAACTGGGAACAAAAGCGAGTTCAGAGATTCCAAGGCGAGCCAGACGGAAGACTGTGAACAGCCCAGCCCTTTTCGGGCGAACAAAATGGCTTCGACAGCCTTGTTCACTTCGCATTCACATATACCGCCCAGGTGTCTAGACCTAGGTGTTGGTGGCTTCTCATCAAGGTATCATCTCCTATTCGGCTCGCATGGGATTAGATATGTAGATTTCAGTCTTCAGTCTTCAGCCAGGACCTGGGAGGGGTTTATTTCATCTCCGATGGCGTCAGATACAAGACGCTGTGTGGCTAGATGATGTCCGTGTGCAAACGAATTTAATCTCTCCGACATCCAATTGCTTCATGAATATGCCAATTGCCATATTGCCTCGTGCACATCTGGACCACGCCACAATTCCAGTCATGAATGCTGAATGCACTGTGGTGTGCGACCTGCTTCCTTCTGGCGCTTGAATTGACCATCTAACTGGATCTTTTTCGCTGTATAATGAGAGCAAGAATGAGAACCAGGATATGTCATCAGGAGTCATGTTACGTGAGGTGATGTATTAAAACCATAGCATCCTTTACGATACTCCTACATGGTAGTCAGCAATACGGATCCTGCCGTGTTCCCGGAATAGCTCTCTTTGTAGTACTCCGTAAAGAGTACTAATGACTTTTCAATAATGGATGAAGATAGGATAACCGTGGAATTTGCTGGCACATCATCTTCCATAACGTGATCGACCACCGAGCTGGCCAGCTAAAGTACCCATATAAAATGCTATGCTTTAAACCATAATATCTTACCATTCATTAACTATTCTAATTTGACCTAAAAAACAGATTATGTAAGTACAACTACCTGTAAATTAATTTTGAGCTAAATTTTACCTATACTGTCTCTAAATACATACTTATGTTGTTCTTACCTCAATATTATATTGTAATCTAGACTATTATGATAACTAGCTTAGCAAATGGCTTGAAATTGGTGATAATCATTATAATGACCTTTATAATTTTAATTTCAAATCATCCATTCTGTGTCTACAAAGAATGCTGAGATATGATGGTTTAAATATGACATTTTGTTTGAGTATTTTAGCTGGCCAGCTCGGTAATCGATTACGTTAATCACATACATAGTGTACTACTCGGTAGTCGTGTATCCTAGAGCAACGTGAGAGTCTCGATTCCCGAAGATCGCATGAGACCATGACCAATTCTCACCTATAGTATCAAAATAATATAATAATACACAATACATAACTACGGAGTATTGAAATTATACTCAACCATGCCGTGTTATCATTGGGAGAAATGACGATTCCAGAACGGCCCGCTGCAACTGAATAAATTATGATCGGGGGAAATCCCATGTTTTCTGCACACCTCTTCTCTTTTTGCCGCTGGCAGACATAACGTCATGGGCCTCTTACCAGGTTTCCCTTCAAATTCCCTCGCCTCCAGATTTTTTCTTTTTTCGCCCCTCTCTTGAGCTTTTTTTTTTTTTTTTTATCTTTCTCCAATCGGTCTCTTATTTTTCCCTTCCTCTCTACCCATTTCTTACCTTTATTCGAGATTATTGTTCCCTTCTCCGTCTGTCTCCCTGCTTTGTACATAACCTTTTTGACTTGTTCCGGCTGATGGCGGTGGATCAATGATATCAAGTCATACCCCTCCTCTCCACAATTGTCGATTATTTTTTGGCTTCAATTGGCCCAGGAACCTTACAGACAATTCGCATCCGATCCCTCGCGGAGTTCCCCCCTTTAAGTGAGCCCCAAGTTGTGTTCGGGTGGCTAGACCAACGATTCTCACCTGTCTTCGGTCTCCAATTTGTTCCTATTCCGGTTCTCTGTGAATGTCTTTTTCCCTCCACCAGGCTCTTCTCTTTTGCTCTTCACCGTTTTTCCTTTTCCTTTCCAATTAAGCAATTATCTTGGATTACTTCATCTTTCTTCCTTCGTCAGAAATGCTGGATTGCAAACGCCACCAAAGCTTGCCTCGCCGGTCTTAGAGAAGAAGGAAAGAAAAAAGAATCGATTCTTTGTACAACAACTTCGGGTCGTCCTTTTACTTGCCACCGAACCTTGAGATAAGAAGAAATAACGGGTACTCGTGCACTTGTTCACACTCAACAATAATCTTCAACGAGGTGCCGTTCTTTTTATAAACCTATCTTTGTCCTTTCTCATTTCCCTTTGCCTTCCTCCTGTCTGCAGTTTTTTTTTTTTTTTTTTTTTTTCTTTTTTTTTTTTTTTTTTTTCCTCTCATTTTCTTTTCATCTACGAGATCTCGAGATGGCAAGCTTGTTCATTCATTTAACATCATAGCCTGTTCTTTAGTTCTTTTTGTTGAGGAACAAAAGGGGGGTGGGAAATAAAAAGAGAAAATAATTATGTCCGCCATGACAGGACCGAGGCATTCTCCTTCGTCCCCGTGGCATCAAGATACTCAAAACCAGCCACTTGCCAGTGCAGGCACTAGTCACCATCACACTGTGTCAGGCCATTTGAGTCCTAACTACTTTGCCATTGGCGCAAATGACGCTAGCAACCCACATGATTTGAAGCAAAGTTTCCATACAAGGAATAATTGGGATATAGCTTCTCAGCCCCACACCCAATCATCAGTCCCCAGTCAAAGACCGCAACTACTACCCCAGAAGTCAGTCTATGAGGACATCCAGGGCGATTATATGAGAGGTCCCACTGTGAACGAAAATGATCGCAGAACGTCTGTCTTACACGGCCTACCATGGAATCCCGAGTTGCAGAAGACAAATTCATCCGAACGGACTATCAACTTACATTCGAGCCCTCGGAATTCATATTTTCAGGAACCAGAACATACAATTCGAAACAGCCATAGGCCAGATGTATCTCGGATCGATGGTTTGCGCCCGCAGGATTCAATGCAACAGACATCCGGCCAGGCCCGTCCTTTTCAGTTGTCATTTCAGGGTGGGTTGGCAAACACTGGTTCGCGCCAAAATACGCCCGAACCCGGGTTTCAGACATCGCATCCTGCTCACGGGGTCAACTTCGCGTCCGCCGAGCGTTGCGCCGAGTTAGTCATATCAGCCCATCGGGAATCAATATTCTTGGATGTGCGTCCATTTACGCATTTTGCGCAGTCTAATATCAGAGGATCGCTGAATCTTTGCATCCCAACCACCCTCATCAAGCGACCCTCGTTCGACACACGGAAGTTGGAGAACACATTTACGGATGATAGCGCGAAGACGAAATTTGCGAGATGGAGACACTGTCGCTACATTGTCGTTTATGATGCCGCTACAGCTGATCCGAAGGACGCGGGGCCACTATCAAATCTGCTGAAGAAGTTCACGGCTGAGGGATGGGAGGGTGAAGCGATGATCCTAAAAGGTGGTTTCAAGACGTTCTCGAACTGCTTCCCCGGCCTCACGCAAAATAAGCAAGGGGAACAATTGCAGACGGCAAAAAAGGCTGCCCCGAAGAAGCCAACTTCAATGCATATCAGTCTTCCGGCCGTTGCTCCAGTCGCCGGTGGGTGCGCTTTGCCGGAGTCATCCGCCACAGTCATCCCCTTTTTCGGGAATATTCGCCAACACATGGATCTTTTAGGTGGTGTTGGGCAGATCTCTCTTCAACTTCCTAGGCAGTTAACTGAGTCAAAAAGACGGTTGTTACCCTCCTGGCTACGGGATGCTTCGAATCCCAATGATCAAGGCCACAGTGTCTCGCAAAAATTCTTGAAGCTCGAAGAAAAGGAGTTGGAGCGAATGAAGCAGGCGTTCTCCTATGGATCGACTGTCGATGCTACCTCATCGAAAAAATATCGCATCGCAGGCATTGAAAAGGGGACAAAGAATAGGTACAACGATATCTATCCATTTGATCATTCTCGTGTTCAACTTCAAAATGAACCAACCGGTGGCTGCGATTATGTGAATGGAAATCATTTGAAAGCCGAATACAGCAACAGAAGTTATATAGCGACCCAGGCCCCTGTGCCGGATACATTCAACGTGAGTGCTTATTCCTTTTTCTTTGTGTGCTTTTACGGGTCCTTTCGCCCTGGAATATTTTGGATTCGGTATCGGCTAATATGCTTGTTAGGATTTCTGGCGCGTTGTCTGGGAGCAAGATATCAGATTAGTTGTTGCACTCACCGCAGAATTTGAACGGGGCCAAGTGAAGTGTCATCCGTACTGGGAGTCCGGGATGTATGGGCCTCTTCAGGTCAAAAACTTCTCGCAAAGATATGTCTACATGGATAGGCCGGGTTCATCATTGGCAAACGATTCCGGCATAAAACCATCGGCGGCGCAAGTCGACTCCAATCAACAAAATGAGGGTGACGATCCTTGCATTATTGTCAGACACTTTGGCCTGTCCCACTCTGCGTTTCCATTCCAACCGCTACGGGAAGTTACACAGCTTCAATATCCCTATTGGCCTGATTTCGGCACCACCGCGCAGCCATCTCATCTGTTGCAGTTGATTGAGCAGTGTAACAAAGTCATCGAGAGCACCAGTTATACCGCTTTCAGCAGTAGCGAGGCAGAACCGCAGGGGCAACGGTCGGTTTTGGTACATTGTAGTGCGGGCTGTGGGCGCACTGGTACATTCTGTGCCGTTGATAGTGCACTGGACATGCTAAAACGACAGCGCTCCAAAGCGCAGCATTCATCAACCAATGATAACGATAACCCGACTGATGATGGGTGGGTCTGTAATGAAGAGCTGGATCTCATCGCAAAGACCGTCGCCGATTTTCGGACTCAGAGACCAAGTATGGTACAAAACCTCGGTCAGTTCGTGCTTTGTTACGAGAGTGTGCTCGAATGGGTTGTATCTCAGATGTCAGATGGGGATGATATCTCCCAATGAAGGGTCATCTGAATATATTGTGGTTCATTGCTTTCATTTGCACCCGTGCGAGATCTCATTTGATTGATGTGTTTTTCTTCTCATCGTATTACATGGGATACCCATTGTAATGATGCAAACTGCTTAGTTTGATATTATGGTTTTGGGGGTTACCAGCAGGGGGTCTCTTGGACTAACTTTACTTATAATCTGTCATACTGCTCTGGTGCATGTATATAAATAACGCATTCTTGGGTGTTCTTTGTTCATTTGGGACCATGGCGTATTATGAATTAGAGAAGGGAATAGCCCTAATTCGTACTTTCTCACAGAAATTGCATCTACAATAAATTCACTTCAAGCTAGGCTCCAATCCAGGTCTGGAATTCTGCCTGGTTATTGTGGTGAAGGTCTCTCTTCTGGAGGCTTGGGGCCTTCTGTAAACGTAGGCAACAATGGTGGTTGGGAGCCTCAGGATGCTCTCCGCCTTTAGCGCAAGCCGATTTATAAGACCCCCCCCCAAAAAAAAAGCTGTGTTCCAATTTGTGTCCACAGTTCAAATCTACTTGAATATGCTTTGTTTGGTTTATCTCCATATGTTTAAAGGCCACCCGGTATCCGCTTTCTCGACATACTAACCAGATCATTTTCACCTAATCTGTTCCCGGTACGAAGCAGCAACCAACAAGATATATTGAAACCATGCTCTTAGATCTCCCTCTTGAATTATTACTGCTTGTCCTTCAAAATACCAGCACTCCGGCATATTTACAAGCCACGGTTACTTGTCGTACTCTCTACGAAGTTGCGACAAGTTGCCACAGTTTGGTCTTGCATCATGTATATCAGACACCTGGTGTAGTCACAGGCGTGAATTCCCTCGAGACAAAAGAACTATTCCAATTATTGATTAAACGCTCATTTCGGCAATTGTATGGTGCAGAGTTCCGCGCAAGTTGCCAGGCATTCGGTTTCGAGTCTCAGGAAATTGATGTTCAAGCCTCATCTCTTGCGCCTTCCGGGAATACGAGTCTTACACTTGCCGCCAAGGGCCAATCCGATGTATTCCTCTTTCAAGCTGAGGGCAAAGGATTTATTTCACCCCGGGCTCGACTGAAAGTGCCAGAACAGTATGAGCAGCAATTGGGGGTAATGGAAGTGCTCAAGACGACCGTTCGTGGGGAGCGTGATGTTTACGTCCTTTGTCGGTTTACGCCCAATATAAATGAAGATGGTCCAGATGCAGATCATCCGTTTGTTCAACAGGCACTACAGTCGAGGCATTATAGGATGGTCGTTCTGTTTCATTTTGAAATACAGTCATCTAACTATCATATCCGGACGTGCTATTTACCGGATCACTCTGAATATGAGGCCTTGGCCATTGCGGTTGCCGACAGGGACACATTTGCTATATCCTGGCAACATCCTCGAGATGATCATGATTTTGATGTTGTCCTGTACAATGTAACGGATGAGGTACCTGATAAGGATACAAATATAATCGGTCGGTCATTTCACTACCTATTCTCCACACTCTCCCTCGTCATTCCCATTCTCGTATATCTGCCATACACTCGCTGATAAACAACAGAAATCAATTACGAATCGTCAAATCTTATTGATGAAAGCAGACCGCGCCCAGTTGGAGGGCCAGTAATAGGCCTTAGCTTCAACGACAGATCAAGTCAACTACTTTACTACCACCGGGCACAAACTTTATATGGGTCTTATCAACATCTGTCGACATTTGACCTACATCGGAATACAAGCACGGTGCAGTTTTCTGATTCCTTGAGTCTTCCTTTCTCAATCTCAATTCCGTTTTTTGGCACGCACAAAACACTCCCCCGCAACGGTAACCCAATGTGTAATTGGAGGTATCTCTCTTTCGGAATCGCCAAACATCGAGAAGAGAACTGGACTGTTGCGTGCTTATTGAAGTCTGAGACATTCTGCCAATCCCGCAACTGCGGGCATGTTTTGAACCTTGACCGCGGACGACGACTATCTGGATGGACAATAATTGGGCACCTCTGCGACTATCAAGTTCCAACAAGCTCCCTCGGTGGCATTGTTGCTGCTTCACCTGGCGGCACGCGCATCGCAATGGCCAACTGGAATATCATCTACGTCTGGGCATTGGAGCCTAATGTACTTATCGGAGAGAACAGCGATGACTTCTATCGACCATCTTCGCGATCAGAAAATACTGGGGCGGTCGAATTACAGCCCATTGTCCTTCCACTAGAAGCTGTTTGTTTCAAGCTGCGATTCATGGAAAATGAAGACGAGTTGTTAGCCCTCACAGATCGCGGCCTGATGTACTGGGACATCAGCCCGTTGGCTAAAGGTGAAAAGACGATTCATCACTGGTCCTACAATGGCTTGCTTGCTTGAAGGAGACGGCTTGTAACAGTTCTATAGCAATGACTTTTAGCCGTATTTTGCTGCAATAAAAAGTAGGCAACCTCGTTCTTCAGTGTGTCCGTGCTGATGATCTTGTTCCACGTTTGTTGTCCACCCTCACTTGTTTCTTGATATGCTGATATATACTAGAATTTAGATGCACACTACAATGATCACTGTAGGCTTGTGGAATTTTCACGACGAAGCACCCCAAGTAGAAATATATTAAAATGGCTCGCAGGGAAATGATGTGATATGACCGTCGACTACTTTGCAAAGGACATACTCTTCTCCATAAAGTAATATGTTAGATTATATGCAGTACCCTGTAAGTAGTGCTTATTGTTGACCCTCTCCACCACCAGACATTGCCAAAAACGTTACTATGAGGAAGACCCACCAATACCTGTGGTATCAATTTATCAGACGCGCCACCTAGCAATCAGGGACGGGAAGGGAAGAGAACTCACTTTTGGAAGAATGTCTTCTCGACAACCTCCTGTGGGCCCTGTCCATCTGGACTAAACACGATAGGCCGGTTGAGATGTGGACGTGGTCCTGATTCAGTACGTACCAGTTCAGCGTCCGGGTTGATTCCTTCTGTGGCATCACTCGAAGACAAGGACGACGATAGTCTTAAGGAGACACGGTAGACCTCATTCGAAGGCCCCAAATGAAGCTGAATCGTCGGTTTGGCATCACCAGCCCCCGTGAGAGACGACAACGAAGTGACGGTTCCAACCCATTGCTTGGGGTTAGCTGGGGTCGATGTGTATAGGCCAACACGGACGAGCTTATCGATGTGGTCTTCGGCATCTGTAGTCTTGCGGCTCGCGGCGGGAGGGGAATACGACAAGACTTTTGATTCCAAAGATGTTGGATCGTATGATACGTGAGCGAGGGTCGAGGGTTGATGAGACGCCACGGGCCAGTAGAGGATGTCGATTGCGGCCTGTTCAGAAGAGGACGCGGCGACCACGAATGAGGCCAGGAAAGAGAGAATCGGAAGGATTATGGGCGAGAAGAGCATGATGAGCAGTTTTATCGGGACGAGGATAAGACCAAATAATATTTTTGAAAGTTCTAGATAGGATAATTTTTAGGTTCATGTAGAGGCGCGCTTCATGTTGCGACAGGATCACTGGTGAAAATGACCAGTCAGTCCTCGGCCCTGGGGTGAAAAAGAGAAAAGAAAAAGAGGAAAATATATTTGATGGCTATGAGGCTTTAAGCAAACATACCTATATCGAGTTTGACTCCTGCTGTGAGCCGCTTGCTAGGAATATCTGGTGCGTACAAGTACCTCCGCCCATGTAGACAGCTCTGCAAGAAGTTGAATTAATGATTGTGACTCAAACGGGAAGGTCTGCCGAAGCTTTACCATACAATACATGTACTGTATGATTGTCAGCCCATTTTTGCATCATTTGTTCCTGAGTCATCAAAATACCAACGTTTGCGAACCTATGATGATAATAGCCTGAAATCCGGAAAGATCCCTGTTGGGGATCGCAATTGAGTTGGAATATGTATTATGTGTACTTTGTATCGGTGTCTTCGATACCAGCCATTGGCCGGAGGATAGCCTTCCGCTGCTATTCCGTAGTGAGAATCTTTAAGTTGGAAAAACTTGATACTCCTACATATCTGTTCTGGACGCAGCATTATTATTATGTATTGATGTAAATTCCTCTGCTTTTCGCGATTGTTCTGCGAATCACATGACTCCACAGTCCCGATTTCCCCACAAATTAATGTCATCGACCTTTGCCCCACGGGTCTGGGTCCGATGCGGTCATAGCTCCCTCTCGCCTGTTAAATTCGGTCCCGCCATCGATGCTATCCTGAACAACATTTTTGACCAATTCTGTGTGTTCCTCTGTAAAATTCTGCTTTTCGTCCAGATATATTTGAAAGAGTTTCCTATTCACCGTTTCCCCCCTTCGTAGCCACCATGGCTTCACCTCACCACCGTCCTTCCCAGCAGGGCTCCAGTCACCTCGATCATTTCATCGGAATTGACGTTGGTACCGGCAGTGCCCGTGCTTGCATTATTGATGCCAAGGGTGATATTGTCGGCTTATCCTCGGAGAACATTGGTCTCTGGCAACCACAGCAAGGATACTATGTAAGGCAGAGTAGGGCTTTAGTTCTTATTAGGACCTTCACTAACCCGATGGCCAAACGTATAGGAACAATCCACTAGTGATATCTGGCGGTGCATCTGTCTTTGCGTCCAGCGAGCCATCAGCGAGAATAATGTCGACCCTGAATCGGTCAAGGGTATCGGGTTCGATGCAACATGCTCATTGTCCGTTTTCTCAAATGTCGACGATGAGCCAGTTTCCATAACAGGCCCCGACTTTGACTCGGACCGCAATGTCATCCTTTGGCTGGACCACCGTCCGGTGGAGGAAACCGAAGTGGTGAATGCCACTCAGCACAACTTGCTCCGCTATGTGGGCGGCAAAATGTCTATTGAGATGGAGATCCCCAAGGTGCTGTGGTTGAAGAATCATATGCCCAAGGAACTTTTCGACAAGTGCAAATTCTATGATCTGGCTGATGCACTAACATACATTGCCACCGGCGACGAGAAGCGAAGTTTCTGCAGTGTCGTATGCAAACAAGGTTATGTTCCTGTCGGTGTTGATGGAAGTGTGAAGGGTTGGCAGGAGGATTTCCTTGCGGATATTGGCCTCAAGGACCTAACTGAGGAGAACTTTAAGCGGATGGGTGGAGTCGATGGGGTGGTGAGCCTATTTCTTTTCGATCATGTCAAGATTTCTCAATTAGGACTTTGGAAGCTAACTTTTTCTTCTGTTTCTTTAGAACGGTGATTACCTCAGTGCCGGTGAACTTGTCGGTCACCTTTCCGAGAAGGCAGCTAAGGAGCTTGGCTTACCAGCAGGAATTGCTGTTGGCAGCCCTGTTATTGATGCATACGCTGGTTGGATCGGGACCGTCGGCGCCAAGGTTGACTTCGAAGCCGGTCAACTGAGCGCTGGTGCTGCCAAAAACGATAAAACTCAGGCTTTTGGGCGTCTCGCGGCCGTGGCTGGAACTTCTACCTGTCATCTTGCCATGTCTCCTGACCCTGTTTTCGTTCCGGGAGTTTGGGGTCCATACCGTGACACCATCCAACCTGGATATTGGATGGCCGAAGGAGGCCAATCTGCGACAGGGGAGCTCCTTAAGTATGTCATCGAAACTCATCCGGCCTATCATCAAGCGAAGTCCATTGCAGAGTCGTACAATGCCAACATCTACGTGTATCTGAACGAGCACTTGAAGGAGATGGCTCAAGAACAAAAGGCTCCCAGTATCTCCTATCTGGCACGCCACTTCTTCTTTTATGGTGATCTTTGGGGCAACCGCTCTCCCATCGCAGATCCTGGGATGAAGGGTTCGGTCATTGGTCTCACCAGCGATAAGACGGTTGATGGACTTGCCATCCATTATTATGCCACACTTGAATTCATTGCGTTGCAGACAAAGCAAATTGTCGAGAGCATGAACGATGCTGGCCATAAGCTTACATCCGTTTTCATGTCTGGTTCTCAATGCCAGAATGACATCCTGGTTGGACTTGTTGCTACTGCTTGTAACATGCCTGTTGTGATCCCGCGGTACGTCCATGCTGCCGTATGCCACGGCGCTGCCATGTTAGGTGCCAAAGCGGCCAGTGCTGATGAGGAGGGGAAAACCGAGGATTTGTGGGATATCATGGACCGATTTAGCAAGCCCGGAAGGAAAGTGCCCCCGTTGACGAATCAGAACGAGAAGGCTCTGCTCGACGTGAAGTATAATGTCTTTCTCGAACAATGCCACAAGCAGCAGGAGTATCGCGCTCTTGTCGATCAGACAGTGGGGTCGTGGAAATAGAGCTGACATAAATTTATGATTATGCGTTATGGGTTAGGTTACTAAAAGCATTTGTGGGGGATCTGAACAAACTAAATATGTAATATTGCGCAACGTTATACGACAATCAAGACTTTCCAAGTATAATATCTGATTCTACATCGAAACCTGCACATTCTAAGTGTAATACCGTAGAACTAACGTAAGCTTACAAGAACCTAACGTCAATCTGGTACCACCGTAAACCGAAGCTATCAAATCCCGTTGCGTGAGGAATGCACAAGAGTAGTTTATCCCATGATGTACGTCATGTTAAGCAAATGCAGGCAGGTGATAAAGTTCCAAGTTTTATTCCTTCCTTTCGTTTATTGAGTTGAATATCCGCTAATACTTACGCCGATGCGCATCTCAATATGCGTTTCCGCTACTCGACCGGCCTATCGTATAAAACTTCTCTGTCCTGTCAGCACTGAGCGCTAGTGTATCGAACCGGTCCACGCCCATGGTCTCCAGGTTACTATATCCAGATAGGTAGAAACCAAGGACTACAACAAAGTACGTGAGGACGAGAATCGATCCCTTGAAGTAGTTGCTCTTTCCTTCTCCGTGAACGTAGGATAGAAGGAAGACGCATAATATGACGCAGATCATATCCCACTGAGGGAAGATAAGGCTAATCAAGGAAGATGCGTCAGTGAATCTTGGCTTGTTGTGAATGTGTGGAATCAGTAGTATACTCACTTGAATGAATGGCTCACGAGCTCGGCTGGGTCGATTAGACGACAGTAGAAAGCGCTAAATAAGACTAAAGCAGGAATCTGTAGAAGGCAGACTTGTAGTGCATAGGCCGAACCGATCTCCATGGACAATGCGATGTTGCCATTCATTGCAAATGAGATAGCATTCTAAATGATATAATCCATGAGTGAAATCGAAGCGATATGACAAAAACGGATCAGAATCATACCAAGAATTCTGTGGTGTTGGGAACCAATGCAAAAAGTGTGATACCCAAGAACTTCTCATCAATGTCAACACTCTCCAACACCACATCTACTGTGTTTACTAGGATCTCGGCGATTATTGCATAGAGCACCGTGGCACCAAGAAGCACGACGGAGCTCTTGGTTCTACTCCAATTGGGCGCGTCATGACCACCGCTGGCATGTGCGTGTTCAAGCCCAACATCCTCGTTCTCAAGAATCGCTTTCACTGGGTCAGGGGTCCCCTTGTCCTTATTATTGCTTTGGCGCGAGGGAGGCTGCTGGATTGAAGGCTTCCGCGCTCGAGCTGCATCACGAGCTGCGACAGCTGCAGCCGTAGCTGCGACTTCTGTGACCTGGCGGACGAGATCCTCATTATCTTGGCTTGAAAGGCCGCTGAAATTCTTCAATCTTGTCGATTCTGGGCGTGGAGGAACGAGATACGGCGACTTGTTATTATCATGACCAGCGCTGGATATCGATTGTTCCAACGCGTCGTCTGGATTGATATCCGACAGACCAACTTGTTTTAAGGACTGTCCCAGAATTCGTTTGTATAACTGGGACTCACGAATGGAGGTCTTCGCATTGGGATTCACACTGGTAGATGCTTGTGGTCCATCGGGGAACAAAAGGTGTCTCGGTTCGTAGGGAGCTGGATCATGAGCGAGAGCCACAGCCTTTTTCTCTTCAGCTTCGGTAGCCCATATGAGGGCAGCGTGCGTTCTTAGGGTAAACCATAGACCGATCACATAGGACAGGAACAAAAACAATGCTGCAAACCATGAATAGGGCTGAACGGCCTTGCGGAAGAACTTATCATTCACGGCAGGGATCTGAGAGAAATAGCAACGACGGCAATCACTGCTAACGGCTTCCGCGGCCGAGCTGCAAGAGCGACAGTTTAATTCGTGCTAGCAACATAGGAGTCAGTACGGGGTTATAAATGAAAGTGGGTAAAACAAGCGAAGACTCACACTGCCATATATCTGGTAGAATAACGTAGGCCCAAACGCAGCGATTACAGCGAACATCAACATAGTAGACGTCACTCCGGCAGATTTCACGTTGAATCGTTGAGTCTTGCGCTTAATAGCGCCAAAGCACATGGACAGCCCAGGGAGAAATAGGATGCCAGCGAAGATACTACCGATGATACTGCCTTCGACAAGCTGGGATTTACCCTCGGTCAAAGCGACACAATAAAGATAGACTTCCACTATAGTCGAGAAGAAAGCATTTATGGCCGCACCCAAGCCCATCGATGACTGTGCAGATATCGACGCCACGGCCTGGCCGATGAAATATGCCAATGGGATGATGGAAATGAGGGAAAGCATGAAGATCAGACCTGGATGCGTCAATGGAGATTGCAGACCCAGAGTTTGACTCAGGAAGTAGTAATCAAAGATTGCAAATAATACCACGCAGAGGAGGTTGATTAAGAAGATGTTTGTGCCGTCCAGAGTATATTTCCAGTATCTTAAGCCGGCCGCACGGTATGTGCATAAAAGTATAGATGAAGAAGAAGACGACGAGTCAGAATTTGGCCGCGTGCTTGTTGCATCAGAATGGAATGACAGAGCAAGAGGATGTCGACGAAGATGGTTTAGGAGGACAGTGGTGACACGAGCCATGGGGATCCAGAACACGAGCAACCAGCAGACCAGGGAAACCAGGAGCATTAGAGGCCCGATGAGGAAATAGAAGAACGCATAGAAGACGACCCGGCCTATAGTCCACTTTCCACGGCCAAACAAGCGTCGTTTGGGGTGACTTAAAGAGAGATCTCGATGATGGCCTCTCTGCTGCCGGCCAAGGAGACTATCCTGTTCACCTGCGGAGTCAACACTATTCCTACGCCTGCCAACCAGGGACCGATTGCTGCGAGGGCCAAAGAAGAGTCCTCCATGCTCGATATCACCGTTCTGCCATTGTTCATACTCGCTGATACTGCGGCCTTCTCCTTCATCTTCCTCAGCATAATGTTCATCAGTCTCCAGCTGAACGAAAGACCCAAATGGATAGAGGATATACCACGAGAGGCCTACGAAGACCCTTCCATATGCCACTGCACTTGGTGAGTATGCGAAAACGAAGCACGCCACCGCGCCCAGAAGAACGGCAAGAGCAAGCCACCATCCAAAGAAAAGCGACCATAGCAGATTAGTCAAGAAAAGCATCATGCTCACTCGACCTCCTGGCGAGGAGTGAATATCGCCTTCTGCTGTCTTCTCCACCGACCGACTCTTTTTGTACAATGCAGGCTTCCATATTCTAATTCCAAAGGGATGTGTTTCGTTGATCGCCTGTTGGCGGTCCTTGAGCGTGAAGCTTTCCGCATCGCTGGTCGCATCCTCATCCTCATCAATATCATGACCATGGTCACTACTGTTGTCGCCTCCATCCGGTTGCGAAGGCGATTCTGCTTCTTCTTGGACTCCCAACCTAGGACCCGGTAAGCCCGACTCATCTGCGAGATTAGTGTCGGAGTCTGCTCGCGCCAGTGTGGTAGGTCGAGCACTCAATCTTCGTCTCAAAGTCGAGCTTTGTGCGCGCAGTGGACGGATTCTCGGGGACGATTGCGGGTTATTCGCCTGCTTGATGGCTATATCCTCCTCAACTTCCTTGACGTCGTCATCGGTGGAAAACCCCTGTCTTTTGTGCGGTTTTTGTCGTTTGAAAGACATATGGCGCGACATAGAAGGTTTTCTAGGCCTATCAGATTGTTGTTGCAAGGGCGCTATTGATGGCGACTGCGAAACAGGCATACGACTGGAGCTTTCCAGTGGGCCTTCTTCCAGGCGTAACTCGGAACCCGTTCTGTCTGGAGGCTCTAGCGTACCTGTCGCAAAAGTGTGAGTTGAATATGAGCTTTCATTGAGATGATCTGTGGAAGATTGAATGATGCGCACCGTAGCTTCTCCTGCTCTGCCCCGGAGGTCTCGTCGGCTGGCGACTGGCTCCAGCTCCAGAAGGAAGATTTTCAGCTTCTGAAGACATGGGATCAAATGAATCGACGTCTGTTCTGTTGGAATCCATATTCTTTTTGCTTCTTCCCTTTTCACTCTTGTTTAGGAACGAGGGGCAAAGAATGCCGAGTCTGCAACAAAAAGGGATACGAAACGGAAGAGCCCTTGATAAGGCAGAGAAAAAGAGGCGAAACACGAGGGAAAGAATCTACAAATAAAGTGACCAGCACTTAAGGCAGCAACAGAAGCAAGAAATCCCGGCTATTTATCGTCTTGGACGAGAAATAGCATGGTGTGTTCTCCTAACAACTGCCGTCGAAAGCGTCAGAAAAGAGGTTGGCTAATTCAAGTTGCAGAAGACGCGAGAGCAACAGTTAAAAGCCACCACGACAGAACGAGTGTAGATCCTGTTCACTCACAGTGAGAGAGAGAGAAATGAGTGAGATGAGAATAAATAGATAGGTTCTGCGTACTTTGAGTAGATAACTGCTATCCCTGCGCTGTCAGCTGAGCGAGTTCCAAGAAAGTAAATAAATTAAATGGCTTCATGGATGATGGCATGAGTGTATGTTCTAACGCTTCTGATTGGCTCAGTGCCCCAGATGCCATGGAGTGCGTTTTTGACCAATAAAAAGCTACCTTGTGATACAGATAAGGAATGAAAATGCTGACTCAGCGTCCGACCGCAATGATGTGCGTGACTGCACCGCCATTCTTTATACATACCTCAGGCATATAACGTGGCTTGTGGATTACTGATATCAACGATCAAGCCACACGCCGGCTCCAACAGCTGTTTGATGACAGCCGCTTGACTCCATCCAACCCATCTACCCCGTTCTCCTACCTCTCCTCTCCCCCATATCGGTATCCTTCCATTCTCTCGACTCTTCAATTACTGATCACTCCATTTCTTCTATCTTGAGGACTCCAGTTAACGTCTTTCCCAAAGCTCCGAGTGGTGTTGTCCTGGGTGCTCGAAGGGGCGTGTCTCGTTCACCCATCATGGCGCTCGACAACTACTACCGCAATAAGATCGAGAGCATGAAGCTCGAGATTATTCAGGGTCAAGCCGTCCTACGTCGACTTGAAGCACAACGAAATGACTACAATTCAAGAGTACGCCTACTGCGGGAGGAGCTGGGCCTTCTTCAACAGCCTGGCTCCTACGTCGGCGAAGTGGTCAAGGTGATGAGTACCAAGAAGGTTCTCGTCAAGGTACACCCAGAAGGAAAATATGGTAAGTTTTCGTCTGAGTTGAATTGTTTTTATTGGATTCTTTTGCCGCAGGGCGTGAATTGTTTGATTGACTCGGACCGTTCTCTCTACTACAGTTGTCGACATTGCGGACGGCGTTGACATTGGGAAGCTCACCGTGGGCAAACGGGTGGCCCTTCTGTCTGATTCCTACAAGCTCGAAAAAATGCTCCCATCCTCTGTTGACCCGCTGGTCTCGTTGATGATGGTCGAGAAGGTCCCCGACAGCACATATGACATGATCGGTGGTTTGGATCAGCAGATTAAGGAAATCAAAGAAGTTATTGAGTTGGGTCTTAAGCATCCGGAGCTTTTCGAGTCGCTAGGTATTGAGCAACCCAAGGGAGTTCTTCTATACGGACCTCCCGGAACCGGGAAAACTCTCCTTGCTCGAGCAGTGGCTCATCATACAGACTGCCGGTTCATCAGGGTTAGTGGATCTGAGCTGGTCCAGAAGTATATCGGTGAGGGCAGTAGGATGGTCCGTGAACTGTTTGTAATGGCCCGAGAACATGCTCCGAGTATCATCTTCATGGACGAAATCGACAGTATCGGTTCCAGCCGTATCGATTCTGCCGGCGGTGGAGACTCGGAAGTGCAGCGTACCATGCTGGAACTACTCAACCAGTTGGATGGGTTTGAACCCACTAAGAATATCAAGATTATCATGGCCACCAACCGATTGGATATCCTCGACCCGGCATTACTGCGGCCAGGACGGATTGACCGAAAGATTGAGTTCCCCCCACCGTCGTAAGTAACCTACTTCTCCCCTCCCTTCTTATTTTTGGAATGTATAAGAGTGCTGACCGCAAGCCTCGTCAATCATCAGGGTGGAAGCTCGTGCGGATATCCTCCGGATTCATTCGCGGTCAATGAACCTAACCCGTGGTATCAACCTGACGAAGATCGCGGAGAAGATGAATGGTTGCTCTGGAGCAGAGTTGAAGGGTGTTTGCACGGAAGCGGGCATGTACGCCCTGCGAGAGCGGCGGGTGCATGTCACGCAAGAGGATTTCGACCTGGCCACTGCCAAGATTCTGAACAAGCACGATGACAAGGTATACCAACCCTTTCCTTTTTGTTTCTGCCTGTCTTCTCTTGTCTTGGCCCTGTGGGATGCTGATTTATTGTGTAGGAAACTGCTCTTGGCAAGCTTTGGAAGTAGGCGGCTGGGCATGGCGACTTTTTCTTCTCTTTCTGGAGAGATTGGAACTGGTGCACGACGACATGTAATACTACTCCGCATACTACATTAACACTAGTTATCCTCCATCTATCTACAGGATTGAGGCCTCCCTTTCCTTCGATATGGGGGGCATGAAATGTACTCTTTAGTCGGTTGACTGTGTTATGATTCCACATGCTTGATGACGTGTGCCCTCAACCCATTGGGTAAAAATGTGTACGGAGTACTCTGCATATGCAACACTATTATGGCTGCCTTGTATGGGTCCTTTATTATAGGCTTTGGGTATCAGCACAGAAGAGTCCGGCGGTGCCAGAAACTTTCCCGGGTGAGAGAAAGAACAGCTTCTTCCCTGCATGTCAAGACCGATGATGATACGAATTTGATATATCAGGAAACTGACGCCAGCACAAGCGAAATGATGCACGGCTCTTTGTCTGCGTATTGCTTATGCATGCTTACAGGCTGGCATGTTTGTCAACCCGCATTTACAAGATAGCGTGTCCGGTATTGGATAGTTCATGTATTATCATTGCTGCGTTATCATGCTTCATCGTACATACATACCCCATATTCTTTTACCCAGACGACGAGTTCACCGCCCAATGGTCGTCTTTGGTTTCTCCAGAATGACATTTTGCCTTTCGGGCTTCTCAGCCCGTTGACATATATCGATGCAAGACATGACTGGAGAGAGCGAAGCGGCAATAGAACACACCGATATACATTCGGAGCCACTTGAGGAGACGGAGGAGGGAGTTGGGAGCTGTAAGTTGAAGGGGTTATGAATGTGTATTTATGGAGTAGTTTTTGGACGTTCAATAGGGTAATTGCACTGAGCTTATTTAGAATTGACAGGTCACTTGAGAGGCAGCAACCCTACATAATACAGAGAGTGATACAGGAGCCATAACGACGGCATCAAGATCCCAAGACATTGTGTGGCCTTTCTGGCGTCACCCAAGTTACTTTATAATCTGGGCACAAAGGACTTTCGGTCCTGTGCGGAGTACTAGGCAGAATGTGCTGTTCCCCGTCGATCCTGATAACCCAGAGGAGAGAGAGGGGCAGTGAGGACTCCGTGTGGCATCAATGAATATCTTGGTCGGGATCTGCAGACCAACACTCCGCTCTCCGTACTCCGTTACGGCAACCATCCCAGAACCAAGAGCAACATCGGCTTCCTGCCGACAGGGGGGTTCGGGGAACATACTCACGGACTATTTGTATGTAAGTGGTCAGCACTTGGCATTGAGAGGCAGTGTATGGAATACGGGGTGATTAATGTTCGGAGAATGGATCCCGATGGTTCAGTCCGGGGCTTGTATTGGAGAGAGCGCTATGGAATATATACTCCGTATCGGACTTGGATGAGTTGAAGCATTCGAGTAATGGAATGTCGTTATCCTATTATGTACAAAGCATTATCATGGTACAGAGTCATCTGATCGCCTGCATATTTTTTGGGCTTATGCACACAGCAGGCTTGGCACACTTGGCGGATCTGAAATGGTCAAGAGTTGCCAAGTAGCCAAGACCCAATAAACCTGTTGTGATCTGCCGTGGCATTTGTGTATGCAGTGCAGGGGCTGGTTTAGACTATGTTGAAATATGATAGATTTAGCAAGTGCATAGTGTGCTACTAGGGGCATATACCTAGGGTACTCTGTACACCGGAGTTGAATACAGAGTAGAAGCCGCCAAGCGCGTGACCTGCGGATCTTTTCCAGTATCTCGGCGTCAGTGGGGCATGTATTCTTCCTTTTTTGGGCGTGTATTGTAAGTTACAGCACGGTATCCTTATCCTCCCACTTTTGTTCAGCTAATTGAAGGCCGCCAGATCAGCATCCATCCCATCTGCATTCTGCTGTTGGACTTATGTATGTCCCCCCTCGGACTTATAATAATTTCTTTTTCTGTCTGGGGGGCATACATTGTCCGGGGTGAGGTCATCATGTTACAAGTATATAAACTTATTCGTTACCGGTCAATCCACTAACTAGATCTACAACTACTACAAAGTACTTGTACACCGGTATCTCCGTACAAATTGTATAGAGTCATAGTTTCCACATATCGGCTCTATTCTCCAGGGGCCCTTTCCCTCCTTTTCTCCTTCATTGATTCTTTCTCCATTGAATTTATCCTCACTGTTCCCACTTGTATCATAATACGGAGCTATACTAGCTAAAATAGCTTATTTCGGTGAGTTGATCTATCGTGATCGCCTAAATCGTACCGAGCGGTCTTAAAGTACTAAACATTGCCCCAGCTCTTTGAAGAAAATAACACCACCTGCTATCCATTTGGCCACTACTACCATAGCCGGTCATGGCTCAGACAGAATTCTGGTCAACATTGGTCACTGCTATCGATCCCGGTAACAACAAAGCCATGCCGGCTGTTCTCCAATCTACCATCGATCTGCTTGAGACGGAGCTCGTCAAGGCCAAGGCTGCTCTCCAGGAAATTCAACCGCATGTTGCTGCGACAGCTATCCAGCGAGATGAGTTGGCCATCGGGGCCATGACCGCTTACCGCCAACATCTCATCACACGAGCCCCCGACTTTTATGGCTCCCGTCGCTTGTCAGCTAAGGAAATCGGACTGGTGCCGGTGGTGCAAGAGGTGGCATCTGACAGCGAGGACAGTGATACCGAGCAGCCACCATGTACCGTGACTGTGATGCCACCCAAACGAGCCTCGCTCGTAGATGTGCTGTCCAATGGCTTGATCTTTGATCATATGGCTGCGTATCTGGGTGCTTCATCGCTGCTGGCTCTGTCGTCGACTTCACACTTTATCCGGTCAATGGTTCTCGACACGCCCTATGTGTTTCGCCACCTCGATCTTACCCAGTGTCGCGGCGCCCAGGTCACTCCCTCGAGTACTGCTGCCAGTGTGCCCATCGACGAAGACAAGATGACAGAAGATGAGTTCTATGGAGCGCCTTTGAGGGGCATCTTTGACAAATTAGCACGGCGATCGATCCTCCAGGGCGTGCGAACCTTGATTTTGGATGGTCTTTCCGTCCCGGCTGATGTAGTCGGCGATATCGTGCTATCGGACCGTTTCAATGTCAACATTTTGTCGATCAGAGGCTGCCAACACCTCAACGAGCGGAAACTGATGCAGGTCCTCCAGTATTCTGTACGGCCGACACGCTCCCCAGGAACCCCGCGAGTCAAGGCCATCTACCACTTTACCCCCATGGAGAGCCAGCCCAGTGCCCCCGTGCGACCTCGGTATCGTAACTGGTGGGCCTCCAGATGTCAATCGCCTAGTATCACGCCTTCGTCAGCGGAGCCCGCTCCGGAACCAGCCCAGTCCCAGGCACAGAACGCCTGGTACCGTCCATCCGGCCAACTACTCAAGAAAAACGTTGACGAAGAATGGGCAAAAACCATCCAAAGGTGCGAAGGCATCATTGCCTTTGATGCAGTCTTGTGTCGCGGACCTAGACACGACCTATTTGCGAACACAGACCAGCCAGAAGGTCGATCACTGGGGCCAGCCATTGCCACGGTAGCCCTAGGGCCCCAGAGTTGTGACGGTTGCAACACCTGTCCCGAGGGTCCAGCTATCTGGGGCCAATCCGCTCTTGAGAGATTTCCTTTATTAGCACCTGTTCCTCTCCATTCGTCCTCGATCAAGGCTGCGAAGCGTCCCGCCCTGTACTCTGACGAGAGCCCGGTTTTCATTGCCCGTTGTACGGACTGTATGACCGATCGTCGGTGCTACCGTTGCAGCAAGTGGTTCTGTTCCGACTGTTTGCCCCAGCCGGTTCGGATTAGGGCCAATCTCTCGCCGCATCAAACGGCAGCCCAGGGGTCTCGTAGCGCAAGTGGCAGCGCTAGTCCATTGCCGGAGCAGGAGCTCGAGCGCGGTGTTAGCAAAGATTGCTGGGAATGCGGTCCAACAGTAAGTGATTTTATCCCGCATGCCATGGTGAAACTGATAGCTAATGATGAGGTGATAGTGTATGAGCTGCAAGATCGAAGTTGAACGAAAATGCCAGAACTGCCATGGTGAATACTGTATTGAACATAACGAGGGTTGCTCTGACCATATGGTAAGCCGAACCTCATCCAGCCAGGTCGGAAGATCGAATACTAACTGCCTTCAGTGTGACTGGTGCAATACAAGTGCACGCCATCGCTTGAGGGGCTTCTATTGATTCTGCCAACAATCAATTTTTTCCCATGCATAACTCTATCTCAATATCTCTTATTCCGACGTGTTTCGTTTTTGTCTTTCGTGTTTGATGTCAATTCAGCTGGCGTAAGCGTATACGAATTTGCGTTGATACCATTTTGTATATATTTTTTGATTCAGTACAAAGTACATCTCATTTCGTGACAAAATGACGTTTTTTGTATAAAGTAGATTTAATTTCTAAGCTGCGGCGGCGATATTCTCCGCTGACAGCGGGCGGTACCTTCGAGAAGGCACGCAATGTTTCTCTGCAACAGTTCGAATGTTTAAGATGCCATTTCGACAACATCTTCCAAGATCCCACCTTCTTCTCATACCGTCACTACTTTTCCATCTTCCTTGCACATGATGGCTGGTGCCGAAGACTCCCTGCGCTGGTCGTCGCAATTCGCCGTCACCCCGTCACCACAGACCCCGCGACTGCCCGGCGATAAGCTCACACTACCACAACGCGCCCTCGAAGAATTGCTCGCAGTCGCCCCCATCCAGGACGTCTCTCCACGAGGTGCGCACATACACACTCGCGCCTTTAACCCGTTCAATCCGCATGCCTTTGACGCCGAATCGCGAGCCCGCGAGCAAGGCGTAGATCGCCAACACAAACTCCCTCATCCGCTGATGTTCCGCGTCGTGAATTCTCAGAATGGTCGCGTGATATATGCTGGGATTCGGGAGTTCTCTGCGCCGGAGAATGAAGTTGGTCTTAGTGCGTTTCTTCGGGATGCGCTGGGGATCGAGGATTCGCAGACCAACGGTGGGGCATCAGATGCTCAGCAGACTGGGGCTGCAGACAGGGTAGAGACCCAAGGTCCAACTGTCACGGTGCATGCAAAGCAGTTACCGAAAGGTACCTACGTTCGCCTCCGGCCACTTGAGGCAGGTTACGATCCGGAAGACTGGAAGGCATTACTGGAACGGTATTTACGCGACAACTTCACAACATTAACTACCGGTGAGATTCTTGCTGTATCTGGAGGACGGAATGAGTCGTTCAGGTTTCTGGTTGATAGGGTGGAACCTCAGGGCGACGGAATCTGCGTCGTTGATACAGATCTAGAAGTGGATATACTGGCTTTAACAGAAGAGCAAGCCAAAGAGACATTACGGAAGCGATTGGAAAAGGCATCGCGTGCTCCAGGGAACCAAGGAGGAAGCTCTATTGGAGGTGCACTCGGTCTGGGAGAGACAGTCACAGGCCAAGTAGTACCTGGGGAGTATGTCGATTATGAGTTTCGTGGATGGGATCGTGACGATACTATTGCGGTCGAAGTTGACGTTTTGGATGATGATACCAACGTCTCTCTTTTTGTCAGCCCTTTCTCTTCTCGCCAACGGAACCGGCCTAGGGATGATGAGCATGTCTTTGGTGATTTTTCGAATCGACCATCCAAACGGATCAAGATAGCATCGACCAATGTCGAGCTGGAAGGGGCAGAAGCCGTGTTTGTATCTGCCCATGCAATTACAGGAGATGCGATAAACGCGGGTCAGAAAATGCCCGTGCCGTACAAATTGCGCATCGTGACGAACCCTTCAGAATTAGAACAGGCCGAGGAAGAAGACGAGTCGGGTCCTCAGGACCCTGGAGACGTACAATGCAAAAACTGTCTGCAATGGGTGCCTCAGAGGACATTAGTCTTGCATGAGAACTTCTGTTTCCGGAACAACGCGGTCTGTCCCCGTTGCCGCAACGTCTTCCAGAAGAGGTCCCTGGAATGGCAAAACCACTGGCATTGCGAGCATGATGATTCTTACGGCAATGACACCGCAAGCAAGGAGAGTCACAACAGGATATACCACGAAAAGTGCTCGTGTCCAGTTTGCGGGTTCGAGGCAGAAGCTCTTCCAAGACTGGCCCAGCATCGTACGAGTGTTTGCCCCGGGAAACCAATTTTATGCCAATTCTGTCACCTCGTGGTCCCCCAACAAAGCGAGTCGGAACCTAATCTACACGACCCCGAAGTGCTACTCTCAGGCCTTACGCCGCATGAGCTGGTCGACGGAGGACGTACTACGGAATGCCATCTATGCAACAAGATCATCCGACTACGAGACATGAACACACACCTGCGCCACCACGATCTGAAACGCTTATCGCGGTCACCACCTTGCATCTGTCTAAACCAGAACTGCGGTCGTACGTTGGATGCACGCAGCGGAGGCGTGAAGAACGACTCACTAGGTCTGTGTAGCATCTGTTTCGGCCCGCTATATGTCGACACCTATGATCCAGACGGAAAGGCACTCCGCCGCCGCATCGAGCGCCGGTACCTCTCGCAAATGATGACAGGATGCGGGAAATCTTGGTGCCAGAACGAGTACTGCAAGACCGGAAAATCAAACAACAACACTAACAGCACCCAACCACCAACCATGAGCGCCGCAAACATCCTAACTGCAACACGCCCACTAATAAATGCCATCAACTTCCAACCAGACAGCACGCGCAACACCGCGCCGTTCTTCTTCTGTACAGACCAAACTGGCCAGCAGCGCCGCACGATAGCTGAGATGCTAGCGGCAGAGGGGGGTGCGATTTCTGACGGGAAGACGTATGATATGACTTGGTGCATTGCTGCTGTTGAAGCGATGGGTGGCAATCTGGACAAGGCGAGAGAGTGGTTGGAAAATTGGGCTCCAGCAAAGGGGGAGGATGTTCGTGCTGTTGCATAAGTTATGAAGGTGATATAATTGCACGAGCACCCTATGTAATGAATACGAAGTAGTTGATTCTAGACGACTATCGCGGAGATAAGCATGCATTCGTGATGAGAGCAAGAATCGAAGCATACAAGATGGACTTAATTGGATAGATCCACATTTTTTGACCCATTATCTTCTCAATCTACCCGTAGTAGAATGCAAGGATAGCTTTATATTCGTCATATTCATCAATTCTAATATAAAGAACCCACGCTAATTGGCATTTTAAAGGTCGTCTCCAATATCGCATATGCGATGGCAAACACAAACCACCCATAGCATATCTCACTTAAGAGCCGCCCAATCCATAGCAAGGGGGTACAGCGACCAAAGGAAAGATAATCGCAGAACATTCACTGCTGTCAATCAACTAGCCCCGGTTTTCGCAGCAAGCGTTCCACTCCCCCTCGACGAAAAGATACCCATGATTCCAAAGACGACATAAAACAGCGCTAACGGGTACGCAACCAACCCTCGCATACCACGCATCCTCGCGACGGCACAGAACATCCCCGACGAGCTGTACGTGCACCACCCCACCGCAGCAGTGGTCAACAAGTACCCGAACATAGTATCCATAGGCGCTAAGATGCCAATCAAGCTCGTCATAACAAGAGGCAAGAAACAGTATCCCAGGACGCTGGCGGATCGGGGAAAAGTCAAGGTCGCGGAGAAGTGACCGACGGCGGTGGAATCGTCCGGTTTGCTATGCGGGTCGTAGTTGGTTGGGTCTGCTGCATTGGGGCCTGCGGATGTATCTAGGGCCGGGGACATGAGACTGAGAATAAGATGTAGGGCGACAGTGCCGAAGACTGCGACGCCGTAGATATAGCCGTAGAAGACTTTACCGGAAAGAAGGAGGAAGGTTCCGTAGAGAACAATGTAGAGGAGGGCGCCGTAAAGATCGCTATCGTCCATGAGGTGTTGGTCGATTCGAGCGAATGGGTTCAATACTGTCAATGTCTTTTCATCAGGTCAGCTCCTTGTATTGTGCCTGCATGTATGTCTTCGTGCGATCCCTCGGCTTACCTTTGTCCGGATGTGCTCAAAATTAACACCCAGCTCCTCCAGCAGTGGTGGCTCTCCATCATATCCCTCTGTCCCAAACGCAGCCAACCATCCCGTCCTCAATCCACCCTGTTCACCCATTCTCCCACTTACTCCCGCGGCCGGAGATCCAAACCCCCCATAGCCACCGCCCCCGCCCCCGGGATACGCCTGGGCAGAAGGGTAAGAGGGTGTTCCGAAGCTGCCGCTATATGCTGCCTGAGAAGGTGTCGTGTGTCCGGATAGAGAGCCATAAGACGAAGGGAAAAACTGGAGGTTTTGCGCAGACGCCTGGGCTCCGTATGGTTGCTGTTGCGGATAGTATTGGGCCATTGCGGCCAGGGGGTGAGAGGAAGATCGCTGGGTTAAGGAGATATGTATGGCGATTGGAGAAGTTGGATATATCTAAATAAAGGTTGCAGAGAGCTGGACAAGTCTATCTTTATTATGGCGATTGCTCGTTTCGTAAGGACAGATCGAGGAGAGGTTGGAATACACGATCGAACGTCGATTATCTGACTAATCATATAATGTGGTTCACTTACTAGTTTACTAGTTACCGAGCGGCCACTCGATCTATGACTGTAGTCAAAATCCACCTGATTTCTAGCCATTGAGCGATGAGGATAAAGAAATTCCTATATACATATATATATTAATCGCCTATATAGTAGAGCAAATAGATCTAATATGTCCTACTTGATGGGAATTGCTGCAGCGTAATGATGCTCGCTTTCGCGGTCTTGCACTGTCATCATCCACACCATCCCCCATTAGGTTGGCAGCTTCCTGACTGTGCTGTTGACCCTCTACCTCTGTCAAAATGCAGCCAGCAGCTATGGATGGTTTAGTAATATTCCGCTTGCGCTTCTGGTACTCATTCGCAGCACGTAGCTGCTTTACCTCAGGCTCTAAAAACAATACACTCTGCATTGCGATTTGCGCATCCTTGACTATTTGATTGACTACCTGTTTGATGAAGCTTGGTGGACTGTGTGTACGCTGTTTCCAGAGACGCTTAATAAGCCCAGATTGCTTTTGAAGTTTCCTGGTAATCTTGGGGATCTCAGTTGTCCAACTAGATGACTCTTTGATATGTGAACTGCCCGGTGGTGTAGGGGATTTCATTTGAATATGAAGCTGCTCAAGCACATATACAGGCTTATGTGGAACTAAGCCCACTGCAGCAAACCTACTGCATATACTTGATATTGAAAATACCTGTGGGCGTATCTGCTGGTACGCAGCTAAGAAATCAACATTATCAATATGGTTGATCCCAAGCTACATGAAGGTTTGAATCTGTTGGCCATATAATCGTTTCAATGGCCCAAAACAAGCAACACCAAGCAGATGGAGAAGATGCAATGGATGTGGAGGTAGATAAAGAGGCATAATATGATTATCTGTGCAAGAATGGTCAAAAGCAGCAGTTGCATGGCTGCTATGACGATAAAGAATCAGAAGCTGATGGGTGTTGATTGTACGCATCTTGGTATGTTTTTCAAAGACCTTTTTGATCCAGGGTACTCCAAGCATATCATTTGTCTATTCATTCCCACTGACTCCAATAACCCAGTCCCCATGTATATTTTAATACCAAGTAGATTGGTGTTGCTTGCCAGTGTGACGTCTCAAGCAGCATGAATCTATTGGTAGACTATCTGGCGAAGGTTCTGAACAAGCTCTTCATCCATCTGCTCACGGTATTCATTCTCGAGGTCAATCATACAGTTGAAAGTATCAGCAACATAGTCAAATAGCTCGTTGGGGTGGTCACGGCACTGTGCCAAAAACTCTTTGTGGGTAATGATCTTTCGACCCTGTTCTTTCATGCCCAGGATGATGCGTCGACTCTGGGTCCATTCAGTGGCGTCTCGTGCCATCTTGACTTGCTCAGTTCGGTCGTTCGTTTGGTTAGTTGGTCGTTTGGTTGGTCGTTCATTTGTTGGGGGTTCTCTATCGCAAGCATATGGTTCTCTCTGACAGAGTCCTAGCTGTATGCGTTAAAGAAGGGGATTGAAAAGAGGAAGGAATGAGTGATGCTAGTATTATATGACGGTCTCAAACAATATGGATCAATGGAAGAAGAAGCTAGCTTTTGAACCAATGGCCTCAATGACAGTCGCCCATTCACGATTTCCTGGCCATATGGTTTTTGCACGGCTTAAACTTAGGAATTAATGGCCTGATATAAATTAATACACGTTCAATGATCAGTATATTAGTGGAGGCATACCTTTACAGTTGATGCCATCCCCATAGAGAACCCTAGTCTCAAAGTTGTATATCCTGCTTAAGAATACCATGTCATGCAATCGTATCTAGAATTGATCGATACGAGTCCCGGATAATTTTTAGATCTTCACATAGAGCACGTCGATGATAGTATCCGCGATTGTATTCTGACTTGATATTCTTTTGGCGGTTGATGAAGTGATTGACTGTCACAACCTGGCTTCTCTTGTATCGTACCTAGGATTCTAGTTAGTTGTATTTCGAGACAGGACACTTACCCTAAGTGTTTTCCAAGTAATCGTATGCTCAACAACCATCCAGGTCCTCTGTATATCACGTCGAAAGTATGTCGCCCCCTCCAGGCTCCGTAAGATAATCAACAGGTAGAAACGGTAAAGGTAACGAATAGAGAAACAAGGCCAACCGAGCACGTATGCTGGGTTGTTGGTTAAGTGCGGACGAGTCAGAAACTAGAAGGTAACCAATGCTTAACTAGATTGATTGCGAAGAACTAAACTAAGTACATGAATGAATGTCCTTATATATCCTCCGCTTGTATACCATCTACCAATGCCAAGCTATGGTATATGAAGCGGGGTCTCTCGGATCGTAGTTCAAAAGGGAAATCGGGGGTCGATTATTCAGGACTAACGAGTTTTATATGGAGATGACTAACTCGACGAAAGATGTATATTGTCTGCCGAACGTACGTGCGCGTACACAGCTGATTGGGTGCTTAATCTACAATATATGGGCACACGTCAACTATAAGTATCTCCTGGCCTCGCTACTCGGACCAACCATTTATCCGATCAATCCTTATCAGTATGGTAGTTGGTCACGTGATGTACTTGTTAACTAATTAAAATCATGCTTCTGGAATGGTAAGAGTGAAGAATACATTTAACGCTACATAAATTTGTTCAAGCTTTTGCATAATACAGATGTTTTTACAGGAAGTTGATGCCGATTCCCAACTGCAACCCCTTTCGTCCTTCTTCGCCCTTTCGCAACCCCAAAGGAAGAGAGAAGTTCAATTCAAATCTCGCAACTGGGTGAGCATAGACAAGTCCAAAGCCAGCAGCGACGCTAGGCATTTCATTCGCCAACTCCGAGATCGTAGAAGTCATGGCATCCTGGACCTCCGCACTGGTGGTGGGGGTGCTCTGGTTTGAGGTCCGGAGGGGCAGCAACCGACCACCGTTCACGAATGCTTGCAGACGTAGAGGTTTCTCAGCACCAACGCGAGGCAGTGGGAAGAGCAAGTTGGCACTACCAGCTGCATACACGTCGCCTCCCACAGCATCAGTCCCATCATGAGGACCAAGCCCACAGAGACGGAAGCCACGAACGTCAGTAGGTCCTCCAAGGAGGAAACGGTCATTGACGCGAGACAGCTGGGGCTGAGATTTGGAGTCAAGTCCTAGAGGGTAGAGGATACCAGCACGGAAACCAGTGGTGAAACTGATGCCACTGTCACCTTTCATGAACGGGATTGGAATCGGCAGAGCTCCCTGTGTCTCAATTTCAGATTTCCAGAACGAAACGTCGCCCTTCAATAGGCCCAGACCAGCCAGTTCGTTAAACGTCTTGGCGTAGTATCCTCGAGACGGAAGCAATGGGTTGTCTCTCTGGTCGTTGGCCCAGCTGTGGAAGACACTGCTTTTCACGCTGTCTCCAGCATCTGCGCGAACAGTGGGCGATGCCTGTTCGGCCAAGCCCGTCATCTGTCTCCAGAATCCGTTGTAACCAATTTCGTGGCGATGTCCAGATAGGCTCAACCAGCGAAGCTTGCTCCAACCCCCCTTGACGACCTCCTCATGACTTGCCCAAGACTTCTGGGTAGAGCTGGCAATTCCGCCGATTTCAAAGCGGAAATCCGGGTCACTGAAGATAGGGCTTTCAAAGGCCGCCTGATAAGCCGACCTTGTTCTAGTGCCCAAAGAAGCGTTCAAGTTCAATGTTTCGGCGCCGCCAAGAACGTTGCGCCAGAGAAGGTTACCATAAGCAGAGCCCTCTGTATTTCCAAGGTCGGTTCCGGTCTTCAACAGAAGACGGGATTTCTCTTTAGCCGCTAAATAAACGTCGATATTGGCGAGTCCCGACCTCACGTCCGCGTCTGGATTCTGGTCAAGGTATACCTGGATTGGCTCTTGAAAGAGGTCTAGGCATCATATTAGCTAGATTATTCGACCTAGATAATCGTAGGGAGGTCCAACCGAATCTACTGAGCTTTTCAGTGCGTGCCGAGACCTCTCGCAAAGCCTCAGCAAGGGAGTACGGCCTATTCTTATTCGCGCTCAACAATGGGTTGAAGATCCGCTCCAGGAAGCCTCGGCGCGTGTTGGGTGCATTAACGACCTGAATTGAAGAGATGGCACAAGGGAGAGTCGAGTTTTGATCGATCTGATATCATATCCCACCGGTTAGCCGGAAGCTCTTAGAGAATGGAATAAAAATCCTAGAAAAGAGCATACCAATTCCCCGAGCCGTGTCTGAGCTTTCTGGTAAATTGCTCGGACCCGTTCGTTCATAGCCTGCTGTTGCTCCTCCTGCACCTTCGGATCCGCACGCTGCTGGAGACGCCCGAAGATCTATAAAAACGCACGCACCGTCATTAGCTAGGAGAAACTTAAAAAGAGAACAACGCAATGCAGGGGCCCGTTGCATACATCGTCATCTTCGGCAGTCAGTGGAGAGGACATTGCGATGGCTGCAATGGTCCAGAGAGACCGTGGGCACGCTTTCTCGGATAATGATGCCTTCTTCCGTCGGAGCTGCGAAATTGAGAAGCCGCGTGGCACGTGACTACAGGTCCTCCTGGCCGTTCGCCTTCTCCGTTAGCGCCGTTACTGCGCGACTGTTAAGCTATCTACTGTCGCTGTTTAAAGTTCGCTTGCTACCTACCTCTCTCTCTCTCTTTTTCTTTTTTTTCTTTTCTTTTTTTTTTTTTTTTTTTTTTTTTTTTGTCTTTCTTTCTTCCGCTATTTCATCTCATTTGCTTATCGCACTTCGGTTGAGATTTACAACTATAACCACCAGCAAATGGCGACCAAAGCAGCGTATAAGCGGGTAATCAATACTCAAGCCATCAGATGAGGATCCATTCAAGTGCTGACTATCGAAATAGCTCACCCGTGAATACCAAAATATTCAAAAGAATCCCCCTCCATTCATCATTGCGCACCCTTCAGAGTCGAACATTCTCGAGTCAGTATTGCCGCATCGTTTCTCTTGCCAGTCAGAAACTAATGAGATTACTTTAAAGATGGCATTACATCCTTACCGGTCCTCCGGGGACACCATACGAGAACGGACAGTACTGGGGTACTCTAGTGTTCCCTCCCGAATATCCTTTCGCGCCCCCAGCGATTCGCATGCATACCCCAAGTGGTCGATTCCAGCCATCTACTCGACTTTGCCTCAGCATCAGTGACTTCCATCCTAAGTCTTTCAACCCAGCGTGGGAGGTGTCGACAATTCTTATCGGTCTTCTTTCTTTTATGACCAGTGAGGAGATGACCACTGGTAGCGTTAGTGCATCTGAGCCGGAACGAAGGGTGCTGGCGGCGCGATCGCGATGGTGGAACTCCACTGGAGGGGGCTCTCATGTCAATGCCACCCCGGGAGTGATACCTACAGCGAAGGGGATCAACAACGTGAAGGCTGGTGATGGCGGGCTGAAGTTTCGCACTGAGTGGCCGGAATTGGACCAAGAAAATTGGAAATGGATGAAGGATAACCGTATCGACTCGACCACTGGACAACTCATTCCCGACCCGAATGCGGCGGCGAATGAATGCTCCCCAGAGACTACTGCACTGCGCAGACGTGCTTATGGTACTAGCAATCGGATCGGAAATGTTATGGAAGGAGGTCATGTCGCACGGGAGGCTGGTCAGACCTGGGTGCAACGCAATAAGATATGGGTTGGTCTGGCTGTTATTTTCGGCTACGCATTGCTTACAAGACTGGTAAATGATGTTCAGGGATAAGATGGAACACGCTCTTTTTGTCTTTTCTTTTCCCACAGTTCCCATTTTCTTTTTGTATTGCTTTATTTGCCAGCATGGTTTCTTTGATGCATTTCATGGTTCATGGCGTCTTTGGAAGGACTCGGCGTTTTCTTTTCTCTTTATCTTTTGTTGTTTGCCGATTTTATGAAAACATTATCGTTATATTGGTTAGGAGAGCATCTGAAGCGCTCGGCAGGAAAGAAAATTCGACGTACCAATCTTCAAACGATGCTGTGACGAAACACCAGTCACATATTCCCACAAATTCATCACCCAGGACTGCAATGTTATCCATAGAGCAGCCGGGGCTGCGCCCACTGAGAGTCGCCGGTCATTCGTCTCCAATGCTTTGGTCTCCCCCCACAAAAAAAAGTAAATTCGGTAAGATGCCATCATCCCACAGAACAGGGAGTTGATATTGTCCACACTATTGACATCGTAATATCAGAGGTATCGGGAATGTCGAACCACTCCATATCGATTGCCGCGTGTGGCGTCCCTAGAAAACGTAACCCATCCGTTGATATGTTCATTGCACACTGATATGCCTAGTGTGGGTGCTTGGTTGCATCACATTGAATCGGCATGCGTTTAACAATCAAGCCACCCACTGAGTGGAATATCAATACTAGCGAGCGCTGGGCACAGTGGTTTATCTAAATCTAAATGTATACTTTGTGTTAACCCATTTATCAGAAAATAGGGACAAAGTACTTGCATTACGATGCGACCCTAGACATGCCGCTAGCAGATTTGTCTGGACGTTCAAAAAAAAAAGCCGAATGCTTGGGGGGAGGGGGGGGGGCAGCACTGTAGGCGTTACTAGTCTGCCTATGCAGGTTACATATTACAGGAAAATCCAGCACACTGTCACGGAACTAGGAATGTTTATCTTTGCTACTCTGTAAGTCCTGAGGACACTGGAGCATATAAGTAGGTGAAAACCCTGTCTCCCTTGGGGACCAAATTTTATATCCTCATCTTATCTAGTTTACAATAGCGGGTCTCAACATATATGACATCAAGTACATTTTCGAGCATGCCGAGGTCGACCACATTATTCTTGATGTGCAATTCGTTCCTTTGCTGAACTATTTCTGTGAAGCCCATCCAAACATTCCAGTTCCAATTGACACAGACGCCGGGGATGATGACAGACTTTTCAATAAGCCAGGCCTGAGATTTGATTACCAGCATGGTGACCGTGGCTGGGCACGGCTCGAGTCCCAAGCCTCGAATGAAAATGGATGCTGACACTTTCCTATACGAGTGGCACCACATAATAGCCCAAGGATGCTGTATACACTCATCACAGCTCTTACCTGGCAGATATGTGTAACATACTCAAGTCTCAGTTGAACCAGAAACCTAGCCAATGTGGCTACTTCTGGGTTCTCCCCATGTTCCATACCATGGGATGAACATCTTCCTGGGCCATAACAGCTGTGCGAGTTACGCATTGCTGTCTCTGCAAGACTGGCTATCCTCGCCTCTGGCATCTTGCGTACAGTGTTCATTACACGCTTTTGCGCTACCCCAACCGTCAACACATTACTCTGTCGCGCTAAGAAGGCAGTGCGGCTTGCTCACCCGGTTAGAGCTACTGTATAGGCCAGTTCTCTCTCCACAGTGTTATCCAAGCAAATGACTCGTTTGAATTTCACCCTCGTGCTTACGGATTGACCGAGACGTATGGCCCGTGAGTATGTGTACCATCTGCCCGAGCGGAACGCACTTCCTGCGATAGAAAAGTGCATAAAATTAGCTCGTCAAGTCACGCGGTGATTACAGAGTTTCCGGTTCGGGTGATCAAGCCTGATCGGGGGAGTGAGCTGATTGACATTGCCAAGGGTGCGATGGAGATCGGGGAGATTACTCCGCAGAGAAATCTGTATGCTAAGGAATACTACAGGGATCCAGGAGCGACAGAAAAGCTCTTTGCCGGAGGATGGATACATATGGGTGATTTGGCAGGGTGGCATCCGGATGGGGCTATTCAGATCTTGAACCGCGCAAAGGACACTGTCAACAGTGGTGAACTCAAACCCCTGGACCATAAGTTCAATATCAGAATCATACTTACCATACCAGATGGAGAGATTATCTCGTCAGTGGCCGTGGAGAGTATTCTCATAAAGCATCTGAGCATCATCGAAGCCGCTGTGATTGGAGTTCCGGACAAGGGATGGGGAGGAACCCCGATGGTATTCATTACGACGACGCCTGGGTCAATAGTAATGGACCTAGATGTGATTACCTGGACCCGTGAGAGCTCTGATATAGGTCGATTCAGGGTTCCCCAGGAGGTTCATATTGTCCAGGAGCTACCCAAAACCAGCACCGGAAAGATGCAGGAAAAGGTTCTTCGGGAGCAGGAGGAGAAGAGACGAAAGCGAGCTGCCAATTTGTAAACTGCCTTTGATGCATGGTTTTATTGTTAAATAAAGTGCTCTAGTTATACAAGATTTTTCCTGTCCTTGTAGAACACAATTGTTTCATAGAAGAAATACGGATACCTGCATTAGAGGCCCTAACGGTGCTGCTCGATGCCATAGCATATGCATGCACTCGACTCGAGTGGCTTGGCAGCATGTCAGATACAAGCATAGTGCTGTTGAGGAGGTACAGATTCTGACAGAATTTACTTGGGAACACACAAGTCATTGACGTACAGTAAAAGTATGATTACATCACAGTTGACAGCCGAAGAGAAAGAAAAAAAAATTACTACCTCCGGGGCTATTATGAGTAATAAGCAACTCTGTCTTCTGTTATTCTATGTTGTGAGCATCTATTGACATAACATGGCACTTAGGCAGTATACAGATCTCCATTCGCAAATACCCCGCGGTTTCGGAAAAGAAGCGCCAAGTGTACGTCACCTTATATTACCTCCATAAGCTCTCCCTCGGAGAGCTACGACATGGACTGGGCCCTGCAGCATACTGGGGGCTTCTCATCGAAGACCTACTGGCAACGGTTGCAACGCTTACGATGCTACCGACGTGATTGATCTTGACCTTATCATTGGCGAGGACCGTGATCCGGAACGAAACTGGTTATTCAGGGTGAAAAGTTAATGTTGACATACTACAAATCAGCCGTCTCTTTGGGACGGTGATGATTGACAAGATTTTGAACGAGATTACAAATGGAGAGATACAGGCGCATCCTGGTTCAGTCTCCACAACCTGTCCACGAACATCAATTATGCTCGTCGGTCGATGTAGGTCATGGGAATAAGATGACTCCGGACTCACTGCGGAAGAGATCGGGTTCAAGACAAAGAAGGCTGGAGGCACAAAGAGCCTTCTCTTTACCCAACGCTAGTTCTATTTCTGGTACCAATGCCTCGTGCATTGTCACAATGACTTCAGAGCCTTGCATATTTAGGCCTCGTCTAACTGTCAGAAACCAATTATTTACTTCGTCTATGCACATTGCAACCCGGACATGGAGAAAAATTAAGCCGGCAGTGTACAGTGACAGGATATACGAGCGACAACATCTTGGCGGCCGATTCGGTGTTACACTGACGAAAAGAAAAAGGGTCTTTGGCGGCAGTCAGTATACATGGTCCGTGTCGAGTCGCCCCTCCAATCCAATAGCAAATACACTCGCTCTACATATTATCATCACTGTGATGGCTCATGGAAACAAAGAAACCCCTTACAGGTAGGCTTTGCCATTGCTCATAGTGGGATGGCCGAGTGCAGGCAGGGCTGTTGGCCTGCTTCTCTCCGCCTCTTGCTGCCTCTTTTCATTCCATCCTTTCATTCTCCTTTCCCGTTTCTTCCATCCTCTTCCCTTCCTCTGCCATTTTTCTCTTAAGCCCCAGGGGTTTATTCACGTCGCTTGATTTGTTCTTTTTTGTGCTTCCGTTTGTATCACTGCGACTTTCCGGGTCGAAAATCTAGAGTATCGGTCTGGTGTGTCTCTCTACCTGTGAGTTGCCTGCAGTTACCTGCATGGCTATCAGTTAAACTGCACCGGGAATTCGACCCCAGGTTCATCGGGAGTAACCTGCGTGTTGCTTGCCTTGCTCTGTTTGCACCAGTATCTATCGCATTGCGGTTGGCAGCTTCGTCGAGATGCAGAAAACCAGCGTCATGAATGCCATTCCTATCCATCCTTTCCCTACAGGTTAGTATTTTTTTTTCTTTCTTCGTTCTCTCGGTTGGGTGTATCTTTGTATTTTTCTTTTCTTTCCCTCCTATTTCGGGTTGTTGTTATCCTGTATCGCACCGTATCCACTTTCTTTGTCTTTGATGCTTGTCTCACACACAACGCAAAAGAGTTGCAATACTACCCGATACCCATGAAAATTCTGTGCAACGTTTTCGCCGTGTTTGCTATTTGATTTAATCTTCCCTCGTGGACTCGAAGCTAATCTGGTGGTTCCTGGGGTTCTGTGGAGCATGATCGTCAGCTCCACACTCAGGATCCGTAACGCCCTTAGTGGATCAACCGACATTTACTTTCATCGACCATGACCAAGACTTTAGCTCCAAGCGAATTAAGAATATCAAGTCTCGTAAGGCCATCCGGTCTCATGTTATGCGCGATGTGCGTCGTCGTGAACGACTAGCTGGCTTGAAGCGAGGCTCCAAGCGAGAAGCCCAACTGCAGAAACCCTCCAAGCCCGCCCTCATTTCTGAGAATTCCTCCAGCGACCAAACAACGTTGATCTGGAATTCTTCTTCTCCATCATCATCATCTTCATACTCGTCTTCATCGTCTTCTCCTCCCCAAGTGACAAAGTCCAGTGGCGACCTCGTTCTCCCCCAGTCGGGACATCAGTCCCTAACGCAATGGGATGCCAGCAATTTCCTAACCACGCCAAGTTCAAATCCGGTGCCCCAAATGATCAGGGAACTCGATCCATTTAGTACATTGCAATGTGTTGCTGGAATGCCATCTATGGTCCCGGAACTGATATTATATTGTAAGTTGTTACTGAATCTATAGTTCGTTCTATTTTGTACCTCATTGGCAAGTAATGGCTAATATTTGAAACACAATATCAAAGATGAGACTGTATACGTTCCGACGACGTTTCCAAGTGCGCAAAATGGGCCAAAACGAGCTAATAAGGCGTTCACAACCACATCCGCCTTTTCGGATGCTGGCAGCTTCTTTGGCTTGATGAGCATGTGTGCGGCCCATCGAGCTGTTCTTTCCGGACGTCATTCAGATCTGATCGACGCAGAAGGCTCATCAGCCAGTCTTTATGATCCAGATTATTATATTATGAAGGATAGATGCATTCGGGAGATGGAGGTCAAAGTACGCGATCCCAACCGGGCACTCAGCAATGAAGCCTTTGATACGATTGTTAGCCTCCTGACCAGCGCGGTAAGAGCCTTTCCCTTGGCCGTTTGATCGCTTGATATTTACCATATGCTCTTTTATCTCAATCCTGTCTGACACTTTACAGTTGATCGTGGGTCTTTTCTCGGAAATCAGGATCCATCTCCAAGGTTTGAAACATATGGTGGACATGCGGGGAGGCATCACGGCCCGCAGCGTTCGAAGATCATCTATCTGGGCTGCTATTGTCACGTATGTGTTGTATTCCCACAATAAAGCTTTCTCTTTGCTAAACTGCGATTAGAGCCGATATCAAGGCTGCTTCAGGCCTCATGACTGCACCAGTATTTCCGTTGCTTTGGGGTTCGAAGCGCGTACCAGTGGATGTCCAAGCGCGGATTCAGCCGTCAGAGTTCTCATCAGTGAGCCGTTTTGGAAAAGCTCTCTGTGCAAATACACTGCTGAGTTGCTCTCTACGAAGGGCCATTCATGCGTTTCGTGGGGTTGCCTTTTATAGCGAGGCAATTCAAACAAACCAGCATGCTCTCCAGCCCAAAGACCATGAATTCTTCCGCCTTTTCATATGCGAGATAGAGCATCGATTGGTCAGTTATGTCGAATCCGAGCCCAAAGCGACAATTATCCACCCAATTGAAGCGGTCACCAGGACAGCGGCAATTTGCTACCTCAATAATCTTTTGATTGTCTCCCCACCGTCGACGGGTCTTGGCCGTGCACTCACAAAACATCTCAAAATGGCAGCAAAGAATTGCACACTTCGACTGCTGGCACAGCTACCGGAGGAGAACGCCGTGCTTCTTGCATGGGCACTGTTTATCGGGGCCCAGGGCTCAACAGGACAGATTGAACACCAATGGTTTATTGAGCAACTCGCAACTATCACGGTAATTTGTGGTTGGAGTCACTGGGATCATGTGTCAGGTCTCTTGACTGAATACCTTTATGTTTTTCAGGTTCAATGCCAGATCTGGAAAACCATCTGGGACAAAGTTGTCGCTTTTGTTCCAACAGGCATCATTGGACCATACTAGGCTCATTCTGCATGTTATGGACCATTCATACCCTAGCTGTCTTTTCTGGTTCTTCATTCAAATATGTGTAAACTTGTCATATTAGCCTCTTGTGTTGATAGAAATTGTTCTTGTATAAGTATTCTAGCGGTTGATACCCGATAAGATAGGAGGATAATTATAATGCTTTTTATTGGCCATTGGTTTTCTTATGTCATCCTCCGCGATGTCTTCCGATCCATGGCTTTTTGCGCAACCGATTTTTCTTTTTTTTTTTTTATATCCTGACAGCAATAACCCTCCTATCGAGGTTCCTGGCGATTTGTTTTCTCGTCTTGGCTGTCATTGTCTTCTTTTTTTAATACATATTTTTATTCAATATGGGTTGGTTTTGGGCAGACCCACTACCAAAGTCAGCGCCTGTGGCTCCGAATCCGTTGGCATCATCCGATGCCTCCCCTCCAGTTAGTTCTCGCCTATTTAGAGCAAATTGATCTGGTTCTCTAACCGTTGCCTTTATATAGCCGGGATGCCCGATGCACACTTCGAATCCCGCTCCCGCTTCATCCCCGCCATCTCACCCTGAGCAACTCGGTACCTGTCCGGTCAAGTCTTCGGACTCTCCATTCTATACGCCCCCGAAAACCACACCCTCGCCGTCGCAACCCGCCTCTTCTTCCGAGGACAAGCCATCAACCTTATCCAAACTCAACCCCATGAATTACATGTTCTCGTCCATATCCCAGGAACGAGCTCCGAATCAAAATGTCGATCTTCCCGTCGAGCGGGAAATTTCTTCGATACCGCGGGGCGACTCGGCGGGTAACTGGGAATACCCATCCCCTCAACAGATGTACAACGCGATGCTGCGCAAGGGCTTTACCGACACGCCCCAGGATGCCGTGGAATCGATGGTGGCAGTTCACAATTTCCTCAACGAAGGCGCTTGGGATGAGATCGTCGGCTGGGAACGCATCTTCGCCAAAGGTTTCAAGAATGCATGGGATAAGTGCAAGCGGGGCGAGGAGAATATCGCCATGGATGCGTTTAGGGAGGAAGTTTCAGGGACCGTCGATGAGGAATCAACGCCTCGTCTACTTAGATTCCAGGGTCGGCCGAAGGAGCTGACTCCTAAGGCGCAAATGCTCCAGACGTTGGGGTGGCTGTATCCGGCCAAGTTTGAGTGAGTAGTCCTTTTTGTATCTGGAGTTGGACTGCAGTCAACTAATGCACGGTTATTAGGACGGACCCACCATTCGACCGTCACGACTGGTACGTTATGCGAGAGACGTCATCAGGCCCTAAGGAAATCCGCTATGTGATCGACTATTATTCAGGACCTCCGGAACCTTCCGGTGAGCCGGTCTTCTACCTTGACATTCGACCAGCCTTGGATACTCCGACAGCTGCCGTTGAACGACTGATGAGATGGGGAGGAGACGTCTGGTACCGGGCCAGTGGTGGTTCTGTTCGTGGAAAGGCTCATGATTGATTCATTGAGAGCTACATGACTTGTCTTTCTTTCTTGAACTAACTTGATGCTTCTCCACTCATCGTGATAACGTTGTATGCTTAGACAGGGCGCAGGCGTCTGGTGGTTCATGGTCTCTTTGGTTGTTCTCTCATATCATGTCTTCTTATCTGCATATAGATTATTATCAACTCTAATCTCGCTGATTGGTTTCTCACCATGAGGAACGCAGAAGGAGTGTAGGCGATATTGTACATTGGGTTTGAGTATATCCTGATATAGTTGATGTTCAGGTTGCCTACGCACTATCTATGTATACCAACCCCCCTCCTTCGAGCCTCAAATATTGCACTTCAATCAACTTGACAGTATCCGCAACCTCATTTAGCAGCGAAAACCACTTTCAAGCACCAAATAAACGGACGCCAAGGCAGCTGCAAGGGCTAAATATCGAAAAACGCCATCTCCCAGCCTCTGCCATCGTCAAGAACGCCAATCTACCCAGAGTTGATGGTCCATGTATGCTTACTCCCTGCGCATCTTTCCCTGCTATACTAATTTGTTATCAGTATTCGAGACCCTGGCTGACAAACAAAACAGATGCGAAGTCTTTACGAATCTCACGCATCCTCATTGATAGAAAGGCTGGCAGACTGGAAAATGTCCCGGGAATCTAAGCATCGCATTAGCTCATGAAGTCGTCCCACAATTTCTCTTCCAAACATCTTACAATATGAACAGACTCCCACCTTGGCTGACTACAATGCATTCATCGTCAGCATGAAGGGAACTACTATTCAGTTTGTCAAGGCTTCTTGCTCTAGTTCTTATATTCGAGATTTGGTGGAGCGAAAGTCCCCTAGGTCACCGTTGGGGGTTTACTTTTTTAAACCTTACGATCTTTTATAGCAGGCGGATCGGAAGGAGTTTGTCGGGTTTTTATTGGGCTTGTTCGCTATTCGTAGGGTTTGTTGGAGACCTTTGGTGATTGTTCTGCTATATCACAAGACAAGTCCAAGAGTCGGATGATGAGGGTAGTGATACGTACTCTCCTTGGGCCGCATATTCTGAAGAACAAAGTACATACTCTTTTGGAACGACAATATTCCATGGGCTTTGTATTGCGAGCAGTTATATTCTATCGCCAGTGAACCATATGCCTAATTTGAAGAAAATCATACTCATACACCTGCAGCATCTAGTATCTACAAAGAAAATACACAATATCGTCACAATTCTTTAATCCATAATCTATAACTCAGAACATAGTGTTGCTTCATCTATTCCCGAAGGGAGAAATCTATCACTCTCATATAGTGAGGCGAACAGACACACAACATATCTTTGATGTTTTCTTTGTGTTCGCTCCATCAGATATTCGGCGACAACAGGTCATACTTGACACAATTCTCGACACTTTCAATACTGGCCTGAAGCAACGTACGTGCCTCAAGGCCAACCCATACGCGCAGCATAGAAGTGTCGCCTGATCGTACGGATTGCATGAATGAAGCACCGGATCCGAGTTCGCGTAGGAGAGGGAGTGCACTAATCAATGAAGAGTTAGACAAACGAAATGCACAAGGACTTTTGGAAGGAAAGACATGACTTACCGCTTGAAGAGATCCAGATCCGGGTCGAGACTACGCCCAATACCTTCAAGGAGAAGGATTGAGATAACCACGTTCACAAAGTCACCCTCGAGTCGGACGTGGTGGCCCCTTACCATGGACAGAACCTCGCTGAGAATATCTCCGATTTTGATATTACCAAGCGCGAACGTCCGAGACTTGATGCTCAGGATCAAATGCTGCATTCTCAACGCAAAGATCTCAGGGTCAATAACTGCGTCTGGTTGCCGGCATCGTTCGACCATGAGCTGACCTGCTTTGTAGCCGTCGAACTCTGCAACTGCGCGAAAGAGATCAAGGAAGTTCCGCCGGTTTGAATCATTGAGCTGTGTCACGAGTCCAGTGTCAATGAATATCAATTGTGGGCGGTAGCCTTCAGAATTCAGCTGGTTAAGTGCATTCTCCCAGTCTTGCGCATCCTTTAGATGTGGTCTTAGGCGTTTGAGCACCTTTTCTGTCACATCGACCTCGGCCTTTGTCGGAGCTTCCGACGCCCGGGTGCTTTTTCGAAGAGATAGATCTAACTCACTCGGTTGGTAGAACCGGACCATGATATTACCCGGGTGCAAGTCCGCGTGAATGAAGTTGTCGATCAGCAGCATATGAAGGAATGCATCTAACCCCTCGCTTGCTATTTCCTGCTGATATACACCTCCACCAAGCTCCATGAAGGTTGACAGCGGAATTCCCTGGGCAAACTCCTCCACCAGCACCTCCCGGGTACTGTAATCCAAGTACGGGAATGGAAACCAAGCGGTGGTGCGCGACTTGAACTTTTCACGGAAGATGGCGAGGTTGGACGCCTCAATCCGAAGATCCAATTGTAACTTCATCATCTCTCCAAACTGTGCAACTTCGTCTGGCAAAGACAACCAGTGCATAGTAGGGATGGCGTTGATCAGGGATGAGAAGAAAGACATGATTCTCAAATCCCTCCGAATGACCCGTTCAACCTTTGGATGAAGCACCTTGATGGCCACATATGAAGATGGGACCCGTTTAGGCGAGCTCTTCACCAGCACATCAACATTCTTTCGGACTTTACCTCGCAGGCTCTCGGGTTCCTGTGAGATATCCTTATCCTCAGAAGCTAAGCTTCGCTTCAGTCTTGCCTTGTATACCTGCGCAATTGCGCCTACGCCGAGGGGCTCCTCCTGGAACTCCTCGAAGATATCCTCGAACGGCATTCCATTGAAAGCTTTCCTTATGGTCTTCTTGGTCGCATGTAACGGATGGGCTGGTGCATTGGAATGGAGAGAGGACATAATACTGCATAGTTCCGGAGGGAATATGTCGGTTCGTGATGCCGCCCATTGCCCGAGCTGCAGGAAGAAAAAACGACGAATCAATACACAATCTATAAGACTTCAAGGGAAGATACCCACCTTGATAAACGCCGGACCAGCACGCTCCATTGCCCGAACCAAGAATTGGAACCACCATAATGTCCCTGCCCGTTCCCTATTGCGATCCTCCAGTCGTTTCCCAAACCAAGCCACGGGAAATGTGAGAATGACTGGCATAAAGATAAACACCAAGTGTACAAATCGGAACCCGGTCGCAATCGGATCATATATGTAACAATACCACCAAACATAAAGCCGCTGACGGAGCCTCTTCAGCCCCCGTGCATCCTTCGAAACACCAGTCTGGACTTCCGCGCGCGACGCCTCCAACATATGTAACTCCCCAGTTTTCTCACTCGAGTCCCCATCCTCCGCCAGCTCCAGGAAGGCACCTGGAGTCAAGGCAGCCAGTAGCACCGTCCTGGCCACGGGGGCCTTTCTTGAGTACTCCGAATGTCCATTTCCATTGAATTGTCTTCGTGGCCATGATGACAGACGGGCAAAGCGTAATCGCGACGGCGGAGCAAAGCGGGATGGTAGCTGTGTCGGACGACAGAAACGGCCAAAAGGGACGGCCGTCCTCATGTTCTCATGCAAGCGAGCGCCTCCAAGGGGCCGCGGGAATCATGGAAGAGCGTAAGAGAGGCTCTGTAGCCAAGCAGGGGAAGCCATTGAATTGTAAAAAGTATATGTAAAGTATTGTAGGTGCTTCGCGGAGCCCGCAAGGAAACATCGGCCATTCGGAGTTGCACGTGGTACTACGTCATCGCCGACTACGCAACATATCCATCACCATTGTTCACAGGAATACTGAAGTACTGCAGAAAAAATTTTGAATTGTGGCCGTTTGTAATAATCTGACAGATGTTCTGACAGGCTATGTTTCTATTACTGTAGGCATATGATCTATTTTCAACACCCGTTCAGCTATCTTCACTTCCTTTCAGATACCGCGACACATGGCCGTTCATCAAACCTTCCAATGAGGACTTCCAGTCCTCTGGTAGTGTACCCTGCTATACACAATTAGCATGTCTTTCGTATAGAAGACGAGGACCAACTTACATCGTTGGAGAACAACTCCTTCACGAGAATAATGGTGTTATCGCGATCCTTGGCTCGCTGTATATTTTCCGTTTCAGTCGCTGAATCCGAGTCACCTGCACTTAATGTCCTCTCAAGCAGCGGGTAGACTTCCATATTCTGCAGGCAATCCATGACAGCCGAAGTGCCCTGTTTGCAAGACGCCATCAAGGCCAATGCAAACCAGCCTTCACTCCGGACGACAGGCCACTGAGTCTGCGTGATCATGGCACCTATCGGACGTGCAATGTGTTCATGTAAGCTGAATAGGCGTTCCAAGAGGACACCTGTCTCGGGTTCATTAGCCTTTGGGATCAGAGTGCGGCAGATAGAAGCGACGCTTCGTCCGATCTCGGTCGTGATTGGGGCTGAATCTGTCTTTTCGAAGAGACCAAGCAACAATGACAGATATGTCTGCTCGTTTTCTAAGAAATTACCCTCGGATATTGTATCTAGTAATCTCTTGACGTTTTCATATGACGATACGATCAGTTGGCGAGCCATGCTGGTAGCAGCAAATTGGACCTGCGGAACCGTCTCATATCTCCATAGACTTGATATCGCGGGTATTATACCGGCATCACCTAGGCGCTGCCTGTTGTCGCCGGCAATTGCCAGGTTCTTCAGAAAGCCGAGCGAGGAATGAAGAACGCCGCCTCTGGCGTCGCTCTTGAGGATCGATATCAATTCTTTATGCAGACCTAGATCGCAAACCATCTTCTCGCAGACTTCGTCTGACCGGGCCAAGTTACCCAGCATGACACACGAGCATATCTGGAGCTGGTCTTCATTTGCGGTCAGCCAGGACTTCAGAGTCTGGAACATTGGTGAGTCAAGCGGATAGAACTTTGCGAACAGTTCTGAGCCTGAGAGCTCCGCCAATGTTTGGTTGAGTTTCAGTTGCAGTTGGACGAACGCCTTCGCCTCTCCGACGGATGATCGATCCACCTCGAGGGAGAGTGACCGCTGGAGGGCAGAGAGCACACGCTCTACCATGCTATTCGATATACAGACGTTTTGGAATCGTTCGTTTTCCAGATACTTCACTAGACTGTTGACAACGCAGGAGGATTGGGAGAAAGTAGTCTCCTTGTCAATTGCAAGCTCCAAAAGAAGCGAAATCGTTCCATCGGGGGAACGCTCGACCCCTTGTCCTATGTATCATTCTCATTAGAAGAGAATTATTAACAGAACAAGAGAGTGCCATACCTTGCTCCGCTGCCAGCTCTATAAGTTCGTAGGAATAGTCAAGCAATGCCTCGTTATCAGAAAACGCACCCTCTCTGATTAGTTTCGATAGTATATACGCGATCATGTTTTCGGCAACCTGAGCATGAGCCGGCTCTGCGGTTTTGGTCAGTAAGACTAGTTGCATTATAGGTAAAGATATAACCGCACCGAAGTCCATGCAAGTGTTATATAAGACGGGTATTACCACCTGGGTAAGCCCTGGGTTCAAAAGATGACGGATGATAGCAAGTGTATAATTGTCCTTCACGACAATTGATCTGTTTTCATCTGGATAGGGTTAGTATGTCTGCTACAGCGCCGACAAGACACAAACATACTTACCTGTGTCGGCACACGAATTCCCACTCAACCGCAAAGAATGCAGTAGTAACTCATTGTCGGTAATCTCACTCGAAGAAACCAAGCGAAGGAAGAAATCCAAAATTCCCGAATGTCCGTATGGCAACCTCCACGAAGCTAAATCACCTGTCAGATTCCATGCTTTGCTAGTGGCACGTTCAGCTGTACTCACAATTCCTGCTTCCGTTCGCCAGAAGATTCGCTGCTTGAACCAGAATGTCCGAATTGGAACTCCATATCTTATCCAATGTAGACCGTACATCCATGAAAGCCTCGATGTCTGCTTCATTCTCGCTTTCTAGGTTCTTCAGAGTCTCTTGCAGAGACGTGAGTAGATTCGTTTGCTCCTCTGCCGACAAGTACTCTGTTCTCTCTGTCGGTAGACAAGGTGGAAATACAGTCGTTTCTGAGAGAATATCTTTCACAGAAGGACATGCAATCGCCTGTGGCTTCTGTAGACTCACTTGCAAATCTGGGGTAGAAGAGTGCTCGCCGGCGGTATTCATCCCATCTTGAGAAGTCATATTCCCAGAGCAGTCCGGTTTAAAATAAGTAAGGTTAAACCTTTCTTCCAGGGGAATGGGGATCAAGTCGAGTTCAAGTATCTGGAATCCAGACTCGTTTGGAATTAGAAATCAACAGGATGCCACTTGTATGAATTCTAGCCAACGATGACAGCTATAAGGACACTTCACAGCGACGTAGATATCCTGCGGGTGTCTGAGAAACGGGGGCACTAAAATTGAAATGTAAAGATGCTAGTGGACGATAGAATGGACGTCTCATCTAATATTTGTACTCGGTGCATGTCGACGGCCGGCGATGGTTCAGGGATCAATATGGCAGCCTGAGGCTTCTAAGATACCATCCGTTCTTACAGTAGTACACCAGTAGTCTCTTTAGCTTCATTCTGCCAACCAGCTATATATATTAGAACGGTATATGAGATAGAACGCATAAAAAAGCCAATTGCCCTTGAATCTAGAAATGTCTATACCAACTGTCAGAGAAATATCGAGTCATGAACTGCATGCGGAACTCCATTCCAATACGGCGACCACTGCGGCCACGAGGCGCATCGGGGGGAAGGGGAATGGTCGTTACTTTCGCATACGTGCAGCAGAAACTACAACCACAGCAGTTCTCTCAGACGTGCAGTTCTATACCGCATTAACCAACAATTAATTGTGTGCACTTTGTTTCTAACACGGATCCTTCTTTTCTGGTTCCTCTCTTTAATCGCAACCAATTCGATTACCTTACTGCATACACCACCCTGATTGATTCGTGGTTCATCATGACGCGCGCTCAGCAGACTCTCTCAGTTTTGCTGTTGGTCTCTTCGGTATGCTCAATTGGTGCTGTCTGCTATATCGAGCGTTCCTCTTGCTGACTATGTGGCTTCTTTCTTCCGCCGGTTCTAGCTCTATCTCGTCCTCTACCTGGGCCTCGTCCCCCTAAATGAGACCGTTCAGCACGAAGTCATCCCGGTCGTACGTTCCCCTTCCCCTTTCTATCTACCCATAATCACTAAAACACTAATACACTATTCTCGATAGCTCCCCTTTTACGCCCTGATATCCTTCGGATGCTACCTACTCGGCCGGTTGGGAGTGGCGATCATGACATTCAACGATGTCCCCGAAGCGCACGACGAGCTGCAGAAAGAGATTGAGCTAGCCAAGGTTGATTTGCGTCGGGGGAACATCGACGTCGACTAAACGGTTTTTTGTTTTCTTGCTCGTTGCGCGGTCTGTTTGGACTGAGCTGGGTTGAGCATATAGGCTCGATTTTTGTTCTTGCGTTAATATTCCGCGGGATTCGGGCGTCGCTACTTGTTTGGGAGGGAGCCAATTAATTGACAATGGAAACTAATGATGGTATAGGATGGGCTTCCTGATTTCTGTCCATTAATATCCCGGTATACAGCGGACCTGTACGGTTATTGAGTTAATAAAGGAATCTCCAGTGGCTATTCAAATGCTTCTTTATATATAAATTCAATTTGATAGCGACTCAATGGCTCCAAAAGACTTGCTCGAGCAAATGTCCAACTCCTAGGCAATAAGGCAAAAAGTAAAATATATGTAAATGACCACATCCCAAGAAATGTCAGCAAAGCAAAAGCGAACTTTGGATAACTGTCGTTTATAAGTCAAGCCGAATCCTAATATACCAAAATAAGGATTTTTTAGCATAATGCATAATTCCTGCTGATCAGGCATCTTCTCTTCTCGTGGCGCGGTATGCCCAACATTCCACATGCGCAAAATTGAACCTAGTGTGGACTAGAGGGCTTGATGTCAAGGGTGGAAGGAATGGTAGAGCGAAACTAAAGGTCCAATCTTAAAGGGGGTTCTCCTTGGACAAGCGGTCGTGTTCGTCAATGTCCCTGTGAAAATGTATGAATAGCTGACGTCAAAAACAACAGAATTTCTTCACTTACTTAGCTTCCCATGGATAGCAAATCCACACATCGTCGGTAGTCAGAGATGCGTGGTAGTATTTCTCCACCATGTCTTCAGGCAGCTGGCCCTTCTTGGCCTTGTTCTTGTTCTGTTGCGAATTAGCAAGATCATCCATAACCCTAGGAAGGTTTCATGAGATAACGTACGTGAAGTACAAAGACAAAGAAGTTGGTCTTCTCGCTCTCACGGCCCAACTGCTTCTGCGCCGTCTCAACGTCCTTCTGGAGTTCCCTAACAGCGTATTCCAGCGTCGTCCGGGTGTCATCAACCTCGTCTACGATAAGGATGTCCTTTCCGATCAGGTTGTTCATCTCCAACGAGCTGAGGTCCAACCATTGTGTGCGTGTGACCTTGGTACCGGGAACCTCTTCGGGGTCGCCGCGACCCAAGTCTTCGTAAAGCGACAGACCGATGGCCTGGATGGGAATGTTGGGCTCGCCGGGGCGTTTCAGGAAGGAGCTATTCAGAGAATAAATCAGTATTCTCATTGTTCGTCCCACTCTTAAGCGCAGACGTACCGGAGAATGCGGGCAGGGACATAACCACCACCGCCAATAGCGATCATAAGCTGAGGGCGGAAGACATCGAGGATCTTTTCGGCAGAGGTCTGACAGAGCTTGTGCACCTATCCGAAAGAAAACAAGGTTGGTCAATATGGGAATGCTTGGTATTGGATGTAAGCGAGGAAAAGAGCAGGGAATATGGAAACTATGCGTCTTCCATGCGGCTTCGACGTATCCACGACATACCTGGTTATATGTGACATAGACTTTTTGCGGCATCCTGGCAGTATTGAACTAGACAAGTTCGAAGGGTTAATTATAGGGAAGTGTATGAAAAAGTGTAAAAGATCAAATTCGAGGGGCGATGGGAAAAAAAGTCTTGGGCGGGGCGCGGATAACGGCGATAGACAGAAAATCAGCTGTCAGACAAAAGTATGGAGCATGTAAACGATACTATGTTTTTGTGAGAGTATTCTGTACGAAGTGTACTCTGTAGAGTATAAACAATAAATGAGAATTCTTCCCAACCTGTCTACCTATTCTGAATTTTCCCTTGCCTAGACACGCGACAACTGTATGCCTGTCTCTACCCATGGAACGCGCCGCCAATCATGTGCCTCGCCTATTTAGTCCATGGCGGCATTCGCCGAACGGCTATGGCCTCCAAAAAAAAGCACGTGCAGCAAGGGTCCTGCTCCATCTGTCTTCCATTCCCGATCAATCTCTGCTCTTAACCAAAATATACGGACACTGCTTATTTACCGCAACTTGCTAACAGAACTATTGGCACTTCATTTGCACATTGGAGGCACACTGTACCCTGACCCAGTCAAGAACTATCCATGGTTTGCTGAGCGAAAGCCGAGGTATGTACGGTTTGAGAAAGTCTTCGCTAATTAGGAAAATAGCCATTTGTACATAGTCTCACATCAAACCTCCGTTGTTCGAACATTTGAAATCTCAAGCTGCACCCGGTTCATCTCGAATCCACCCTCATCTTTATCCTCGCCCTTCTGAGGCCATAGGATATGGTGCAAAGTAATTGCTCGAATCATCATGCTGAACACGAAAATATACATAAAAATGAGAGGGAACACCATCACACATCCGACAATCAAAATCGGTTTACATGAGAATGCGTTGCCAATTGCAAAAGTGGCGGTTACCAGTGCAGTGTTGGGAAACACAAAAGAGAACCAGGCCATGGAGAATTTGATCCGACCGTGTCCGATTGTCGACCAATGAGCAAAACTTGCTACAAAAAAAAAGAAGATGGCCAGCCTAGATGGAGATTAGCTAAAGTATTGCGCAGATGAGCTCTCGCAAAAACTTACCCCCATAGCCATAATGCGCCAAAGTTAATGACGAACCTCAGAACATCAGCAGCAAGGGCCCCATTTCCCATAAAATCATCAGGGAAGCATCGCTTCATTCCAGAAGCCATGTTCACAATCCCCGAGACAGTGAAGGCGCTAGGACCGACAGAAACGAACATACCGGGCCGCACGTTTTCCTTGGGCAACTTCTGCGACATCAATCTATAGATAAAGGCTGAATACACCATCAACGAGACCATGAATCCAACTCCTTGGATAGTTATACCACCGATGATGATGGGCAAACAGCGAGAGGGCTCAAGTTTACTGCCCAGGATGCCAGCATGTGGTCCAATTATCAACATTGGATAGGCTGGGAAGATCCAAATCGGAGTCATCTGGGCGATTGTGAATGTCTGCGTCGACCACCTGAACATCATCAATCAACAAGCTCTTCAAAATTTAGGAATATTAAACAATATTAAACTCACAAAAGAAGGTATATCCCTGCTGAAAATATCACAGCCAGAATCGCGTCAATCCAATATAGTATGCCGGCGGCCTTGGCCAACCAATAGCCCGTATGCTCTGGACCATATTGCGAGACATTGATCAAGATTGTTCCAAAGGAGACAATGGACGCAGGGACAAATAGGGATTCCGTCGGGTGCAGAAAAGACGCCTTGAAGGTGTATGGATAGAGGTAAAATCGAGCGATGAGCAGACCCCATATGGCAAGATACAGTGCAATGTTGAACAAAAAAACGATAATACCAATCGTCTCAAGGCCTCTGAATCGATAAGGAACTAAACGGCGCGATACCAATCAGTGCGAAGTTTAAGACACTCTTTATTCATTTACTGACCGGCATACAAGACGTTTGCAATTCCCCCGGTTGCCATGGTCAATGTGAAATAGGCCCAGGTGAAGTGACGGATACGTTCTCTCCAGCTAAGATCGACGATGGATGACGAGTCGGTCTTTGCATGATCGGTCGACTCGGTATCATTGATATTGCTGTCCTTCTTCACGACTGTCCCGTTGATCACTCGAGGCGTCGACCCTTGCAATGACTCCAAAGCCGATGTATGGGCGTCGCGCAATGCCTGCGCTGTTGGTGCGCTTAACAAGTTTCCACTGCCGCCTGTCGACAAGTCGTGCTCCGCATCTTCAAGTGTCGGAGTCCTGAACCCCTCTTCCCCGCGACTTCTCAAGTGTCTGGGAGGTGGGTGCTGTAGTACGTCTTTCATTGTCATTGTCGAGGCATTAAGGGACCTAATTCCATAGTGATGGAGATTCTTCTTTAAAGTGACAATTCCACGTCAAGAAAAGGAACCCAGTGACAAGGTTCCGGGCCTGAATTTAGCACATGGATATCAATAGTACTAGTAGCGGTGACAGAAATCGACGAGTCAGAACCAAAGATCTTATATTTTGCATTGCAAGATAAAAGAAATCAGATGAAAGATGCAGTGGCAGAAAGAGATTTTGGATTGGTTAGAATAAGAGAATCATGGACTTTCTTCGGGTATCGGCACGGGAGAGCTACGTGCTTTTTTTTTTTTTTTTTTTTTTTTTCTGGGTCAACCAACATCATTTACAGTATTATATATTCATGAAAAATGGCGAGTTGCATATGTTTATATAACACATTCATGCTTGTAGAATCGAAGTGCAGTATGCATATACAAACATGTAACACTTTATACTCCATACCCCGGAGTAAACCGAAGTCCATAAGATCCCCGCCTGATTAGTCCGAGACTCAGTGATGTCCGATAGCCTTGCAGAGTTAATCCCCTTCTCACTTTCATATTCCTGGGTTTTCATGTTATTGATCTAGAAAGGTGTTGAATAATATCACATGTTCCGCAGGGTCCTGTCCTTGAACTGCCTATTAATTGTCGAGCATGGCTACTGCTAATAACTGCCGCTCTGTTCTTATCACAGGGTAAGCGACCAACCCCAATTCTAATACACTCTGCCCATCTACAAAAATGCAAAGGCTAATATTACGATTTCTGATTTAGATGCTCTCCCGGGGGAATCGGAAACTCACTCGCGCGGGAATTTCACCGAAACGGACTACGCGTGTTTGCGACGGCACGGGATGCGAAAACAATTGAAGAACTGGCGACATTGGGAATCGATACCCTGAGTCTTGTGGTTGATGATGAGGATAGTGTGCGATCATGCTATGCGGAGGTGGAGCAAAGGCTTGGAGAGAAAGGACTGGATTATTTGGTGAACAATGCGTGAGTATCCTTGTCCAGAATGCGGAAGCGCAAAACTGACTAGTTATTAGAGGTCGGAGTACGTGCAGTCCAATCTTGTCTCGAAAGACAGCAACCTAACATTGACGGCAGACTATACAGTTCCTGCTATGGAAGCAGATCTGCCCGAAGCTCGTCGGACTTTTGAGACCAACTTCTTTTCTGTTATTCACATGTGTAAGACTTTCTTGCCGCTCCTTATCAAAGCCAAAGGGACTATTGTGCAAGTTGGATCTGTTGCGGGAGTGAGTATTATACTGCTCATGCTATCATCGCCGTGCTAACCTATGTACTCTAGATCATTCCCTATGTGTTTGGGTCCGTTTACAATGCTTCGAAGGCAGCTCTACACTCATGGAGTGATTCTCTGCGTGTTGAATTGGCGCCATTTGGGTAAGTGATCATGTTTTCGAATCAGTTTCCATGCTGGATGAGATCTGATACAATGACATACAGAGTTAATGTCACCACTGTCGTGACCGGTGGCGTACAATCTCGCATTGCTCGGACAGACCGCACCCTCCAGCCAAACTCACTATACGCCCCCATTGAAGACCAATATCTACGTCGCGTAAAACACAGCCAAGATGGCGCTATGCCGCATGATGCATATGCACGGAGCGTGGTGGCGCAGGTTCTATACGGGTCCGCACCATGGCGATGGTTATGGCCATGGGCACAGGGCCGAAAGAGCTGGATCTGGGAAGGCAACAAGAGTTGGCTGATCTGGTTGTTGGTTGGGGGTTGGGCATGGTCAGGAGTATTTGACCGGATGATGACCGGGATGTTCAAACTTTCCCGATTGAGGAGGTAAACAGGACCCTATCTTACCCGAGTAGTGTAAATAATTTGCCGTCATTGTGACGCGGGGCATGATGGGAGATGTAGGAACATGTACAGTGTTATATACTCCTCTCTCCTGTATGCTCTCACAGGATCTCACTCCTTACCGATGTTTGACCATTCTATATACTCATACATAAATCTCTGAAAAACTCAATCTCGATGGGGCTTTCCGCGATGTCTTCGCTTCGGAATCACAACCGATTAGTCATCCCGAAACGCCTGCTGGTTGGCTGTCAGGTGACCCGCCAACCGTCGTCTTAAGGCCAAAGCAATTATCCATCCCGAGCATCGCAGCCGTGAAAAAGAAAGTTGTCCCTCTCTTAACCACTCCCTCTCTTTTGCCCTCTCTCTCTCAGGTTATTCTTCTTGAGAGCCTTTGCTATCTTTTTGTCGACTCGACCACTCTCCCCTCTTTCTCTTACTTCATATCCATCATGTTCAAGCTTGCCCGTAGCCGCCCATTTGCGACGGCCTTCCGTGCTGCGACGGTAAGATCTTTAATCTATATATTTATACCCGGGTATGGTCACTGACACAATGGTTTGCTTTAATTAGGGGCCCCCCAGAATCGCTCAGCAACAGAGAAACCTCTCCATCCACGAGTACCTGTCCGCAAATTTGCTGAAGTCGGTACGCACATTACGTCTCCACCCCCTCTTTCTTTTTCCGCCAACCTCCAATGACTGATATACGCGGTTATAGTATGGCATCGGCATGCCCAAGGGCGAGGTCGCCCGTTCCGCTGAGGAAGCCGAGGCTGTCGCCAAGTCGCTCGGTACATGATTTCATTCTGGAACCTAAAAAACGCGCAGCGTACTAAGATGGGGTATTACAGGTAACGACGACATGGTCATCAAGGCTCAGGTCCTCGCTGGCGGTCGTGGTAAAGGTCACTTCGACAATGGCCTCAAGGGAGGTGTGCGCGTGATTTACTCGTGAGTTAGATCTATAAAATTTTTACATTCAAGAGTGTTTGTTTGTTGACGGTAACTTCACTATAGGCCCACCGAGGCTAAAATGTTCGCCGGCCAAATGATCGGACAAAAGCTCATCACCAAGCAAACTGGCGCCGCTGGCCGTGCTTGCAATTCCGTCTACATCTGTGAGCGCAAGTTCGCCCGCAGGGAATTCTACCTCGCCGTTCTCATGGACCGTGGCTCTCAGACCCCCGTCATTGTCGCCTCATCGCAGGGTGGTATGGACATTGAGGCTGTCGCCAAGGAAAACCCCGAGGCTATCATCACCACTCCCATCGACATCAACGTTGGCGTTACCGACGAGATCGCCCGCAACATTGCCACCAACCTTGGCTTCTCTGAACAATGCATCGAGGATGGCAAGACCACCATCCAGAACCTGTACAAGGTCTTTATGGAGAAGGATGCCACTCAGATTGAGATCAACCCTCTTTCGGAGACCTCCGACCACCAGGTTCTGGCCATGGATGCTAAGCTGGGCTTTGACGAAAACGCCGAATTCAGACAGAAGGAGGTCTTCTCGTGGAGGGACACCACCCAGGAGGACGCTGATGAGGTCAAGGCTGCTGAGTACGCCGACCCTTTGCCTTGAATATGTTCCTTTTCTGACCAATGGTATAGGCACGGGTTGAACTTCATCAAGCTTGACGGTGACATTGGATGCTTGGTCAACGGCGCTGGTCTCGCCATGGCCACCATGGATATCATCAAGCTCAACGGCGGTAACCCTGCCAACTTCCTTGACGTTGGCGGTGGTGCTACCCCCGCTGCTATCAAGTCCGCTTTCGAGTTGATCACCAGCGACCCCAAGGTTTCTGCCATTTTCGTCAACATTTTCGGTGGTATCGTCCGCTGTGACGCCATCGCCCAGGGTCTGATCAACGTTGTTCAGGAGATGGGTCTCCGCACTCCTATCATTGCCCGTTTGCAGGGTACCAACATGGAGCAGGCTAACAAGCTGGTATGTTTGTTTACCAATAAGAGACAGAAGATGTGCTAATCAGTTTCATAGATCAATGACTCTGGTCTCAAGATCTTCTCCATTGAAGACCTCCAGAACGCTGCCGAGAAGTCGGTTCAGTTCTCGAAGGTTGTCAAGATGGCTCGCGAGATTGACGTCGGTGTTGAGTTCACTCTCGGCATCTAAACGCCGTGACAGTGCATTACTTGTCCCTCTCTTTCTCGTTTTCCTTTTCTTTTTATAACCATTCGACCATTCGACTGTTTTCGTTTTCCTTTCAGGGAGGCTAGTGATCGGGTACCAAGGGAATATAGACTTCTTTTCCCTCTTAGCATGATAAGGTCAGAAATAACCCGAGAGCCGATATGACTACATGGGGCAACTGGGAATGGTTATTGTTTGACGACAGGGAACAGCTGTGGAATTTATAGAGATTATTGATGGATTACTGTATATCGTCCTTTTTCAGGTTTTCATTTCATTTGTTAATGTTTTTGACCCCATTTATGGCCCAGTAGAATTAGAAACAGACATGTCTCGTCATATCGTACACATACATATCACATAACAAGCGGCTCATATCCAGGATATCATCCAATCCAAATCCTAGTGTCACCAAATCCAGAAAACCACCCAAAACCAAACATTCAAGAAATCGGGATCGCCCCCATAGCCTGATCATCACGGTCAAAAGACCAAACCCTCAACCCACTCGCATCAACAAGCAGCACCGAACACCCATCCCCCAGAATCATAAACCGCCGATCAAAGTCCTCCCAATTCACCTCCTTCCTCAATAACTCCCGACTCAGCATCGGAGAAGGCCGGTGCGCCCGTTTCGCGCGCGGATTCGAGATCCAAATTGCCGGATTCCCATCCGCCTTTCTAATATAGTACAGAAGATCTGGCGCGATGGCAGTCATGGATAGTCCGACGTTATGGATACTCCCCTGGTGAGTGCGGTGCATATAGATTTGGAACGTGCAGGGGTCAGCAGTTAGAATGAGCGCTTCTGTTAGATCACGGTTATTATGCCAGTTGATATGTAACGAGCCGAGACGGTGGTTACATCGCGACTTGCGATCTGTGAGGTCTTCGTAGAAGTTCCCGCCGGGGCCGATGTCGCTTGGTAATGGGAGGATCTCGGGCTCCTCGTCCAGGAACGCACCCGTATTACCATCCCGGTAGAACTGGCGGAGCGTGAAGACAGCGCGGTCTGTTGCGATGGAGCCCGCAAAGCGGCCCGTGTCGCGGTTGGAGATGTGCACTGTGGCGAGGCGATCTTGGGACGGATGTAGGATGATGAGGTGCAGACCTGTGGGCACGCGGATGGCGTGGGTGGTTTGGGTGGAGAGGTCCCATTGAAGGACATTTTCGCGGAAACCGAAGGCGACTTTTGTGCCATTGGCGACGAATCTGTTGAAGTTAGCGGAGGGGAGGTGGAAGATGCCTTCTGTGTTGGTATGGAGGTGCCAGACGTGGCAGGTTCTATCTCGAATTAGACTTGTTCAAAGGCAGAATAAAGATGCGGAAGGGGCTCACCCCCGACGAGAAAGCGCAGCAACAATCTGATCCGTGATGCGAACATTATCAAAAACATCCCGGTTCTCGGTACAGAAGCGCTGCAAGGTACCAGAGCGCAGATGACGCACAAACACAAAAGTGTCCATTTCAACCCACGCGTATCTACCGCTGTGGTAGTCCATAGGGTTCATACTGATCTGGTAAGTTTGCAACTGCCAGGAGAAGTGGCTCTGAGAGACCGGCTGGCCACGCTCCAGCATGACCCGGTCTCTGGCGAATTGAAGGAACGCTAGGTTCGAGGATGTGTCCACGGTGCCTGGCCCATAGCGCCAGTTGAGGACTGAGTCGCGGACTAGGCGGTTAATGAGGAGAGATTTCCAGCGTTTGCAGACCTGTTCTTGTTAGCGAGCTGTTCAATGCATGTGATGAGCGGGTATGTGCATACACTCTGTAGGTTGAAGAGATCCGCGAGTTCCAGGTACGAGGTGATCTGGACTGCCAGTTCCAGAGGCAGCGAACCCAGGATATCCCGATGAAAACTGGTTTTATCGATATGGTTCTTCAATTCGCGTCTTTCGTCGACGCGCAGCTCATTCAGTACATTGAGGTATCTGTGACGGACAGTTAGCAAGTGCGACGCGACAGGGGGTAGGCATAAACATACACAGCGCGTCGAGCGGACTTTGAACGAAGATTTTGAAAGCGTATCAGGATCTCTTCGACCTGGTGGTCGTGATAGACCTCCATGGCGGTCTTTTACCGGGAGTTGACTCGGGAGAGCAGCAAAGAGAGTCAAACGCCGATAGGATGTTTTTCATGAAAGAGTCCACCGCCTTGGGAGGATTGTTTGTCAGGGAAAAAGTGAAAAGAGAGCATCTGGTTGTTTTTATGGTTTTGTGAGTGGTTGAACGATGCATATATATATATATAGTGTGGTGGAAGAGATGTGTGGTGAATGGGTGAGATATATATAACACAGTGGAGATAAGTAGAATGAAGATGTCCAGAGGATAGAACTGAACCATAATAGATTGTAATTATCATCATTATTGTTCTCTAATAATATATATAGATAACCCCGGCTATAGAGGCGTTCTTTGTTTATATGTTCTGTATATATATCTCCATCCAACACCTCTTCCCTTTGAATTCAACACAATTTTCATCCCATATTTTCTGCTCTATTCTATCCTTATTCTGACACTATTCTGCATAGATACTACATCCTTTTCCTTCGTCTGAGATAGCTAGCCTTCGCTCCAGCCGTCTGACTCGCCTCTTGTCTCATTTGTTGCCTTCTTGCCTTCTTCCATCATTCTTCTTCACCTTCTATTCTCTGTCAGACATTCAACTGGCTGGACCGCGGATGTCGTACTAAAATCCGGACCAATTGAGCTCTGCAGATCCGATCGTCCTCTGCTTTTTCTTCTTCTTCTCGCCCGGTCTTCGCCTCTTTTAATTTTCTTTTGCAGCTTTTTTTTTTTTTTTTTACTTACTTCCTTCTGGCCTCGGTTTACTTTCTTCTTCTTTTCATCGTCGTCTCTCTTTCTCTCTTCTTTATTCTTCCTTTCTCTCTTCCGGATTCCCACTTTTTATCCTCCCATATTTGTCGACCGCTATTCTATTATATACCTAGGATAAGATAGGGGACGCAAGACGGGTCCGGGCCCCAAAAAAACAATACAGAGTGGTCTTTCTCTCAACGCGAAGGGGAACACACAAACTGGCCTCGCAATGACCAACAAAGGATAACACTAAAAACCTAAAGGTTCCTATTTATTTCTCATTATTATTACCCTGTTGATCCGCGCGCGACTTTTTCTGGTCCAGGCTCGAGCTGCCATAATATACACACCACGCTTCCCACGTTCTTTCTCCGGGCTGGCTGGCTCATTTTTTTTTCCCTCACGGCATTGTGGAATAAACATTACTACTAGCACAAGCACTCGGATATTCCCTTGCGTCTCCTCCCCGCCCCTTCCTGTCAGGTGCTTCCCCTGCATCTGCTACTAGCAATTCCTTTTCTTCCCACCCCACACTCTCCCTAAATCCTCTTTTTTTCTATCCCAGGGGGAGGGGGAGAAGAAATAATCATCGCCAATTCCTCCGTTGTCTGTCGTCCTCTCCATAATCGTCCTGCCGTCTGTCATCCGTCGCGCGAAATGAGTGGTCTCGCCGATCCCCCGAGCAAAGTTACCTTTGCTCCCACGGTCACCACCCATGCTCCCGGCAAGACTCGCAATCTTCCTGTCCTCTCCTCGTCCGTGACCGGCTCAAATCAGTCGTCCGGTGACCCAATGGATGTAACTCCGTCGACCGGGGGCGCTGCGCCTCCCAATTCCGATGGCGCAAACTCCAATTCCAATGCGCCCAATGGTTCTACGGATCTGAACACTGCGAGCAACAGTGGCAACAATAATACCAATAACAACAGCAATGGCCCGAACCAGGCCATCGGAGCTGCCGCTGCTGCCCAGCAGCCCAAAGTCGTACAGACGGCATTCATCCACAAATTATACAAGTATGTATTTTCCCGCTGCTTGATCGGTACCAGTCGCATATAGTAGTTTTGGCTGTCAGTCAATGGAGAGCAAGTCATCTTTACTGACCATCTCGGTAGTATGCTCGAGGATCCTAGCATTCAGCATCTCATCTCCTGGTCCAGCTCGAACGATAGCTTCGTCATGTCTCCCACATCCGAATTCTCAAAAGTTCTCGCGTTAGTGATACCTTGCTATAATCCCGTGCTTGTGCTTGTGGTTGCTGATACCTTCTTAGGCAATATTTCAAGCATACCAACATTTCATCCTTTGTCAGACAACTCAACATGTACGGCTTTCACAAAGGTATGGTAAATCGGACGCGCTTTTGCTTCAGTAACCATCTGTCCGACGCTAACACTGGGTTTCTTTAGTGAGCGACGTCTTCCACACCGGATCTCCCGATTCCGCGCTCTGGGAATTCAAACACGGCAATGGCAACTTCAAACGCGGAGATTTAGTAGGATTAAGGGAAATCAAGCGCCGGGCATCTCGTCACGCTCTGATCCACCGCGACTCATTCCCCGGCCATAAGACCACCGCCGCGTCGCAACCCGGTACCCCAGCCGAACCGGTTCCCGATGCTACGGAGACACGTTTGATGGCGCTCGAACATTCGCTCTACGACATGTATAACCGCCTGGGTCGCGCAGAAGAGGGAAACATGGCCCTCAGCTCGAGATGTCAAGCAATGGCAGAGGGCCTATCCAGATGCTACCACTGGGGTTATTCGATGTCGCGATTCGTACAAGCGATGGTTCCTGATCGAGATAGCCCTCTGTATCGCGACATCGTCAGTATGCAAAGTGAACTGGAAAGACACCTTGATTCTGTCCGCGCCCTGGAGAACCCTCATGATCCATATCTCGCAGCGCGGCAGCCGCCGCCTTACTTTGCGAACGTCTCCGTCGAGCCACCGGGCGCGCCGCTCTCTCCTCGACAGATGCCAATGGACGATAGTCGTCGACCATCGGTGGTCGAATCCTCTTTCCGGCCCAATATGATCCGGCCCCCTCTGCCTCCACACTTGGCCGTTTCTCCGCGTCGTTATGGCTCCGTCAGTGCTGCTGCCCATCCTTCTCCGAATCATAACCGTCCCCAGGTCCCCTCTGTTGTAACACCTCAGCCACCGATGCCTCACCCACTTTCGTCCGTCTCGTCTCCTCCAGGACCCAACCTTGGGCGACGACACACATCCGCCGATATTCGCCAGCACGGCTGGCCGCCACCGGGCGTTTCGCCCTTCTCGACCCATCACCCACCAGTACCACCGCCGCCCCACTGGCCTCCGTCACCACATCGCACTCCAACCTCCAGTGAACAACAGGTCCGAGATGTTTTAGCTCAGTACGAAATGGGTGCCCCGCGTAGACCTCCGCATTCACGCAACATAACCCCGCCTACGAGTGCCGACGCACCTTCGTCGTCTATGCTCAGTGCCGATAATGGTTGGACGTTTGGGCCCCGGTATCCCCGACACGAGTCATCCCTGCCAGCAACCCGACGGTCCAGCATGGCCAGTAACGTTCATTCGCTCCTCAACCCGGCTGATACCGCTGAGCGACCCGATGAGGATCAAGCAATGAACGATGACCGCAAGCGAAAACGTTTGGAATGATTTAGCATCGGTTTTGAGCAATTCTTGGACTGCCTGTGGCAGTTCGCGCAGTGGCTCTTGAGTATAATTACAGCCAGATCAATTGACTGGCCGAGACCTCTGGGTGGTCCTTTGGTTCCCTGCATTACCTTGTGCTGCGACTTTTGATTTATTTAATATCCCCGCTTGGATAAACCATATTTGTGTATATTCTACTTATAACAAGGGTGGCTTCCTGAAGAAGCCATTATCCGCCTGCATGTTTGAAACGAGGGTTCAAAGCATACATTCCCGTTCTGTCACCTTATATCGACCTTTTGCAAAGTCCGAAATATTGGATTTGAACAGCATATGTCGATTCGCCATATTACTATCATTATACCCTGGTTGAGTGGAGCAAAGCTTGGACAAACTGTTTTCGATAGCATTTAAAGTCACAGGTTGGAGATGTGAATTTCAATTTGAATAATAATGGCATTAGTTCGTGCATACGATTTCATTCTAGGTCGGCCGTTCATTTCTGACCCTAGATGTAAAATTGATATTATTGACATAAGAACGGTAAGGAAATGAATCAAACCTGCCTGTACTCCGTGTATACAAACCAAAAGATAGTCCACAATGTAGTCATAGCAATGCATGGATATATCCTTCACAAACACGACGTTCACCTCTTCTTTCTCTTCTTAGATCTCTCAGCGAGTATCTCATCCAAGAAACTGGTCGCTTTTTTCCTCCTCGGAGCTGGTCGCGACGATGATCCTGATGTCCCTGCATCTGGCTTCGCTAAAGAGTCCTGTACATCGCCCTGGCCTTCAAGTTCTTCTTTCCCTTGCCCCGGATTATCACCATTGCTACCACCTGGAGCATCTCCCGCAGCATCAAACTGCGACTGCGACTGCGATTGTTCCTCTGCCGCAGCCTTGCGCTTCTTATTATTTTTTTTCTTTTGATTCTTCGTCAGACCCTGACCCTGACTCTGCCCCTGCCCCTTCGCAAACTTCTTCCCAACAGCCGCCGTCCGCCCGTCTTCTTCATCATAATCATCTTCCTCAACCGTATCGTTATTACCGCCCAAATCTGTCGAATTATTCGCATCACCATTCGCACCCGCACCCGCACCCGCAGAGGCCTTTTGCTTAGCTTCCCTCTCCTTCTCCTTCATAACTTTTTGATAATTCCTGCCCAGCAATTGTCTCCGCAGCGCATCGTTCGAGTCGAGTTCTGCGCGATTCCAGCTTCCGTCGGGGAGTTTGGAGGGGAGGGGGGCTCCTACGCCTAGTCTTTATTCACCAACATAATACATTAGCACAAATGCCCTCCAAATAAGATGAAGAAAAAGGGGATCAGGGCGTACGTCTCCGGAACAGCCGTAAAAATCTCATCTTCCTCTTTCCGTAGCTCTTCTTCTGATTTGGTATTCGAGGACTGTTCTTCGGTGGTTTGTGGAGGGAGCCATGAGGCAACGAGGCGTTGGCTGCGGGCGAGGGCAACGTTTGCGCGGTTAAGGATTATGTCTGTTGAGGACATTTTGCCCTTCTTTCCTCTTCGTTTCCGCTATTATGGTGTTGGATTGGAATCTTAAGATGGATGGAAACTTTTGATATGGGCGGCAGTATGGTTACCGCCTGGGGGACCGACTTGGGCTTGGCATTGTCACTGTATTGGGAATTAAGGTAGTATTATTATTTATTATTTAATCAAGTTTATTGTCCATACCGAGCCCTAGAGCTATGACAGACCATTATCCGTGGACTTGAGGCCGTTAGCTATCCTACAGTCTCTTATCCATATAAGTTCCTGGGGCACTAGCCCCCTTCCATACTCCTTCTGATCCTTTTCCTCGCCCTAGACCGCCTGTTTGCGCAGGGCTTTCGAGCACAGTGCTCTCCTTGTGTTTCGTGCAGGATGGGTGCGGCCTAGGCTGACTTCAGCTCAGGCTACCCTTCCTGCTATCCTTCTCCTGTTTGAATTGCCTCTTCCAATGATTCCAATCCCCATTCATCATCTTTCTGGACCCTTTCTGCCGTTCGCTGTAGGTGTGCTCGAGGTAGAGCTACACTGGTACTAGCTAGGAATTGTAGCAGCGCCTTGGTAGCTCTGGGCTCTCCCAGAAGTCGTCCTCGCGGGTGTTCCTCTGCAGCAGTGGGCCTCATAACTCCATCTAGCTCTAGATCCTTGTAGAGCTTGTTTCGTTGATGTCGCCATTTTCGGCATTCAAAGAGAAGATGGTGTATTGTCTCCCTTGATAGGCATTAAGGTAGTATATGAACACAAGAGGATTGTCTATTGTGTTTTGTTTATAGTACAGATGTAGTGTACCATATCCTTGTAATATACATATGTACATGTGATATCTCCATCAATGGCCAGGCTGTGCATGCGCAGCAATGGGGACCTTCTCATCATCTCGATCAAGAACGTCTACGACGCTCTTCGAAACAGTATCCAGAATGAAATCCCGGATTACGTTGGATTTCGGAGGCGGAGAATTCTGAACTACGTTCCTATATGGGATAGTGAGTGCTTTGAAGGCCGTAATGGTCGCCTGTGTGAAGTTAGTAAGAGGTAATGAAAAGACTAAATCGGGAGAACGACTAACCTTACCAAGTGCTTTACGGAACTCGATCAGCTCCTTAGCAGCCTGCTCACTATCCTCCTCAGAGCCCTCACTTATTCGAATACTGAATTCCAACCATTCATCCATACACAATGTATTGCTGGTCCCCCGGAGTCGTCCCCCGAATAGACATGCCGCCAACGGGGTGAGATGGCTGGTGTTACCCAGAATGACTCTGTCCGCAATGAAACGTTCCGTATAGTCTTTGTTGTAAGTGAGCATGCACCGCAGTGGTGTGATGCTGTTCACCCCAAATCCATGAGGGAAGCTCTTGTTGTGACGCCTGGTGCGGTAGAGTGAGTCGTCATGCCGCACCGGCGCAGCGAGATTGGGATATGTGGATTGAAGAATCAAGGCCTTGATCAGGGCGACGTGATGTGAATTCACGTTCATCTCGGGACCGCCAAATCGGAATTGGGCATCGTCGGTGTAAAAATGTTGAGGGATGATTCCCGCGCGAACAAGGATCCTGTGTGTCTCCTGTGCCGTGTCCAGCACTTCCCGGAATCGATCGTAGTTGATACTACGGCCAAAGGCACGCGCCAAGGTTTCTGGAATTCCCTGCTGGTACCACACCTTACGTAAGGACTTGAAGGCGTTAATCGCGCTGATGTGGTCGCTCCAGCTGTTCTCGGAATACTTAATGCGCCAATCCCTCGATGCCGCGCGCCGCCCAATGCCACGCGACGTATGGAACAAGGCCAAGTCGCCTCCCAGAGCTGCAAGGATAATGAGAGGGTCTAGACAGCGGAAAATGACGCCCAGCAAGATCAGCTTGCCATGGCAAGGGTCCAATGGTATTTCAGACAGAATATCACCGAGCACTGTAGGATGATTGCGCAAATTCATAGCTCGTAGGTATTGTAAATTCTGGATTGCTTCGTTGACGCGAGCTTTACCTGGTGGTTCAATCAACTGCTCCATGATGACTTCAACCTGTGTGCTAGGGTCTGCCTTTTTCGCAATCAAACAAGCATTTTGGAGGCCATCATGGGATATCTCCGAAGGTGGATTGGCATGGAAAAGAGGCAGCAGGCTGCGCGGATACAAAGCAAAGTATCCACCACCCTGTACCCGTTCTGCCCAACCAGCACGTCGGGCAAGGTTGGACTGGCTAACCCACTGACAAAGTGGCCGGCTGAATCTCGCCTGCGGATCATAGACCCTACGATTGGTTTTGCCCGTGTCAATCACATACCTAACATCAGGTAGGGTGACAGACGTCTCGACGATGTCTGTTGCCAAGATGATCCGCCGGCACCCTGGCCGGCTCTCACTGAAAACGTCGTCATAGCTATCCGGAAGATTGGAATACAGTCGCAGGATCTCAATTTTTCCTGGATCGGCAAAATCAATCCCAAGCCCTTTGCCGTATTGTCGAAGAGTCCTGTGAACTTCGGTGATATGCGGCAGACCTGGGAGAAAAACCAGGATGGCGCCTTTGTCGGTAGTGGACAATACATAGCTGATTGTCAGGCATACCAAGCCTATAGGTACAAAATGGTCATCCTCGAGGGACGTTAGATCAGACTTGGTTGGATTCAAGTTGCGAACCATTTTCTTTTTCTTAGACTGAAAGTAATGGCGTCCGAGGTAGGTCCGCGTCTTGTGCTCTTGAAGGTACGGGGATGATATGCTTTCCGGATACATATTTTGTAAAGATGGTAATAAGTCATCAAGGTATTGCTTCTTAGCTAAGTGACTGGAGCTCGGGATGTAAAGGTAAGGCACTCGTACAACATGACCTTTTCTTGACTCCCCGAAATAAGAAGCAATGCGATCAGTGTCTGGAGTCGCACTCATAATCACAACCTTCGGCGTGTGAGTTTTCCTTATCCGGCGCTCATCGATAAGTTTCCTTAAAAAGAACATTGTAAGGTCAATATCAATGGTTCGTTCATGAACTTCATCCAGAATAATGTATGATACCGAATCAAGAAGGGAGGGTGCAAGCTGCAATTGCTGTAACAGAGCACCGGCTGTGCAATACGTGATAGGTACTCCGAGTTTACCAAGATGGTCATCAATTTGGATTTTGTATTCAATGCTCTGTCCAAGTTCTTCGCCCCTCTCACTGGCAACCCGTCGAGCAAGCGAAGACGCGGCAATTCGATATGGCTGTACACAGAAGATTTTGCAATCCGCGGCTGACCCTGCAATTGCATGATCGAGCAGCATTTGGGGCAGCTGGCTCGACTTCCCAGCACCAGCCTCCGCGACAATGATGCTGTATGTGCTGTTCTGGATCATGTCAAGGATCTGATCCTTCATGGCGTTGATTGGCAGATCGGCCACCTGACGCTGTTGGTCCGAGAGCTGCTTGTGCATCCCTGCAGCTTCAGTTGGACTTCTTGCAAGTGTCCTAGGGAGGAACCAACGCCTTCTCTCGACGGGAGTTTGTCCTACGCGCATTAGATTCGGTAGGGTGCTGCGTATGGTAGCGAGTAGGTTTGTGCTCATTACGAGCTCGAGGCTGCCGCTCTCTCTCAAGCGATTCAAGGTTTGCAATGTACCACGCGTGTGCATTTTTTGCACGATGAGTAGGGCAGCCTTGCGTGCCGCCTCTTCCTAAAAGGGGTCGTCAGTCAACGAAGAAGCAGTAAAGGTCTGTTTACATACCTCCGTCCTGCCGTTGCAGTTTGCAAACACGGGTTTGCCGGTAACATGGACATGGCACTTGATTGAATAGATGACCACAGTTTCCAGAATCAAGGAGTGGGTCACCACTGTCACAAGTTTGTGTTTCTCAAATTCAGCACGTATGGTCTCGAGCGGAGACTGAACAAGCCGTTTGCCTAAGCCATTGTAGTCCGAGTCTTGTGGGAGCAATCCATGGCGTCCGCCGTAATCGGGGTCCTCAATTGTATCCTTTGGGTCGTCCTCTCCGACAACAGAAACCGGCAATCCAAGAATTGGTTCGAATCTCGTCGAATAGCAAATGGGTGAACCCAATCGGTTTGCTACTACAAAGCTTGGCCTCCGCTCACGAAGGGTCGCGCCTGAGACTCTAGACTCTATATGGGTTACACAGGAAGCGGAACGCTGAGAATTGAATGAACAGACATCGGAGGAACGACGGAAAGCGAACTTGGTTTGCGACAACCTATTTTTGATGGACAGAAGTGTGCTCGGGACTCGCTGGTTTCAGGGAATGCTAAATCAGTACTTTCTTTTCCCTATGAATGAGCGATCGCGTTTTCCAAGCACTTACCAAATAGCTTCGCATTCTTGCGCGAGACGCCTTCGAACGTCAGGCGGGGCACTTCAGCGAACGCTCCATAAATGAAGCCGTTCTTGACTGGTCGCAGTTCGAATATTTTTTTTAAAAAAAAAAAAAAAAAAAAGAATTCCAAATGAAAAGAAAGAAAACCAAGAGTCCTCAAAGGACGGTGGACTTCGTCATCTCGACGGTGTTGTAGAAAATATCGCCATTCTTTCCTCCGCGTTCCCCGATCTGATGTCTTGGCACGCTTTTCCGTACCCTGGAATTGGCCATCTTCCTGACTTCCTCGTAATGCCCTCTATTGTCGAGATTTTTACGGATTTTCTAATAAATGGTTGGGATACCTCGAAGTAGTGGTTGCTTGCTCTGTGTTCAGCGTCGGGTGAAGGTCGGTATCTTAGGACCTTAAACTCTATGATTAAGGGCATTTCTGACGGGAAATAGTGCGATGAGAGACGTCCAGGGTGTCAACGATGTGAAACTTACGGAAGGCCATGCCCCGGTTATGATCGTGGTTTCAAGATCGTGCCTGGAAAGCCCTATCGTGCTCAGCGTCGCCGTCGAGCTGGCACGGATTCTGCAAGATCTCATATACAAGAGGCATCCCATGAGGTGTATCAGCCACTGATAGAACACACTAACCAATCTTCATTGCAGCATATCCAGCAGAGCATAAGTATTTTGATTGATAATTTTTCGACACCGTCTTCTCCGGCTTCACCCCATATCGTCACTCGTTGGTTTGGTTTTCTTCCGGCTGTTTATGGTCGGAACAAAACACTGGATGCAACTATCAGATCTTTTACTGCTCATCACTTGGGCAATGCCACTGGAAACAGACAGGTCATTCAGTATGGGCAGTCTGCGTATGTGGAAGCTCTACACAGACTCCAGAGATCTTTGAGCAATCCCATAGAATGCGTCTCTTCAGATATCTTCTGCGCAGTGATTCTGTCATGCTTATATGAGGTGAGATATTGCACTCGCAGCCTTTTGGATACACCCTGTCAGTCATTCTGACCAAAATGTGCTTTTCTCCAACACACAAGATTCTGAATCTTGGATGAAGCATGCCAAGGGGCTGAGCCGATTAGCTGAATTCCGAGGACGTGATTGCTACCGAAACGAATTGACAGTATTTTACTCAAGGCTTCCCGTGGGATTATTGTATGTACCGGTATTCCGTGTACCCTGGCTGTACTGGCCTGACACCTAGACAGATCATGAATTCCGTATTTTCCGGTCAAGAATGCTTCCTAAATTCGAAGAACTGGCATCTTATGATGAAGGAGCACTGTGATACATCCTTACCAGCAGGTCTGGGGTATCTAATTGAAGATTTTATTGTGTATTTCACATTCGCACCAAGTCTTATACATAAACTTTATTCTCTCAAACAGGCGGACCCAGAAAGTCCAGAGACGTGGGCACAGATGTCGGAAACTCTCAAGCGCACTCTTGATATGCAAGAAAAGTTGAATGCGTGGTATGACAGATATTCACGCATCGCGCCTGCCCCAAGGGAAACCATTTCACCTTCTGAAGACAAACTGTATCCCATGGTCCTCTCATATTCAGATCCAACCAATGCATCGGTATTCTGCGGTTATTACTCTTACACGGTAATTATACGTGAGATATTGAAAGCTTGCAGCTATCCCGGCGAGCATGAGGCAATCACCATTTGCTTTCGAGACCAAATTTGCAAATCCGTCGAACATAATGGCAGGGGTTTCCTTGGACCGTACCAAATGGCCTTTCCCTTGCGGGTGGCGTTCGAAGTTGCTGATCCTGTGGTTAAACCGTGGATCAAGGGCTGGTTTATACGACTTTCGAACGTCTATCCAGCTCTACAACCGCAGAGGTTTGGTTGATTTCTCCCTGATCGAGGGGCACTATTTATGTTCAAATTATGTGCGGAAGTTCTTCGCTACCTCACGACTCCCGGGCCTATCTGAAGATTACCGTGCACCCACAGCAAGACATTACCTTCCATTCATCTCATCCCGATGGGACTCTCCCATAGCCACCTCCAACAGACCAAATTGGCTCAATCACCATGCGTGCTGTGAACAAAATCATGGCAATAATAATCTCCATCAAGAGCCCCATTTCAATTGCAACACGGCTGTCGCCAATCACTTGCTTGAAACCAGGTGGACCATACTCTCCGAGCAAAAAGTATATAACCCTGACTGCCAGAAAAGGAAGTGCTGCCAGAGTCAACAGCACCCCTCAGTATTTAAATCGCTGTGAGGCATGCTCGAGACTTTGCTGCAAGCATAGCAATAAAACAACAAAAGGTGATGAACATGATGACAAGAACAACTGATCCCACAATATCACAAGCGCGGATATTGATACATCTTCCCACGATGACAAAAACTAGGCTGATGAATATCGGAAAGCGAAAGAAATGAAGTGCAAAACGAATAAACTTAGGGTACTTTGATTTTCCTGGGCCTATTCCTCCAGCCTGCCCGCTATATGACTCGCGAAAAAGACCTTAGTCTCTTGCTCCCGAGTAATGGCAGCAACCACATACGTACCTGAGCAGCAATATGAAGCTCAATTCAAACAAGAGCGGCGAAAGACCAATGCTTTGCAGAAAGTATTCAGCGATCAACACAGACTTATTTGGCTGAGGATTGAGAAGCACCATTGCAGACCCGGCGATGCGAACTTGATGATAGTTCAAGTCAGTTGTCTATCCATCCTTCTGGTATGTTTCTATCTCACTTACGCTGAGCCAGCAAGCCTATCAATCCAAACCAAGAGTAGAACAAGCATCGCCCAATGCTTCGGTTCTTCTTGTGATGCCAGAATCGCCATTCCTGTACAAATCTTGTGGTGAATTGGACCACCTGGATGGTTGAGAAGAGAATGATTTCCAGGATTGCAAGATTCTGTCTTTCTGCTGAGAAGCTTGCAGCCATGATGGGTGGTTCTCACAATTTCAATTCAAATGAAGTGAGATGAGCTTGATTCTTTTGTATGTTGAATGAGAGGACGAATATAAGAAAACCGGGCTACTTCCACCCCCTTATGTATGGCCATTGTCCCCTCATAATTTCTACACTAATGCCCCCATTGAATGGTTCTTATGGGGACATCGTGGTATGTGACCCATTTGGGTTTAGTTATATACATCGTGATCAATGACCACTTTGGGCTTAGCGTCTATAACTGAGACCAGCCAATCATGGAGAGCATATATCCTCACGGTCAGGGCCGGGGCATGTTCAAAGTCAGGGCAAAAGCAGCAAAGACTGGGCATTGGAACTGGAAGGAAGGTAGCAAATGCTGTAGGAGACCCAGTATATATGAACAATTTCGTTTATTTCACGCACTTTCTTCGGTCCTGTCACTATACAGTTTATATATTCCTATAGATTCCAACCCATGAACATGACTCCTCACAATGCTAACCAATATACACAGGGTATCTAACAAAACGAAATAGTAGTTTAAATGGCAAAGAGCTCAGCTTTTCTTCATTCTTCCGCTCCCTTAAACCCAGTCCTCATGTTGTAGCTTCCTGGTGTTTTTTCTTCAACTTCTTCTCCGTCCTCATAAACTCCCGAATTCCCACAGGAATACCGGCAAATATATCCTCCTTTTGGTCTTCCACAGGCCAATTTGCCTCGCTGCCACCCCCATCATCATCCATACTCATACTCGCACTTTCAACCTCGGCCCTCTTATTCTGCCGCATATCCGGAGTCTTCGGTACACCCCTCGCCTTCGCGTGATCGAGCCTATTGGCCCATTCTTCCATATCATCACGATAATCATCCCATACACAATGAGCGCAGCCACTCATACAGCAATTATCCGGTTCCGACGGCCGCGGCGGGATCGCAACCCCATTGATAGTTTTCCACATCGACTCAGGAGGCACATTGCCTGCGTCATATCGCGACGAACGTCCGGGGGTTTGAAGCCGGCTACCGAAGACAATCGACATCTTGTCCTTTGGGGACTGCGGTTCGACCGTGGAGGCTGGTGTTGGTGTATCGGGTTTCGTGGGGACGGGACGCGAGGTAGGTGCTTGCCGACGGTAGGGAGATTTGGTTGCGAGGATGTCATAATAGTAGCCCGACAAAGGGTATACCTGGCGAGGTTCTTCTTCGTCGCCGTCTATGTCGGCCTCGGTTGTACGCTCACGAGAGTTCATGCGTCGGGAACTCGGAGGAAAGGCGTAATGAGGACGTGATGCTTGCGATGAGAGGAATGGGCGTGTTCGGTTCAAAAGGCTTCTTCCAAGAAGCGATTGCTTCCTGGCAGCGACTGGAAGCCACTCCATCATGGATTTGGTGCTGGTGGTGGAAGTGAAAAGTAGCAGTTATTGCGCTCTGTAATAATACATGCCGATTATGACGTACCGGAATTTAGCGAGATTTCTCGTTTTCCTTTCCCGACGGCCGTCGCATCCATAAACTTCAGATTGCTAACATTAGTGGCTTTTTTAACATGATAGGGTTATGTACAGCCAAGGATACGTATATCAAGTGCCACTTCTCATAGAACTGAGCAACATGTAAAGATTACGGACGAATACACATAAAACCACGTGACATCGAATTGCAAACAACACAAACACCCCAGGGAAATGTTGAAGATCGCCGACGTGCTTCAACCAAGCAGATGCGATTCGCGATTCGGCATCAAGAAAATACGACACCCAGCATGCTCTGCACATATTACGCCTAATTACCAAGTACGTACACACACTGGCACAGCTCCCCCGTGAAAGTGGTGGCCCAGACAGACAATGCTCTCCTCTCCAGCCAAACGGCGCAAGACGAGCGAGACAACAGCTGCCACAATCGACGCGTCGCAGACGAACCGGAAAGCCCACGAAAATAACAGTCGACTGGACCAATATCGCTCATCCTTTCAGTCACCAACGAAAGCGAGTCTAGCAAGATCACATCCGGACGTTCTAGCACGCGCGCTTAGTCGCTCACCAACGAGACCGCCGCATAACGGCAGCGAGAATGGTCAGCAGCAGGAGCAAGAGCTAATGGATTCGAGGACGTTCGGTTTGCGCGATAGGAAGGCTCTCCGGCCGTCGATAGCTCCTGGTGCGAGTCCAACGGATAGTTCGATATTATCGCCGCGCAGTGCGTTTGCTGCTCCCCCGCGACGGGTGTCTGGGAAAATCGGGCCGTTAGATCTAGCATTTGAGGCTCCTGAGGCGAAACTGGAGAGCAAGACAGCAGACCTGTCCCCTGAAGATACACCTGGGGATCGATTGAAGGAAATGGGCAACGATGCGAATGAAGACAGTATGAATCAAGATCCCTCATTTCTGGACGGACTAGAAGAACCAGAGCTACCCCCGACACCTACACAATTAGGTCTGGAAAAGCCACCTGGTCGACCAAAGGGGCTTCTGAGCAGCAGCCCTTCTGCTCGGTATGAAAAGAGGGCTCGGAAACGAATCGATGATGCCAAACCAAGCGCATTGAAACCGGAAAGTTTCGATACAACCGACGATTCAACGATGAAGGATTTGAACACGGATAGAGCGCCATTGTCAGAGTTTGGCCTGAAGAAACAACAGACCAAGAAAGAACTTTTCACTGAATTAAAGCGATTGAAGGGCGACGTTGCGGAATTGGAAGCATGGACCGAGAAGCTGAACAACCCAGATATGAAGACAGAGTCGCCCAAGGATTTGAATACACTCATGTAGGTCCGCCAGAATAAGACGAAATCTCAAGCCAGACAAACTTACTGACCACGCTACAGCTCCTTGTTATCATCGGGAAATGCTTCCCATAAGCAATCATCACCTCCAACAAACGCACCAATCTCATCCGTCCTCTCTGCCCTATTACCATTCTCCTCAAAAGCACCTCCCAAGCCCGTACACGAACCGCCACTACCAACCAACCCCTTCGCCCTGAAAGAACATGCGCAAGGGAAGCAATACCTGACAGTCTTCGCCCCGCTATCCTTAACAGCACATTCCAACAAAGTATTTGCCTCGAAATCAGCGCTCCTAACCGAATCCCATAGCCTAACACTATCAACTGGGCCACCCTTTCCGCCCAAACTCTACAACATAACCATTAACTACGAGACAAACCCAGAAACACAATCCTTAATATCCGTATCTATACTGGAGAGTGACGGGTTTAGCAATGTACCAGACGGACTGCGCCGCTGGATTGATACCAGACTATCAAATCCGCTCCTGAAACTCGATGTGTCCGGACTCTGCTGGGGCGTCAACCGCTACTGGGAAGCATCTGTCTCGCGCGCACAAGTATGGTCGAGAATCGAAGCTCGACATTCCAAATTACTTGTACATCACAACCACCGGGAATCAAAGCACGAAGAAGACACAATAGATCTTCGTCATATAATACCACATCTCGATCGCACGAGTATGATATTCTCTCTGAAAGATACATCTAAACCCTTCCGGATGCTCCTTTCGTGCGCATTAATACTAGACGAGTGGACAAGTGAGCCACGAGTACTTCCTGAGATCAGTACCTCGTCTTCGGCTGCATCAAGCAAGAAGATAGAACAAGAGGCTAAGAAGTTGTTTAATACTCTCTTAAAGGGAGAGCAGAGGGCGGATAATGACGGCGTTAATGACGACATTGAGGCAGATGCTATTGTGCGAGCTGTTGATGGTGTTGTGGGAGTGTTGTTTGGTCTCGATGATACCCATATTCAAGGATTCAATGGGAAGTTGCCTGTGAGGTGATGGGATTGAGGGTAGATTGTTTGGAATATTTGTGTACATATAGATATGCGTACATGATTCTAGGTGGGAGAGATAGGGCATATTTTCTTCGAACAAGTAAACCATTTGTAGAGCCAGTTCTTCCCTTAGGGAACAAGTCTCCAACCTAACTCCGGGTACTTTTCACCAGAAATAAAATATAACAGGAAATTGGGACATCATTTATTTAAAAATCGGAGCATTTTTTTTACCGACAAAGGTTTAAAAGGAAAAGAGACCACGCCATGCCACAGTACACTAGTAATCCCCGACTTGAAAAACGACCCGATCATCATTAACAGAGTCAAATTGTCTATTTCTTGGCAGCAGCAGCCTCATCAGCCTTAGCCTTGGCGCGCTTCTCCCGAGTACCCCGGAGACGGGCCTCACTGCGGGCATCCCGCAAGCGTCTGTAAGCAGACTCCTCACCCTTGGGCAGGCTGTCACGGCTGACCTCGGTGATGGCCTCCTCGGCGGTGGGGTTCTTGACGGGGAAAGAAGCGCCAACGTTGGTAGCATAACCCTCGGTCTTGCCGTCAGCGGCGAAAGCAGCCTTGGCGGCGTTGACCTCGTCAGCGGACGAGTCGAGCTTCTTGAACTGACCGCTCTTGCGGGGGAAGAGGATCAGGCGAGCCTTGTAGTCCTGAAGGCGGTCGACGTTGGCGACAAGCGACTCCTTGGAGTAGTTGACACGGCGGTTGTCAACGGCGATACCGACGGTGCGAGCGAGCTTGGCGGGGATACCAGCTTCCTATAAATTCGAAACCACGTAAGTTTCCGTTTCACCCTATTTGATCGAACTCAAAGCAGACGTGCGATCCAAGTCGTCCTCATCCGCTGTCGGTTCCATTTTCGAGGGGCAAATTTACCTTCAGCTCAGCACGGGTGAAACCACGACCACCCCGGACACGACGGTTGTACTTGACGGTAGGGCATCTCACAACGGGACGCAGCTGGTCAACCGGACGGGGAGCGACGGCGGCGGCCTTAGCGAGACGGGCATCACGTCTGCGGTGCTTGCGACCGGGCTATTCGAAAAATTTATTAGTCCACCGTAGATTTTATGTTTCCTCCCAAAACGAATCGATAATAATATGTCGTTTAATTCGTATAACACAATTCGTTGATTCATCAGGATTTGAAAAAAAGTCGATATCGTACCTGGTCGAAGTGGACGCGCACACGCTGCTGCCAGTCCTTGCGGAAGTCTGTATAAAATCCCCATCAGTCCATCGGTTCCCATAAAAACCTTGCAAGCCAAAACAAAAAAAAAAAAAACAAAAATCTTTCCAAGGTCTCACTCACGCTGGTTGAGGATTTGGTTGTTGTGCTTGATCGCCTATATATCGCACACACAATCAGTATTTCTTCCTCCCCATAATCGATACAGACAAAGATAAAAGCCCCGGAGAAGCTCTCATCTTAACCTGTGAATAAAAGTCGATAAATCGAAATAACAGGGATCCAAACGCACCATTGTGACGGATGGGGATCAAGTCCGGGAGATGGTCGTTGTCGTCGTGGGAGGTGTCTGGTCGTATCTCGAAACTCCAGCGGAAAGACTCGTTTCAATATTGGGCGGAACTTTTTTTGGTGTGGCCGCCCGCGCAGAGCCGCCTCGCTTAGCGAGCCCTAGCCTACTTTCCCTTTTCGGAAAGCGGCTTTCATCTACAAGGCAAAACAGCGATATAACTTGCAGTTTTCCTCTTTTTTATTCTCATGTTTGATTTTATAATTCACAAGTGCTACAATGAATGGTATTTCATAGCCAGTTTGCAGCTCCCGAGTCTCTAAACGAGGGATACTTGCTGTTACCGTCTTAGTAAGACGACTGTCCGTCTACAAGAACTACGCCCTTCAAGAGATGCTATCTTTGTTCCTTCTTTTATTTAATTCGTTGCTACCCAAGACCGAAAACGGACTCCAATGACTACCCTATAGCCCAATGGTACTCGAAACAGTTGAACCAACCTCAAAAACACCATGCCTGTCCAATATTTGCATACGTTCATCAATCATCATTAGCAGCAACCAAAGACTCAAAACGCCAGTACAGGACCTAGCCGGAAGCCCAAGAGGTGTTGAACGCCAAAAAAAAAAAAAAAAAAAAAAAAAAAAAAAAAAAAAGAATAGAAAAATGAAAAGCAGCGAGACGTTATGCGCGATTGCCCCATGCATCAATACCAAGTCCCACTGCCTTGGATTTCTTTACCCCTCGCTCTTCCTCGTGAGTTGCTTTGCGTTTCAAACTAACAGCAGGCTCTGCTCTAGCTTTCTTCACCTGGCCAAATAGTTTTGTCTGCAACAGTGTGCTGGTCTTTGGGACATTGGCTGAACTTCGAGTCTCTTGACGATGGCTCCCAGCGTTGCGGCGAAGCATATCTGTTGCCAGTGAGCTAGCCTGCGAACCTTGGGCCTCTTCTTCTCTTTCATCATCTTCTCCCTGTACAGTCTCCGCTTCTTCGATATCCGAGGCAGAGATGGTGCTATCCCGATCATACTGCTCTTGGCGGGTGTTTCCCACTGGAGTCAAGTACTGCTGATGGGCTGTCTGAGAGCGAGAAGGCGTCCTAGGGACAGACAACACTTGATTGGAACCATGAATGTCGCCATTGGGATGCTGACAGTGCGTGAAATTTTGATCAGGAGTGGAAGCAACGCTCGCGGATTCTTGAGTGTTGGAGAATCGGTCCGCAAATTGGCCCGCAGCAAGAAGAGCCGCAAGGCCACTTTCTTCCCTGCTCAATTGGTGGCTGCTATAATGATTACTCGTATTACTGTGATCAAAAATGTGGCGACTGGATCTCCTGCGAGGAGTGTGGAGCTCTGCGTGGGGACTGAGAGACATAGATCCTTGCTCAATCATCAAAGAGAAATGTTGCCGATTGTCTCGAATGCGCCCCTTTAATCGCTGGTTTTCTTCGTTGAGCATATCGGATTTGACTTTTTCTTGCTCGATGAGTCTCTTTGCGCGACGCAGTCTTCGATCAAGACTGTCATTATTTCTCTCGAGTTCTTGATTTCTCCTGAGAGCCAATTCCAGCTCCGCATTGGAAATTGGCTGCAATGGTTTAATTTCGGCTGGGCCATGACGGTTGCGATACTCTGAGCTCTGGAGAATCTCAACTTCACGTCTTGCCAATTGGTGCTCGACCTCAGCGCGTTTGATCGCTTCATTGCTTGAGAATGATAACAGGCTATGTTGCAGTTTGAAGTGCAGAGAGGACATGCGAGCTTCTTGCGCTATGTTAAGCAAGTCCTTGGAAATGGCGCGAAGTTGGGGCTCGTTGGCTGCGTTGATATCATCGACTGTTGGCAGGTTCTCGGAAGCCCCATATGCGGCGCACAGCGACTTTTCCATATTTGGTTGGGATTCCAAGAGTGAATTTGATCGGGATCGGGACCGAGAGCGACGAAGAGGAGCTCCTGGTACTTGCGTTGATGGCGGAGGGGTCATGTCTGATGAGGACAATGGAGGGGGTGAAAGTAACTTGCTCTTCTCCGACTCCGATGTATGGCTTTCAGTCTTCGCCAAATCTGGAGATGCAGCAAAGTTTGTCCGCTGAACTTGATTTGCTGGAATGTTAAACTCTACAGGAGGCGCAAGGGAACCTTGCGACAACTGAGGTTCACTGTCTTGCGACATGATCTGAATTATATTTGTCGGAAGCTCACCCTAAACAATAAATCAGTCAATTGTTCGCGGCACAAAGGAATAAAGAGCGCCATCCAGCACGTACAATGTGAGACCGGGGAGAAATGATCAGCTGAACCCGACTTGATAGCGACACTTTTGACAATGCGATATCGGAGTCGCAGTCGCGCAAGGCAATTTGGCTTTGGAGAGAGATCGAACTTGCGATATGCAAAGCGTATGTTGATAATATAAGAAACAGGAATGACGATAATACTGTAGAGTGGGATGTTTCGGGCTTATCGCCGATAGGGTTGTTGTGTCTAAGGCTGACAGAGTAAGACCACGCGCACAAAGAGAGAAAGGATGCACGAGATGTCAGAGTAAGGGCGATAAATAGAGCGCGAGAGATGTAAGGAAATGAAAGTCAAGAAATGAAGAAGGGGGATTGGATGAATGAAACCGGCTGGGGTATGCACTAGTAGTATGTATGTATGGAGAGGTGGTCGGGTGTGGGAGGAAGATGCGGCGGGCGGTCGTTTTGATGCCTGAGAGCTCCGGCTGGGGTTATTGAGGGGGCTGGAAACGTGACTTGCAGCCAATAAGAACTGTCTGCTACGGTCCACGTGAGCCCAGCCGCGCGCCAAAACCCCCCGATTACTGAATGCGGTTAGCGTGGGGATCGGAGGGACATAAACAACTGCCGCAGCCGATTCCCCGGCACCCGTCACTCCAGCAACCAGGTACTTGTCTGGAGTACGAAGTGTTGCAGGTTGGAGAAAGAGTCATGAATTATAGGTCTATGATACTTCCAGAGTCGGCTTTCTTGCACCTGGAAAATCAGCTGGTTATTAGGTCAAATGGTTAAAAAGAGACGTGGAATGCTGGAGATCTTCGTTCTTCATACTCATACTGGCTATGCAGCATTACAACACAAGGCTATGCTTTTTACAGCGTGCAAGTGCATGCTCCATGCAGAGTGCAGAACTCTCTGCTCACATGAGTATGAATGTAAAATCATTACAAGTACATGACATGTCAAGATCAATATTCCACTATTTGCTCATTGCATGCATTTACATGCAGTACTAGTTACAGGAGGCATAGACTAAACTAGACCAGTCACTCAGCCCAAGATGCACCTCTCAGCCTGACAGACAAGATCTTGGCAGGCTCCACCGTCTTGCAAAGGACCGGCTCGACTGACGCACCGCTCGTTGAGACATACAAAACCGACTGTTCATCGTTGGCGAAAGCAACTGCAGTCGACCCTGCGACGGTTTTCGTAACCTGACTGCCGGCAATGAGACGGACCTTTCCCTCTGGCGAGATTCTCAGCAATTCATTTTGAGGATTCGTCGACAAATATGCCGTGCCGTCGTCTGCCAATGCAAAGTCGTCAAAGGTGAATCCACTAGTAATGACCTCGATAGGTCCAGTAGGGACCGCGTTCTCGTCAACTGGGAAGCGAGCAAACACCTCCTGGGTGGTACTGGTGTAGTAGACATAGCCATTTTGTACTTTTAAACCATTCACACCCACCAGGATTGGTTGCCCGCTCGCCGGTTTCATGGACGGGTGTGACAAGACCTGCGAGCTTTCTCCAGTCGTGGTATTGAGGCGCCAAATGACGCCTTTTGCGGCGTCTGTGATTAGGAGGAAATCATCACTGAATTTAACCAGTCCATCCAGGAAGACTCCATCGGGAATCGGTGCGAGAAGTTTTGCATGAGGCTTCTCGCCGGTGAGATCAATGGTCCATATCTTGTAAGATCCCGGCGTTGATATCGTACTGGGGAGAGAAAGGTTACCAGAGACAATCGCGAACACATCCTTTTCAACCTCCGCGATGCCTAGGAGGCTCGTGGCGTTGGGAAACTTGTAGAGCAAGGATCCTGTTCCTTGGTCGCTGGTGCCATTCTTAGTCGCTGGGCCAATCGACCAGAGCTCTGGAACGTCGATGCGAGTTGCGAGGATGCTGCCATTGCGCTGAACCGCGAGGTTTTCGAACCAGGTTTGGTTGCGGTCTAGTTGGAAGACAATCGAGACAGAAGCGCTGTCATAGGGGCCTGCACTCCTGCGTTGATAGGGTGCGGCGAGACACATAGGAAGACATAGCGCTAGCAGGGCACTACTATAGCCTAGGATAGATGAGAACGCGCGCATTTGGACGGAGGAGATGTGATCAATTCGAATGAATGAGCGGTAGAGAGTGTTTTGAGACTCACATAAATTCCGGCTGAGCACCAACTATATATCCTTCGCAGACCGATCTACATTTCATATCTTGAAGCATACCGACATTTCCCAACAATTGAATCCCTCGGAAACCACCTACATGAGCTCGTTCGTCTCTATCCCACCAATCATTGTTAGTAAAGATGGTTGTCACTCACAACCGAGGTGGTTCATGCGATGTAGATCATTGAACCAACCTGATCTACGAGGTGGCCGAGATATCCGTCTCGAGTAGATCTGGCATCATTCCAATTTAAGCCTTTCAGCTACAACTTACTGACTCAGTACACTCCACTAACTAGTACTAGAGAACTGTACTCTGTAGTGAAGACCAAACTGGAAACCTCGAGGCATAATAATGCTGTGCAAAATATCCATTTGCACATGTACAGGTCACATGATTTTTACTTTGTAATTGTTTGTAGTACCGTGGTACCACACGCTATCTATATTTATTGCAATTAACAGGAATATATCCCATTATATTCATTATATCCACCATTCCACTATTCAATCATTTTTGAATTGGTGAGATCTTAGCAATCTACGGAGTATTTCATAGTATGGAGCGAATCACCGCATCGGCATCCCTGTATGGCCTTAGGCATCGACGTAAACAATTGGGACAAACAACACCAGTAAAAGAAGACAAGCACATGAATTCTCTCCGTGTCGCAGCTTGGACCAGCTTTCTCTGATACGGTCATACGTTCTGGCGGGGTCTTGCGCCACGTACTTGCTTATTCTATTCTTTATTGAGACCTTCAATCCGTCCCCTAGAAATGGAAGTCTCCGTCTCTTCCCCCTGATCTCGTGCCCGCTATTCGCAAAGCAACACCAACCATTCCGCACCCCTCCTGTTCGTCCGCGTTGACTCGCAACTCCTAGTAATGCGCAAAGATGGATAATCAACCGAGAACTCCAACGAAACCTAGTGGGATTCCGCGCCCAATCCCCAGAGCTTCCCGTTTGCCTTTGCCTTCGTCCACCGCGTCGAAATCGCTCAAACCTTCGCCTTCGCGGGAAAAGTTGCAAGCAGACCCAGGTCTTGACGCTACTAAGCTGCGCAGACCGTCCGAGGATAGTGCATTCAAGAAGCCGGCCCTTCCTAGACCATCGTCGTCTTTGAAAGGCACGTACCGGCGATCCGGAATACCTCAGACGGGGGTGAGCGACATATCAAGACAAGAAGTGGAGGAACTGGACGATGATGCTTCAACTGTGTATACCAATGGATCGGAGTTGGATGATGTAGATGTTCGCGGGCGTACCATGCTGGAAAAGCCGTCGCTGTCGGACAGGACGATCGAGACGCTGTCCAAGATCCCGCCGTCGCCAGGTCCATCGCGACAGTCCAGTTTCTTCAACGCCACAAGCCCGATTCGCTCTCCATCTCGTCCGACCTCCTCCATGACAAATTATTCGCGATCCCCCTCGAGGTCATCGTTTGCTCGCCAGCCGATTGGCAGCGATCTATTGTCCTCCCAGCAACCGTCCACAATGCGCCTTCCATCCAGATCTCGGATATCAGCAACCCCGACACTACCCACAAACATCGCATCAATTGAGCAGGACTCCGTAGCGGCAGCTCCCGAAAGTCCCTCAAAATTGAGGCGACCTTCTACGAGAACAAGTCTATATGGTGGAATAAAGAGCACGGGGACGGCTATCGCGCCCAAGCCACGCCAGTCTCTGAACAGACCGCTCTCAATTAAGCCCACAGAGTCAAATATGGCGCCCCCGTCGCAGACGCTCCAAGTAAAAAAAACACGAAAAGTTCCATCGAACTCTTCGCTCAAACGCTCACCATCTTCCGCGGACTCAAGGAAATCGTCCGCTACATCTACGGCTCCGGACCTATCAGCGGAGCAGCACTCGGAACTTGAAACAAGAAAAGGTTCGAAATCATCCAACGCCTTGAGGGAAAGCATTGCAAAAGCCAAGGCCGCTCGGAAAGCAGTGGTACAGAACACCACGCAGACAACAGCAGTCCCTGCTGACCCATTCGATGTTACCGATCCTTTTAATCAGCAGCCCAAAGACTCCAATCATGGGCTTCTTCGGAAGCGCGTGGAGTCTGCTCGGACTTCTGGTAATCTAAATATTGCGGCCATGTCCCTGGCAGAGATCCCGCAGGAAGTCATGACCATGTATGAGTTTAACCCAGACTCGTCCACCGATTGGTATGAATGTGTGGACTTGGTCAAATTCATTGCTGCGGACAATGAATTGACGGAGATTCCGGATGCTGCATTCCCCGACGTTGATCCCGAAGGCGTTGATTACGATTCTAATGAAAAGGGCAACCAATTTGGTGGACTGGAGATACTCGACTTCCATGGCAATCTGCTCCGATCTCTTCCCATGGGTTTCAGGAGGTTGCAACACCTCCATAGTTTGAACCTGTCCAACAACCAATTAACCACAGATGATTTACATGTGGTCTGGGAAATGAAGTGGCTGCGCGATCTGAAGTTGGCTAAGAATCAGTTGCAGGGCACTTTCCCTTCTGCCATTGGTGAACTTCGGGGTCTGGAAGCCTTAGACTTGCATGAAAACTCACTCACAGAACTTCCTGAAGAGTTTAGGGAACTAAGCGCCCTGAGATTGCTGGACGTCGGCCACAATGCACTGGTCACATTGCCCTTCGAGGCTCTGAGTCGACTTCCTCTGAAGGATATCCGTGCACCGAAGAACAAGCTGGCAGGGGCCCTGATTCCTGCATCCGTGCAGCAGTTTAGTGCGTTGCAGAACCTGGACGTAATTAACAATGCGTTGGAGAAGCTGTCGGACAACGACAAGCTTGAGCTTCCTAATGTACAGACTCTGTCATTGAGTGTAAATCGCATCAAGAGCTTGCCGAATGTCTCTACCTGGCAGGCACTGTTGTCATTGCTTATGGAGGATAATTCTCTGAGTGAGATTCCACAAGGCTTCATCGAACTCAAGAGTGTCCGTAACGTTGACTTCACGGGAAATGATATCCCGCGATTGGATGAAAAGATCGGACTAATGGATAATTTGGTGACCTTCCGTATTGCCAACAATCCGCTCCGCGAAAGGAAGTTCCTGGGTATGTCCACAGATGAGATCAAACAGGCCCTGCGGAACCGATGCGAACCAGAATTCCAAGCAGATACAGACGACGATGAAGGCTCTGTCGCTACTCAGTTTACTCTTGCTCCAGAAACTCGAGCTGAAACCCCAGCTGAGACCTCAGCTGTGAATCCACCTGAAGTTCCAGCTCAATCGACAACAGCAAGTGCTACTACGTCTACAACTTCCTGGCATATTAGACCGGGAGGAGTTCTCGACAGATCCTACACGGAAACGCGGGAGTTGAAGACAGAGCAGATCGAAGGAATTGCCAATTCTCAAGATATTCGATGTCTCTATCTGCAGCATAATGAGATTTCGCATTTCCCCGTGCCAGCAATTAGTATGCTGGCGCACAGTCTGATCGACCTGGACCTGTCACACAACACGCTGAACAGCTCTGCTCTCTTCTCAGCCTCCATTTCTCTCCCGAACCTCCAGAACCTGACCATTAATTCGACTGGCCTCACAACCATGGAACCTGTTCTGGCCAACCTTTCGGCCCCGCTTCTCACTTTCCTGGACGTCTCAATCAACCGCCTTACCGGCAACCTACCCGCGGCTCGCCAGACATACCCCAATCTAAAGACCTTCATCGCCGCTGATAACCAGTTCAACAGTCTGGAATTCGAGGCCGTCCAAGGTCTACAGGTCCTAGATGTCGGCAACAACAACATCAACGCTCTTCCACCGAAGGTCGGCTTGCTGAGAGCAGAGGGATCTAGCAAGAACTGGGGAGGCGGATCTGCTTTGAGGCGGTTTGAAATCGCTGGTAATACGTTCCGGGTCCCTAGATGGCAGACTGTTGCAAAAGGCACGGATGCGGTTTTGGAGTGGTTGAAGGATCGGATTTCAACTGAAGAGCTTCGTGAGTTGGAGTCGGACGATGAGGGGAATTTTGAGGAATGAGAAAGTCCTCTTCGAGGTGATTGCACGGCTAAGTAGTTGTACATGGCCGCCACAGGCCCCATTTGGGTGTGGTTACATTATTGTTTTGCATGTTGTCTTATTTGTGTGTAAATATTCCGAAGCGCTTCTGTTGTTTCTTTTTTGCATATTTTCGGGACAATATATGTACTATTAATTGGATATAGACAAAAACATAGCAATTTTATAACCCGAGAGAATTGAAAACCAGCCCCAGGCTATGCTTTGTATCCATGCCTAAGCTTCATGATCGCACTAAATTGTCGCCTCGTCAATTGACTTGCTAACCTCATCCATAACCTTCAACCAAGTCTTCGACCAAGTCGTAAACTTATCCTCTGTGTCCTCCGCGGCACCCCAAGGTAACTTCACGAGACCAACAGCCTTCGCAGCATTATTCTTGACCTTGCCTAGGAACTGAGTATGCCTTTCCCAGTTTTCTTCGTACAGTGCACCTGCTACCTCGTCGATATCATCAGGGATGGATTGTAAATTCACCATAAGGGACTCGAGTTTGCGGACACCAGCACTAGATGCGACAGAAGCATTACCGGCATTCTTCAATCGATTCGTTAAAATGGCGGGGAAGATTTGCGCGACAGGTTTAAGGATGCGAAGGGTCGACTTCTTGCGGGCGTGCGTGATAGCCGTATCGTCATCGTCATCGTCATCTTCATCGTCATCTTCACCACCAGCATCCTTCTTATCCTCACTCAACAAATCATCGAAGAAATCATCATCCTCATCCGGATCCCATTCCTCAATTTCTTCAACCGCATCCTTCACAAGATCTCTCCACTGCTCAACACGCCGAATCACAAACCCCACAACCCCCTTCGTCGCAACATCAACAAGGGCATCACACGCATCCCAGACCCGACCTGTCGCAACGGTCACAACATCCTTCTCCTCCTGCGAAAGATCATCTTCTTTCTTGCTCTCACTTTGTGCTTTATTCTTCTTATCCGCGACATCCTTGACTTTCCCAATAAGCGCACCTAACTCCTTCAATGCCGCCTTCGCCAGGATTTGAATCTCAGCATGGAATGCTTTCGTAAAGTCATCTGGATTGACAAGTAACGCAGCCGTAACGAGTGACGGGAGCACGGATTCATTCAACGCGCTCAGCACCGTACAAACAGCAGAATGCGTAAACGGTGCCGTAATAGTAAGAAGCGAGAGTTTCGTGACTTGCGAGTGCAACGTGTGTGACGAGGCTGTTAGGAGGGAGAGCGCGTCATCTTTCCTCTTCGCATCATCCGTTTCGTTGGGAGCGGGTTTTTGGGGCGGGGAGTAGATGGCGGTTTGGAATTGGTCGAGGAGGGTGAGGGTTGTTGTTAGGACGAGGGAGAGTTTTTGGGACATTCTGGCTGGTTGTGCGCGTGGAGGGGGGGGGGGGGGGGGGGGGTATTGTCAGGCGTTGGAGAGAGGAATAGCTTTAGGTGGTTGATGCGGCGGGAGAGAAATTTCGCAGGGACTGCGGGGCTGCTGATTAGGGCTTGGCGGGGTCACCTGCAGGGACCCTGAGTCACAGCGAACTGCCATCTTCTAGGAAATATGAATCTATTACACTCACCAGTCCTCTATCACGTCGTGTTGTATGTTTTATAATAATAATATAGGTGTGTGATATTCTGTAATGAATACGTGCTGTGACGGTACATGGATCACTTGCAGGAGAACGTAGGAGACGTAGAATTAACACAATAATATTTATCTTCCTTTATTGCCCTAACTGGTACTTAGTACATAGATAAATTACTAGAGAGATAGGACAACATACAAAATTTATTTGCAAGATTTTGAATGCAGTGCCCTAATAAAGAGCCCTAATTTCCTAATCAGACCATGATCGGGGAAACGTTTAGCTTCGCCTCCGATCTCCGTCGTTAGAAGCTGTCAGGTCAATCGCAGCCCAGCGCAACTTTTTCCTCAATTTTATTTTCTATGATGATTCCCAAATAAATTATTAATACCGCAGCCAGAATTAATCCATAATGGGGACCACAAAACCCCGCCCCCCAGCCAAATCCTCAATCACCGAAGCGCGGTCCCTCCCGGAGAAGACCTTCATCATCGATAATGGCGCATACACTATGAAAGCAGGCTACGCGCCTGAATCCCCTCTCTCAGACGATCCACTATCAACATGTAACACAATACCGAATACAATCGCAAAAACGCGTGGAAACCGCATCTACATCGGCTCGCAGCTCAACGCGCAGCCCACGGACCTGAATGAGATGATGTTCCGGCGGCCGGTGGAGAAGGGATATATTGTAAACTGGGAAGCGCAGAAGGAAATATGGGAACATTCTTTTCTTGACGAGAAGACGGTGCGGAGTAAGGAGTTCAGGATTGCGAGTCCGGAGGAGACGACATTGGTGCTTACGGAGGCGCCGAATGCTCTGCCTGTGTTGCAGAAGAATGCGGATGAGATGGTTATGGAGGAGTGGGGGTTTGGAGGCTATTTGCGATGCGTGGGTATGAATTAAAATTAAGAATAGAGCATTTCTCTATATCGTTTCTGACTGATTTGCTCCCGTTAGGTCCGTCGCTGAACGCTTGGAACGAAGTGCAATCGCTGTTCGGAGATCCGATTTCGCAAAATCTCGATGCTGTTGTTTCTCCGGCTGAATGCCTACTTGTTGTCGATTCCGGATACTCTCATACCACCGTCACCCCGGTCTATAAGGGACAGCCTTTACAGCGCGCGATCCGCCGACTCGATTTGGGAGGAAAACACTTGACGAATTTCCTCAAGGAGATGGTATCGATGCGACAGTACAACATGGTCGATGAAACGTATATTATGAACGAAGTCAAGGAGGCTGTCTGCTTCGTAAGCGACGACATCTCCAAAGACATGGAACGGACGTGGAAAGGGAACCGGAAGCGTGACCAATCTGATCCTGGTGAAGGGGTTGTGGTCGACTATGTACTTCCGGACCCCAACGCCGGAAAAAGGGGCTTCATGCGACCGCACGATCCGCTTTTGGGTGTTAAGAAGAGGAAAAGTGTTCTTTCTGGGGAGACTGGCGCCGAAGCGTTGTCCGAGGATGTGTTAGTTCTGGGTAATGAACGCTTTACCGTTCCTGAGATTCTGTTTACGCCACATGATATCGGCATGAAACAAGCCGGTATATCGGATATTATACTTCAGAGTTTGTCTGTGCTGCCGCCAGGGTTACATCCGGTGTTTCTGGCCAACGTTCTTGTTGTTGGAGGGAATGCCTTGATTCCTGGGTTTATGAAGAGATTGTATGCATCTTCTCTAACTTATAATTTATACTTGTGCTAATATTTCTCAGACAAACGGAGCTACGCGAGATTGCCACATCTGAATGCACCGTCCGAGTCCGTTGCCCTGAACAGTATGTAGCCCATGTTCCCCCCTATACCTTGCACACTAACAGTGAATCTCCCATAGTCCTATTCGCTCCACTTGGCTGGGCGCATCCCGACTTGCCACGAACAGAGACGAACTAAAGAAAGTGGGAATAACTCGCCAAGAGTATCAAGAGTATGGTTCTTCGTGGGCTGGTCGGAAGTTTGCTGGTGCTCTGTGAGGTTTTTTTTTTTTTCTTTTCTTAGCATGGTGGTATGGAGTTTACGGATTGGCATGTTTAATTCTAAATTTCCGTATATATCTCGCAATGGCCATGATACCCTTGACGTATTTCATCTGTTCACTACAGTATTCCTCGCTCTTATGCCTGTACAGAGTAGTCTTCCACAGTGACTTGTGACTTTACTTTTCTAGGTGCTATTGCTTGACGTGGAAGTCTGGGGATTACTACGACCCAGGACGAGGAAAACGTGGTCAAATGTTAGCGACGAGATAGTCAATTTAACTCTGCTGATTTGAAATGTTCAAGTAACTGGTACATTCGTTCCTTGCACTTCCATGAGTCGAATCCAATCCCAGTTATGCTCAACTCCTGTATCGTATGCCTCCCAAGCAGACCTCATAACATTTCTGCATACTTGAGCATTCCGAAATTGACGGAATCCGTCGACACGATCTAGTTGCTCGTCGATGACTTCTCTGCTCTGTTGCTGTATGCAAGCCATCCCGATAATAAAGACCGGAAACAAGGCAAACGATAGTAGATCTGGTAATTTAACAGCAGAAAGACACTGCAGACCCCTGTCAACCATTGTCTGCACCTTTTCATTGGCAATTTTGTTGGGGTACACAATGGAAAATAACCAAATGAAAGAAGCGGCGATCCAGGCCTCGCACATATTGCAGTAGTCGTCTGGTAGTCCTTCGCCAGGAAGCTTCCAATCGTCAATATTTTGCCAGATGCCAACGGCTTCAGCGATTACTGTTGCTTGAAGCGGTGCTGTATTGGCATCTGAGCGGAGAGAGACGATGCGCGAAACTATATTGATTAGACCATTATACACACCAAACATATGTTCCTTCTGGTCGGTATTGGGTGAAGATAAAGCGTATTCTTGCCTGCAACTGATCAAGCTGCTTTTGGGCCTTTGAACCGTTACACTGGCGAGGATGTCGTGGTAGAGAAAGAATTGCATAAGGAAGCTGTCAAACCCTAGTTCCTCCAGCTCTTCACGATCTGGGCCTTCATCTCCCTCGTCATGCTCTTCATCACTCTGGCTTTGTTCCTCCCACGCGCTGAAAACAATATCCCTAGCCCTGTCAAGCCGTACTTGGCAGCATTTGTCGCCTGTCCCTTCTGAAAGTTCGTAGAGGTATAACAAGAGGTAACTCATAAGCAAGGCTTCATACTCTGCTCGTCTTTCCTGTGTCCCACTATCGAGATCCTGCAGGGCGGTTACTCGCAAAGATTGGAGCTCTTCCGTCTCCTGTAGCAATTTCTGCTTCTCACCAGTAAACATACTGGCCTCGGTATCATTGGATGACATGTGATTTATCATATGTGAGGCTCCCAAACAAAGTGCAGCCTTGAGAATTATTGGATAATCAACGGCCATGGCAACTACAACCGACATAACCGGGTCGTCATCCTGGTCCGACGGAAGCGTCAAAATATGCGACGTTGACTGCACAAAGTGGAAGAGAAATAGTTTCTCGTGAGGAGATTCTATACCTTCTAGTATTTGGCAAATGTCGTCCGATGTAGTCGATGAAGCTATGAGATATGCGTTGGTCAACATTTGTGTTCTTGCAGATAGGTATAACGGTGTGCAACGAGAGAGACTACAGACCTTGTCTACTTTGACATGCAGGGCAAGGGCATCCATATTGCTTGGTATTCATGTTTTCGAGTAGTCCTTGTATAAAACAATCCAAGAAGCAACGACCAGATTGTTTCTATATGAAACAGCAAAGCGTTGCCTTTTATCGACCCTTGGATACCGTATACCTGTCCATAACTCTATGGAAAACATAGTCTCTGATTTTCTGCGGCAAACGCGGTATTGTTATAAAGGAAAGAACAGGGATGTATCTATACAGCTGCCTGTTGAAGTAATCTCGCCTCAGCTATGGGCCATCCTGCCATAGGGTTCAAAGTACGAGCACGGCTACCACCGCATCCTCAGCCAGATAGGGCATGAAGACGCGAGAATATGTGCGCTGAGCATTCTGGGCCCAAACTGACTGAGCTATTTCTATCATAATCCACACGACCCACCAAAATGTTCAACACCCCCTGATAATGCAGTGATCGCCCTGTATGGCTTGCGCACGGGAATACACGTATAACATCCTAGTTTCTCATTGAGTTCGAGCGTCCCATGGAACAGACTGGATGCAATTTAAGCAGCCTCAACCCTATTCTCCGTGGTACTTTGTATAGAAGTCCATGCGTCTCTTGGCTGCCTTTTCTGATAGAGAATGTGGAGTGATCTAACCCGATGTATCTAGTTCCAGCCGCGTGTGTGGGGATTTACGTGCATAAACGAGATAGCCGCGCTATAAACATCCACCTCTTCAGAATTACAGCCCAATAGTACTTGCTGAATAGTAATATCCATATATGCTTGTCTATAAATGTCTCTTCATCTTGCAGTACCCCGTTGAAGACCCCTGGCTAGATTTGTGGCGACTTGATGGACCACGGATCCTTGGACAGAAAACCCGAGGAGCTCCCAGCGCCATCGACATTGGGAAGGACTATTTTGGGAGACCCTTCCCGATTAGCGAAGCCGAATTTACTCCTGATGCATGATTCTACGGAGCTGTTCACTCCAGCCACTTATGTCTCATCGGCAACTTGTCATGTTCCCTGATATCGCAATTCTGAAGATTACACAATGATTGCAAAGTGACAACAACAATTCGTCTACGCCCAAATCTCCCAGATGAGCTGCAGAAATACTGGAGTGCGCGAAAAAAGACATCCTAGGTCCGAGCTCAATCCAACTTGGGAACAGACCCTTGGTGATCATCACATGGGTGACCACGTTGCACGCATGAAGACTAGCATGGCGGCCCAAAGCTTGCCCATGCACCCAAGATTGTGTTCGTATCCGAAACAAGTAAAGTCGTACCACTCTTTAGAAGGAGGGTGGCAAGAAGGAAATCCATAGCAGTTGAATGCCGCATTTTGTGGTTGCTAGTCCAGTATTGATTCTTCCAATTCTACTGACTGGAGGGCCATGGCTTTGGTTGTGGGATATGGTTCGACGCTGGGAGTATAAGTGTCTCAGAGTAGTGATGTTCAAGCAGATTATTTTACGGAGTTACTGAGGGCGAATGTTTTGGCTAAATCAGTCACACTGCTGCCCAACCTCCGCGGCTGTACTCTGCCCGTTGAGCAAAATGTCAAGAAGGAATGTCGGGCAATGCGTGTAGGATACAATGTGGCAGGGTATCACTGGCTGTTAAATGTGACTACGCCTAATCACCATCCCCTACACTTAGCCAACAACCCCCCGCTTTAGTCAAGCCCTAATCTGCAACTTGATATAAAAAAAAAAAAAAAAAAAAAAAAAAAAAAAAAAACAAAAAAACTGTTGTTTCGTCGATACATCGACGAGGAGGTGTATAGAAATTCTTTATTATGGCCACGAAAGTATGGCAATAAACAGTATTATATTA